GTGAGGTAGAGTTAAGGTATCTGATAACATGAATATTATCTTTCTTGTTTTGGTCTTGCAGCCTGTTACTGTAGTGAAGGACATCTCCAACCAGTCCGTCTTTACCGATGACGAGGCGGAGTTTGAATGCGAAATCAAGATCAATTACCCAGAGATCTCGCTGTCGTGGTACAAGGGCACGCAGAAGCTTGACACGTCCGACAAATACGACATCAGCATCCGCGGCGACCGCCACCTGCTCAAGATCAAGAAGTGTCAGCCGTCCGACCAGGGCAACTACCGGGTGGTGTGTGGACCACACATCTCCAGCGCCAAGCTCTCCATCACAGGTCAGTACCGACACACAGGAGGCACCTCAGAGCATCCAGTCCGAGCGGACGCTGATCGTTCTTCTCTTCTTGTGTTTTCAGAAGTGGAGGTGGAGAAGCACCTGCAGGACACGTCGGGTAAGGAAGGCCAGTCGTGCACGCTGTCTTGTCAGTTGTCTGTTCCTAACGTCGAGGCTCAGTGGTTTAAAAACGGCAAGAAGTTAGAGATGAAGGGAAGGTATTCATCTGAGGTGAAACACAAAGTTCAGAAGCTTCTGATCAAAGACCTGAAGTCTGAAGACCGGGGCAGATACTCCTGCAGATACCAGCACCTGGAATCCTCTGCAGACCTCAAGGTGGAAGGTTTGTACCTGGAAACCTTCCTGTAGACGTGATGGATGCCCGATTACTAACCTCTTTCGGTTCATCAGACTCTAAAACTAACATCGGCATTTGGGCGTCTGCCCTCTTTTTTTCCTCCTCCTCTTGGATTTGTTTTGTCATAATCTCCGTGATTGTCTTGCACCATCATCTCAAACCCATCATCCTCCAAACAACCTGTCATCATAACGTGCCATGAACCTCCATCAGGTGGTCATCTCTAACCACGTGGATGTCGTGTTCATGCAATACAAAACCTCAACCCCCCAGTTACTGTCCCGTTTATCCGTTCACATCTTTATCTGTTTTAGCCGAACAAATTCATTTCACCAAACGCATCCACAATGTCGAAGTCAACGAGCGCCAGTCGGCCACCTTCGAATGTGAGGTGTCCTTCGACAACGCCATCGTTTCTTGGTACAAAGACACCTGGGAACTGAGAGAATGTACTAAGTACAACTTCAGGAGCGAAGGCCGAAGGCATTTCATGGTCATTCGAAATGTGACCATCGAAGACGAAGGTGTGTAGAGCCAACCCGTGGTCCAGAGGCCGTCTCAGAGCCCTGCAGATTTGCTCCTCTTTCTTTTCTTTGTGACCTAAGTGTGTCCATTACTAATCCCATGTAGGCGTGTACTCAGTGATTGTGAGATTGGAGCCCAGAGGAGAGGCTAAAAGCACAGCTGAGCTTTATTTGTCTGGCAAAGGTACAGTCATTAGTCAGCCAACACCTTCTCTGCTTCTGTTCAACTTTGAGTTATCTCAGACTGAAACACAAACCAAACGCGTTTTTTCTTTCCACAGAGATTGAATTAGCGATGGTGCCGACAGGTAAGTGATTTATTCAGTTTTTACTCCTCATGAACCATCAGAACTCAGTCACTCCAGGATTAATGACATTCTTAGTTTGTTTTCAGCTGAAAGTCTGACATTTTGGGCAGTTTTTCAGAAAACTGAACTTATATGGAATAATTAAATTCAAAAATTCTATCTACACCTAAATGAGTTAATTAATCCTGTTTAAATTGTTTTAATTTGTGCGTCAGGGTGGCCTGTAAATAAGAGCTGAGGCTATTTCCTCTCTCTGCCTCAGGCTGGGCGCCTGTCTGGAGGCCATTGTCACGACCCGATCCGTCCCGGAAGCACAATCCGACCTGCGCATGCGCTAACAATTATACATCCGGGTGTCCATTAAGAATGTAATTATGGTACTAAAATTAGTTATTTCTATCCTTAACTCACTAAAGAATACTAATACACATTTTTATTAAAAAATGTTTTATGATTTTTCTGAAACAATTTTTAAGCTTTTTTAATTTTTTTCGTTAAACTACCCCTCTACGTCATCATAGGACATGATCAGAGCAGTCCGGCAAAGTATGATTAAACCATGTTTATTTGCGTTTTAGTGGTTTATTTCTTTAGATTACACACTATATACCATAATGTTAACATGAAAGGAAAACATGTTTAAATAAGCCGAAAAAGTTAACTCTCTTAATTGGATCCCATTTCCAGATACGGAACGGATTTTAAGGCATTCATTTTATTCATTAATTGTTAACACATTATATTTTAGTACGCTTACTATTTTTGGGGAGGGAAAAACGTCATTTAGGTTTTTTTTTAACAAAAAATAAAATTGAGGACGACCCGGATGTATATCTAGATGCGCAAATGAGCTGATGGCGAATGCACAGGACGGATTGTGCTTCTGGGACGGATCAGCCAGCTGTTTATGTGTAGGGGCCGATCATTGCTGCGTTTCTCGTAAAGTCAATCGTCATGATTGTTTGGCGATAATAGAACCAAAACAAAACATTATGGTGTTAAAAAAAAAACAAAAAAACTTTTCTATATTGCTTTTATTTCATATTAAAATCTTTCCAGAAAATTAAAAATGTCTAAAAAAATGATCAGACATTAAAAAACAGCTCCTAGTGCTTCCAGTATCACAGCATCCTGGGGAAACTGTTGATGATGGTAAAGTTTCTCAGCAGGGAAGATGTTCTGTCTGAACAATGCGCCTTATTGTGTAGATATCCCAGACTCTTCGGTTCAGAGGCCTGAAGTGCCTTCATCCGAGGAGATCCAAGGTAAGCTCCACCTTTCGCTGCTGGGGAATCCTTTGGAAAAAAAAAAAAAACGTGTGTTTCTCTGAGGTTCCTCAGGTCACTAACCGACCCGACAATGTGTTTGTTTCCCCAAGAATCTGCAGAGTTCTACCAGATTGAAGAGAAAATTGAACAGAGAGGTATCTCCTCTTTCCGTTCACGATCATTTTAATCAAATACAAACGGTTCATGTTTGATCCTTCAGATTAAATGTTTAAAACATACTGTTACTCCTTAAAGCATCTTAATTTTTTTTTTTTTTTTTTTTTTCCCTGACAAAGAATCAGCTGAATATTCTTATCATTACGAAGAGGAGGTGCAGCAGAAAGGTACCTTCTGTTTTTCCCTCTTCATCACCATCTAACCATCATTTGACCCACATCTGCTTCTTTCTCCACCCTCCTTCATGTTCCACCTCCTGTTTAATATCTCCATCTTCATTGCTTCTTGGTTTGGTTGTGATTTTCTCCTCATTCATTCTCCTCATTTCTCCTCAAACATTCTCTAATCTTCACTGTTTTTCATCAAACCTTTCATTTAAGCCTAGAAACATCTTCATATGCTAACATCATATTACTTCCTCTGGACTAAAGCATAATTTCTGTTTATTTTTGCTTCTTTTTTCCTCATTTATTAAAACCTAACCTCATCCAGAACATGACTGTTAGGTTCAAAAATGTAGGTTCATAAAAGAGAAACTGAGTCCACACAGAAGAGGGATTTTTTAACGGCTTCTGCAGAAGGAGAGAGCTACATTCAGCTACATCTACTCTCTTACCGGCTTCCTCAGCAGAAGCCTTTTTATTAGCAGATCATAACACATGGGGTGGGTAACAAAATAGAGTGTTCTTCTGACAAGGCAATTGATCAGGTCTTAGGACAAAATGCTCCTCTGATTGAATCACAGAATAGAGTGGTCTCCTGATAACTGTGATTAGCCTTGCACAAACATCAGCAATTTTCTACCACCGTTACATGACAGTTTGCAGTAAACAGAGTGAAGCATCTCATTTCTCCAATGTTCCATACGCACACACATTAACTTTATAATCATCATTGAATAAACCTAACAATGACGGCGAACCTTTCAGTGAAATCATAAAGTTCAGTCTCTGAGACGTCGCAAAGCGTTGCTGTTTAACGCGATGCTGTTTCTGAAAAGTGTCTCACCTTTGCTTCCTGTCTCTGATTGTCCCGCCTCTAGTGGAGATTCAGAGCTGGACAGAAGAGTCTGTAACCCAGCAGGTCTCAGAGACCACAGGTACTCGTGTTCACGCTCATCTTTTTTTCCGCCTTCTCCTCTATTAATAACCTCTTTTTTTAACCGTTTGACCCAGCAGGTATAAAAGCTTCCCTGGATGTCCTGAATGTTTTCAGACGAGGTCATTTTAATCTTTTCTTTTCTGTCTTGTTTTAGCTGCCAGAGTTGCTGTTGAGGAAAAAGTGGAGATGATGAAGGTTGAAATGAGGGAGGAAGTCCCAACAAAAGGTCAGTTTAAAGTTTGTGTTGTTATTATTTTTTATAATTCTAACATAATAAGACATAAAGGACCCTTTCAAACCACGGAAGCCTGTAGAGAGCACACACCCCTGGCTCTCTCCATCCCCTCTTCCAGATCATTTTCGTCCAGTTTCCACGGAGTGACTGTTTGAGATGAGACATTTACTTCCTGTTTCCTCCTAACATGGTCTGTTTGGTTTTTTTTTTATCCTAAAGTGGAGAAAAAGGCTGAGGAGAAGAAAACTGCAGCTATAGAGGAACCAAAGAAAAGTAGGAACACGTGCAGAAGGACTCATTATTGGGCTGTCTTGTGTTCTTGGAAACGCTCATTGTGTCTAACCCAACCTTTGCAGAACCAGAGACTCGGAAGCCGGTGGAGGAGAAGGTTCCTGAAGCTTCAGTCCCAGAGAAGAAGGAGCTTCCTGCTCCCAGAGGTACCTTCCTGCTTGAACATCTCTGTCCTGATTCCTGGTGTTCAGCTCTGCTCTTCTATGTGTTATCTTTGGGTTTATTGAGTCTTAATGCGTCTCTAACAGAACCAGAGGCGGTGAAGAAGCCATCGCCCCCCTCCCTGCCTGAAGAGACGCCCATCCTGCCAACCAAAGGTCAGTGCTTCTTCTCTGATTCATCTGATCAGGAGCTTCAAGCTCCTGACTTCTTCATGATGTTTGGTCCTGGTGTGTTTGGTTCTGTTTGGACCTCGGCGCTGCCCGTTTTCTTTAACATCTTACTCTTCCTAAGTCTTCACCCTCTTTGAAACGCATCTTCAGATTCTAACATCACTTCATCTTTATGTTCATGAAGATGAGCCCAAAGTTCTGGTTCCAGCTGAGTCCACGGAGCTGAAGCCTGAAGCAAAGCCCAAGGCAGAACCGGAACCGAAGCCCAAAGCTGCTCCGAAAGCAGAACCGGAACCGAAGCCCAAAGCTGCTCCGGCTCCGAAAGCAGAACCGGAAACGAAGCCAGTGACGCCTCCATCCAAAGGTGAGTTCTGCTCTGTTTGGGTCTATGTGTTCAGTTCTGTGGGTTGTTGAATGTTTTTAGCTTCGACTGCTGAAGCGGATCTTTGGTCTGAAACCATCTTAATGTCGCTTTAAGCCCCCAAAGAAGAAGCAAAGATCCTAACTGAACCAGAAGCTCCACAACCAAAGGCAGAACTGAAGAAAACCAAACCAGAAGTCCGTAAACCCGAACCTCCTAAACCAGAAACTCCAGCTCCAAAAGCAAAACCGGCACAGAAGGAGCCAGAGAAGAAAGGTAGAGAACTTCTGTAGCCAAAGTGTATCTTTAGCTCCTCGTTGTCTCAAACCTCTTCCATCCACAAACTCTCATTGTTTAGCTTTAAAGTTTCTTTTTTAACAAATAGCAGCAGGAAAATCATCTGCTGTTGGTCTAATTCCCATAATGACACAGGACACTGTGTTCTTTTAAAGTGGCAGAAAAACCACAGAAGAAGGAGGTGGCTGCTCCTCCACCTCCTTCATTCCCACAGGAGGTACAGAAAGAGGCAGAAGAGCCAAAGAAGAAGCCGATTAAAGGTACCTGGAGCTTAGTCTACAGCTCCTAACATTCAAACCTGAAGTTCTTTAGCTTTTCTGCTTCTGCCTGATGTTCTACCTGTGCTTCTTGCTCAGCTGAATGCCGTTTGTTTCTTTTATAAACCCGACCTTCTAAGGGTTCTAATGTTTGTGAATGGTACTCTTTAAAGTTCCCCTGGAAGAAAAAGTTCCTGAGCTTCCGAAAGCAGAGAAGAAACCAGAGGCTCAGGTGGTTCCTCCCTCAGAAGAACCAGCTCAGAAGGACAAAGGTATTCCTAACCAGTTCAGTAACAGACTGGTCTTAAAATCTGTTTTTCTTTGGAAAAAACTAACCTCTGTCTTTTGTGTTGTTTGTCAAAAACATCCTCTGAGACAAATCCTTTTGTTGTGCGTTAGCACATTCTTCTTTATGGTCACTTCTTCTGCATGTTTCTCTGTCAAACCCTCTTTAAGCTCTCAAGCCCCAACTGAAACCTGAAAGGCTTCCTCAGAAACAGCCTGAGGAGGAGTTGGGCATCAAACTTGAAACAATGTCTGGAAAAGCACCAGGGAAGGCCGAGGAGACGAAAAGGACCAAGGAGAGAGTCCCAGAGAGTAAGCAGGAAGATGTTCCAGAGATGGTTACTGGAGGGATCCCAGAGAAACGTCCAGAAAAAGTTCCAGAAAAAATCCCAGACAAAGTTCTAGAAAAAATCCCAGAAAAAGTTTCAGAAAAAATCACAGAGAAAATTCCAGAAAAAATCCCAGAGAAAGTTCCCAAAAAAATCCCAGAGAAAGTCCCAGAAAAAATCCCAGAGAAAATTCCAGAAATAATCCCAGAGAAACTTCCCAAAAAAATCCCAGAGAAAGTTCCAGAAAAAATCCCAGACAAAGTTCCAGAAAAAATCCCAGAGAAAATTCCAGAAATAATCCCAGAGAAACTTCCCAAAAAAATCCCAGAGAAAGTTCCAGAAATAATTCCAGAGAAAGTTGCAGAAAAAGTCGCTGAGAAACTTCCAGAGAAAAAACCTAAGAAAGAGGTTTCTGATAAGCAGCCTGTTGAGCCTCAGAAAGAGGCTGAAGAGGTGATCAGTCTGAAGAAAACTCCGAAGAAGGTTGAAGAAGTGAAGCCCAAGAAAGAAGCAGAGAAAAGCTCCAAAGCTGAAACGATTTCTGTTAGAACTGAGAAGCTCTCAAAAGAAGCTCTTCAGAAAGGTACCGATGGCTTAATCATCGACTCTTTCTTTATCTTCTCCATCAATCATGTCTTTGAGTTTAGCGTTCTGCCATCAGGCCCGACTAGAACGGGTTTGATGCTAGAAGAGCGAGGAGGCTGTGGAACAACAGATCTTTATGGTTCTGAGTGAAATAAACTCATCTGCAGAGTTCAAACCATCATGTATAATTAACTGGTTGGATTCAGGTGTACTGGGAGGTTTTGTCAAATCTCAGTTACTAGAAAATGAACCATATTTTATGGATTTACTTCCTAGTTTTTTCAGCTGACTTCAGGTGAAGCATTCACTGTGTTTGATGCTATATCAGCCTGACTCATCCAGTTATTATCCTGGACACAAACGTTTATTGATTGATTAGATTTTTATAAAACCTTTTAACGTAATGTTCCTTTTAAAGAGGAAGGCATCCTGGATGGAGAGTCAGGTAGAAGAAGGAAATGGAAGGACAGCAGATCAACTGGAAAATTAGAAATGGAGGAGTTAGTGGTAGGAAAAAGAATTTTAACAACACTTTATTTACACAATTCAAACAATAGAATCAATTATTGATGTAAAACAAGTGCCAGCTAAAAATCATTAAATTAGAAGCTTGATAAATTACATAAGATTTTATTTAAAACCTCACAGTTGAATAAAATCCTCCGTTTTCTGTGTGGCAAAAAAGAAGAAATGTAGAAATAAGAAAAAAGAAAAAAGAGCAACAAGAAAAGAGGAAGGTAGAAAATTAGGATTTATTTAAAAAGAGAAGAAACAGTGAGAAATAGAAAAAGTAAGGTATTGAATAAATAAAAAAAGAAACAAAAGTCAGAAAAGAAATAAAGCAAAGAGAGAAATGCAAAAAAAAGAGTAGGGGGTACATAAAACGAGAACATTTAAGAGAACCTGTATGAAAAAAAGAGTTAAATTAGTAGAAAATAGAGTAAAAAAAACAATAAAACAAGGAAAGAGTAGAAAAGAAAAAATAAGGTAAAGGACAATCATGGGATGGGGGGGTTAAATGAAAAAAGAAGACAAAAAGAAAAAAAAGAGGTTTGAGACCAGAATTAAGGAAGCTGTGAAGGGATAATAAGAAAATAGAGCAGATGGACCTGAGGTCAGACAGAATATTAAAGATCGAACCTTTAGCTACAGTAAAAGGCTTTTAGAGAACAAACATAAACATCTTTCACTCCCACCTTAAAGATCGAACACTTTTAGCACACTGTGTTCATTTTTAAGGTTAGTGAGAAAACTGAGCTCAGATGTATGATAACTGAACTCAACCTACCAGTTAAACCAGTAACCAGCTGCTTCCTGAACTTTGAACTACCAATCCCTCAGGAACATGGACCTCAATGGAGACTTGTTATGCATTTATGGTTGAACTCGTTTAAACAAGATGAAATTATTAAAATAGAACTTTTTAACCTACAAGTCCTCCTTTTTGTGGACGTCTTTTCATCTTTCACTAATGAACCTAATTTATTTGGATTGTTGTTCCTCTGTGAGGAACGCAGGACATTTAGAGGTTCTGTTGGTTTCAGAACATCCTCTCTCTCTCTTAGATCATCTATCAGTGTGTTTCTTATTGTCTGTGTTGGATCTTCTGATTGATTCTAACTGTGGAACCTTTATTCCTCTACAACAATCTTCTTCTTTCTCAACATCCTGGGCTTCAACAAACCAAAACAAACTGAATGAAGAAAATTTAGTAAAGAAGAAGGAGGATGTTCAACCCACAGATCAGCAGAAGAAAGTCTTTGTTCCTGTTGAAAAAGGTACCGACCTTCCGAGAACAAGATGGGTTATTGTAACCACATCTTCGTCTTTAACTGCTGATGATAAAAACCTGGCAGGGTGGATTATCATCAGCTACGTATTAATCCCTCTAACCCAGACGTTTGTGTTTTATTCTCACCTCTTGGCGTCGCCTTCATGACGCCTCTTCTTCAACAACTCTTGAAACCAGCGCTGACCGAGCAACGTGAAGATCAGAGGAAACAGGAAGAGGAGAGAAAAACTGTTTCTGACTCTTTAGGGAGGAGAGAAACCAATGAGATAAAATCCAAGTTTAGAGCTGAGAGTGAAGCTTTAGGCTCAGAAGATGAATTTAAGGAGGTTTCAACAACGAGGATCCAACCAAAAGCAGGAGAAACCACCAAAGAGTTGAAAATGTCAGAGTCTGTTAGTCTTAAATCTGAAAAACTCAGCAGAGCAGCAATAGAAACCAGTTCAGGAAAAGAAAGTCGCTCTGAGGTGAAAACAGGTGAGAAAGAGGAGGTTAGAAGACAAGAAAGGAAAGTGGTAAGGACCTCTGATCAGCTGGTTGAGGTCAGACATGAGGAGATCTCTATTAAAGCAGAACTAGAGACCTCTGAGTCAGTTACAGGCCTGGAGTTCAGGACAGAAACCACTGAGGAACCAGACGGGCAGAAGCCTGAAGACGTTCCTGCTCAGAGGAACCAGGATCAGAGGAAACCTTCAGCCTCTTTCAAACCAGAGGAGATAAAGATTCCTACAGAAACACCTGCTGGAGGTACCATCACCCCCTCCATGTCTTACAGTTTCATCAAACTGTTTCTTGTCTCTGCATTACCCTCAGCAACCAGCAGAGGTCCCCATTTCACCTCCATTCTGATTTCATCATTATATTTTCATCCCAATTTGTAGTTTTTTTTGTCATTTCGTCTTCACTTCGCTGCCTACTGTCGTTTTCTCGTCTTATTAAATGTCCAAATCTAAAACCTAATCTAACGTTCCTTTAAGAAACTGAAGATAAAATCAAGAAGCTTCTTTCCACACCTCTTCAAGCAGAGACAAAAAGAAAGAAACTGGAGAAAGGTATAAAATCAAAACATGTTCTCTCTTTTTAAACTCTTTTTTATATCTCTTATTTAACCCCAAATGTTTGTGTCTGTGTTGTTTGTTTCTAATCTCTTGGCACCGCTTCATGGTGCTTTCTCTTTTTACAACTCTACACATTTTCACACCTACAGCACCAATCAGTGCTCATCTCTGGGATGAGAAAAGAGCCTCCTGTGTAGAACATGAAGGGCCAATGTCCCACACAGATGAAGAAAACAAGGATGTCAAATATAAAACACAAGAAAAGATGATGAAAGAACCACATGAGACGTCTGTTACTGAGGGTTTAAAGGAAATAGGCTCTAAAACTATTTTTCCAACAACTGTGGAAATGATCACAGAGACACTTCAGGATAAACCGCAGAAACAAGTTTCAAAGGACATGAAAAACGCTAAAGAAGTTGCTGAAAGTGAAATGCAAGCAACTCCTGAGATTTCTGGAGCAGAGGGATCGATTAGGATCCAAGGAACCAAAGACAAACAGGAATTCTTAGAATCGGATGAATTGAATCTATTAGTACTGACAGAACAGGAGGCTTTAGAAAAAGCTCTCCCAAAAGGCTTTGAGGAAAACGATAAATATCCAGAGCCTGAAAAAACAGAAACACACTCTAAAATTTATAAAACTAATTCGCTGAAACTGGTAGAAACAAAAACTGAGCTTAAACCCGCAGACGTTAGGATTAGGAGTTCAAAGGAAGGGGCTGCAGGTAAAATGAACCTGCAGGAAGCTGGAGATGACCTCCCACTCCAGGACATACATGATGATTCAAAAGCAGGGACTAAAGTTTCTGCTGAAAATCACCACATGGTCCCAGACAGGGAGGCCCCAGTAGCTCCTGTTTATGAGAAAAAATCAGAGTCCACAAAGCTGAGAAGGCAAAGGTTTGCTCAAACAAAGGAAAGTTCAGACAAAATGATCCCGTCAGTCGACCTCACAGCAGAGGAAGAAACCCAAGACAGGGAAGTTAGAAAACTCGAAGCATTTCAGGAATTTACTGACGAGGAAACACCAGAAACAGCTGAAAAAACTAGAGTTAAAACCATTACTGAACAAGACAGAATTGCTATCAATACAGTTAAAAATGAAACTTTAAAAGTTGCTCCTCTTATAGAGATTAAAAGCAGAAAGATGAAAAAGGAAAACGAGGAAAGTTCAGCAGGTAGACCTAAAATCACTGAGGCTTATTTAATGCTAGCTGCTGAGATGATGGAAAGCCCTCCTTCATCAAAGGAGAAAGCACTAAACCTTACTGAGTTTAAAGAGGCTGTGGATGAACCATTAAACCCAGTTTTGACTAAAACAGGTCCGCCCATCAGAGATAAAATGGCTGACAAAAGTGGCAAAGAAGAAACGGTCTCAATACGACCCACAGAATCAGAACCTGACAATCTATCAGAACTCTCAGAGAAGGCGTCCTTAACTGATGTTCGGGAAATCGATGAGGCAGATGTTCCTACCAACAAAGATGAACAAATAGAACGTCTGACAGCTGAACAAATCTTAACCACAGAGAGTATTGAGGGCTCAAAAGTTAAACAGGACCACATCAGTACAGTTAAAGATGAAATGATGAAAGTTTCAACAGTTAAAAAGAAAATAGGAACACAGGAGCTGGTCAAAGGAAAAGTTTCACCAGCAAAAACAGAAAAGACTTTTCAAGAAACAGAAAAACAACCAGAAATGGAAAAATCTGAGCTTTCAACCTTTGAGGAAGAAAATGATCTTTTTTCAAAGGAGTCAGTTTCTCTATGTTCTGATTCTTTGGCAAAAACAGTCCCATTAAAACCAGATGCAGTTCCTGCTAAAACCAAAAAACCAACCATTGAAGACAAAATGACTGTCAGTGATGAAGTAATTTCTTCATCAAAGCAAAAGATCAAACCTCCAGGGTTGATAGCTGAGATGGACCATAAAAATAACAGGGCTCCTAACATACTTCCAGATGATGAGACTAAACATCTTCATTGTCAGGTTGAGGGAAAGGTTCATACTTCAGACTTTAGGGGTGAAACCATCAAAGAAATGGAATCAGTGACTAGTGAAGTGGAAGACGAAGGTTCTCCAGAGGTTTTGATTTCCTCAGAGAAGAAAAAGAAGACATTTCCCAAAACTTCTGATGCTTCAGACATAAAAGTTGGATTTTTAGTTGAGAATAAAACCAAAGAAGGGACTAAAAATGAACAAGAAGACCAACCAACATTTGATGAGATTTTACACAAGGAGAGAACCATCAAACCTCAGGGGTCGAGTATTGAAGAAAGCCAGATAAACTTCAGTACAGATAGAATGAAAGTGGTGAAAGAAAAAGCAGATGGCAAAGAACAAATAACACCTCAGCCCGAGAGGCAATATATCATTAAAACTGAAGATTTAGAGAAATCTTTTAAAATGACCTCTGCTAAAGACCGAGCTGATAAAGTTCCACCTAGACTCATTAGACAAGAGAGATCTGAGGAAGATTTGCTACAAATCGGAGAAGGCGACTTTGCCATGGTTGAATCTGCTGGTTCTCTAAAGGAAAGTGGAGAGGCAGAGGACAAGAAAATACTACTAAAGTTAGACAAGGTGAAAGATGATACCCGAACTGCAGAGGAGCTGGTTAAAATAAAGACCTTAGATGATCCTGATGTTCAAGCTAATATAGAAGAAGCTTCTGTCAGGAAAGAGATCCAGTTAGACCAAAGTGTGGCTAAAGGAGAGGACTTAAAGCAGGAAACCCCGATGACCAAGATGTTAAAAACGACTGAAGATCTGATTGATGGGTTTCAGTCATCTCTTGTTCGGGCTTTGAACGGAACAGACTGGCTATCTCTAACCAAAGAGAATGAAACCAAACAGGAATTAGGGGTAGTTCTGCATGTTGGGGCTTCAAAGGAACAAGAACCAATTCCATTAGAAGGCCCAGTTACAGATGAGTTCGAACCAACAGAGAAAGACCTGGATAGGGTACAGAGAAAGAAACTAGCGGTTCCTGTTAGACAAGAAGAAGCTGAAACACCACATTCTCAGATTCCAGATAATATGGTGAAAGACTTAGAAGTATTAGATAAAAAAGAGAAAATGGAAGTTCAGAGAAAAATGTTAGTACAGAAACGGCAAGCATGTGAAAGAAACTTAAAAGTTCCTGAAGAGGGCAAACCCACTACAACTCATCCAGCTGAGAAGATACCAACCAAAAGCACAGAAACCGAACCCCCAAGAAAAGGACAAGAAGAAGAATCTGAACAGATTTCAGAAGAGATGGAAAGCACTGAAAAGAAAAAGATCGACGAAACATCGCAGATTATGCTAAATGTTTCTCCAAAGGACCCAAAAGGTCCAGAGGCGTGCAGGACAGGTGTTTTCAAACAGGAATATGGGATCATTAGTCCAGCTCAAACACCACAATCTTTATTGAAGGCGTCTTTGGCCCCAGTGAGGAAGGTGGCATCCGAAACATCTGACATAGCAATAGTTGACAATGATATCTCCTCTTTAAAGATAGAGCAATCACAACAGTTAAAGACAGAAGATATAACAAACAAACTGCCTCAAAGACCAGAGCTTGGTAAATTAAAGGCTCACACTAGATCAGAACCAGAAGCTGAACAAGTTCTTCTAAAGCAAACAGAAACCAAAGACGCATTGAAATTTCAGGAGCTGAACAAAGATAATGAACTTTCCCCACAGGAAATTCAATCCAGGACAGCAAAGGTAAAACGGGTACGTAGAGAAGTTAGTCAGTTTTTACCACAGGAGGTACTAGAGACCCCAGAGAGGGTCAAGAACTTGTCGGATGATGTTTCTGAGCACATGGAAACATCCCAAAAATATCAAATGATGGCAGAGAATGAACCAAAGCTGGAAAAAAGGGGGAAATTGTTTGTTGCACAAGAGAGTCTGATAAATCAGGATGCATCAGACCAGCAAATTAGGGCTGGAGGCCTACCTTCTTTAATTATGGCACATGTGGGAGATAAATCTGATCTCACAGCTCAGGCAGCAGCTGGTTCAGCTGGAGAAAGAAATGCCTCCCTAACATCTGCGACTGGCGTGATTTTTCAATTACCAGACACCGACTTGGATGCATTAGAGCAGCTCACTGAGTCTTCCACAGAGAAAGAACCTACCAGAGGTCAGCCTAGCTTTGAGCCCTCAGTAACAGATAAAGTCAGCACTGACTACCCCTCAGAAGACACCAGAAACACAACACACATCCACCTCATGCCTCTAAAAACGCATGTAACCAGAACTGAGGCAGAACCCTGGGAGACGGAGTCTGTCACAGAAACCAGGGGTCTGACTGTGGCACCAGGAGAGAAAGAAGCTTCCAGAGGTACAGAGGGGGAAACGGTCACTTAGCACAAGTTTCTGAACCGAGCACCACACATCATGTTTTTTATGGGTGTTCACTATGTCATCTTTATCATCATCATCATTCAGGTGGACTTCCATGTCATGTCACCCATGTTGTTCAGGCACAAACGTTTTTTACCTCTCATTGTGACGAGCACATCCACAGCAGACTGCGTTGGGTTTTTCCCTCACTGTATCTCTAACTCTGTCTTTATGTGTTGTGTTTTTGAGCCGGTGTTTTGTCTAGTCTTCCAGCTATCTCCATGCTGGGTTTTCTCTGTTGTCTCTGAGTGCTTCAGCTCCGATCAAGGTCTGAATATTTGTCTGATTGTTTTCTTTATATCTTTAAGTTCCTGTAAAGGAGAAGGAGTTGCCACCAGAACCCAAACAAGTGAAGCCTGCACCTCCTTCAGAAGGTATTACTTTATTTTTCACTAAAGGCATTTGTGATAGAATGCCCGGTGATTAAAAAAAGGATATAATTTCAACTTTATCCTGAAAATTGAGGTCAAAAACAACCTTGGTGCTCTAGCCCCTTTGTTTCAGAGTACAGATAAAGCCTTTCTAAAACATTTGTGCTTTATTGTGTCTTTAAACTTAAAGAAAGCAAACCAAAGTCCGCAGAGGTCACCAAGAAACCTGAAGTCACAGCAAGGAAAATCTCTCCACCAGAGGAAACCAAGCCAGGTATTCAGACATTAACATGGTTGAAAGACTTTGATTGGATGAAAATTCGCGAACCATCCTTTTAATCCTTTGTTGCCCTCAAAGTGACCAAGACCGAGCCTGTGGTAAAGGTAGAAGAACCATCTAAGGTTGTTCCAGAAGAGCAAACAACACTTCCAAAAGGTAGAAGACTCTGTAGAGAGACATCCTCTTTAATGTTCTCTACAATCACCATCTTTTTACACAACCATTTGATCACAAATCTTGGTCACAATGACCTCTTCTTTATGACATGTCACCTCTTCTAATAAAATGTTTCTCACCGTCTTCAAGTCTTCACAAGTCACATTATCATCAGTACCTAAAACCTAATGACCTTTTTACTACATCTCTCTATCAGATGAAACCAAGGGACCAGTCCAGACACCAGGAGGAGTCCAGAAAGGTAAGACCAATAACTGCTTCTCGCTTTACCCCAGTACCAACAGTAGATGGCACCATGCTTCAAATCTAAACCTGAACACACTGTTGGGCCCCAAAGAAAACCATCACTCATTGCTCTGTTTTGCCAACTACAGAAATTACTTTATTTTATTCTGAATATAATTTTAATTATTCCATATATATTTAAATATCCACCACTTGTCTCAGCTAATCAAATAGTTGACATTTTACAGTAAAATGGAGTCTGATTCACTGCTTTATAAGCTGCTGCTCTAATGTATCTTCTGACCTGGAAAGTAAGTAAATAGCCTGTATGACCATCAGGTGCAGCAGGATCAAGCACTTTAATGTTTAATCCTTTATATTCCAGCTTTATTGGTTGATAATCAGGGAGGAAATTGGTTCTGGTCTAAAAACCAATAAGTGATGGTTTTAATGTAGAGTTATCTTATATAGGATGAACGATAATAATCAGAGAATCTTAGAACACTTATAATAATAATTATGATAAGTCATGGGAAGCCTCTCCACTAAATGCATGCATGGTTATTGATTTATAGATGGTCAATCTGTGTTAATTTAATCATTCTAAAGCACCATGGGAAAAAAGTATTCACACCCCTTTAACCTTTTTTCTTTTCTTCATTATTTCCCTTTAAAACCACAAACATTGAAGTGTTTCATTTTATACGATAGGCCAGCATATGATGAAGCACTGGAAAAACGATCTAGAAATAAGTCGAAATTTCTTAAATTAAGTGTATTTATCCTTAATTTGAGTAGGTACATGACTTAGTTTGCCAATGGAATGAGTATTTATACTCTTAAAACAATTAGATAATATGCACTTAAAATAAGACAATGCAATTGTGTTTTCTCATTTTAAGTATAAATTGTCTTGTTCTTGTTCGTTCTTCTCAATCCAACAACAAATGCACCTATTTGAAGGAAATTATATGTTGGATTGCTTCAGTATGAGTTGCCAAAGTTGCCAAAGATTCCTGAACAGGTGTCTAAACATCTTTAGAAAAACTGACTGCCTCTAATTGAGGCTTATTTGTGGTTAATAAACATATTCAAGTTTTAAATCGCCCAATCCTATAAATGCATTCTGTGACAAGACTTAGAAATAATGTAAAATAAGATTATTCTTTGTAAAAAGATTTATAAACTAGTTTCATTTTCTTTTTAACTGGAAACCATGTGGTGTTTTGTGTTCAAATGAAACTCATTAAAGTTTGTGGTTTTAAAGTGAGAAAATGTTGAGTATTATCTGTTTAATGTGTCTCTCTGTTTCGTATATATTTGTATACGTTAAACGTGTGTTATATGTTTAAAGAGCCTTGAAGTCAGTCCTATGTCACTCAGTAATGTCAGACCTTTGCCGCCTCAGAACCCGTACAGCAAAAAAAGGGTAAAATTCAAGTGGCGGAGGATGGGAGGTTTGAGATTCCCACCTTGAAGAAAGCAACCAGGGTTGTGAGGGAAGCGGAGGAGGACCACGAGGTTGTCAAACTGAAGAAGGTTCCATCACCCCCCATGAAAGAGCCAGACGAGGTGGAAAAACCTCAGAAAATCACCAAGACCACTGTTTTCCATGCTGAGGAATTGGTGCATGAAGAAGAGGCTTTAGAGATGTCGGTGGTGACCAGAAGGACTGTTCCGGAAAGAACACCTCGAGAGAAAGCTGACGTGGTTAAAAAACCAGATGTTATTGAGCCTAAAGGGGAGGAAGACAAGGAAGCTCCCAAAGATGCATGGACACGCCAGAAGCCTGTCCCTAGAGAGGAAAAACCAGAAGACAAGTTCCCTCTTAAGAAAACTCCGAAAGCACCAAAAGAAGAGGAACCTGCCCCACCCAGCCCAGCACTGAAGAAAGTGAAAAAGCTGCCCTCAGCTGAAGCTGAACCAGAGTTGGTCAAGCTTAAACCATTTGAGAAGCCTGTTAAACCTTTAGAGGAGCCAGAGAAAGATAAGAAGGAGAGGCCTGATAGAGATACTATTCCTTTCCAGAAGGGAGACAGGATCCCCAGAGAGAAGGAGCCTAAAGAACCTACAAAGGAACAAGAGAAGCCTCTCCCTGAGGTAAAGGAAGCTCCGCCTAAAGTGCCAAAACCAAAAGATGCAAAGACAACCCCAGAGAAAGAACCTGATGGAGTTAAAGTACAGACTAAAGGAAAGAAAATCCCAGCGGCTGAACCAGAAATAGAAAGTGTTAAGCTAAAGCCCTTCTCCAAACCTTCAAAAGAAGCTGAGGAACCTGAGAAGAAACCAGCAGAGGAGAAAGACAAGAAACCATCCAAAGACCTGCAACGTCGTCCCATCAGTCCTGTTGAAAAACCGAAGGTGAAAGAAGCAGACGTTGAGCCCAAGAAACCTGAGCTACCTGCAGCTTCTGAAATAAAAACAGAGAAGCCAAAAGAAGTAGACGTGGTTCCAGTGGAGAAAACACCCGTGTCCCCACCCAAGAAACCTGACAAAGCCGCAGAAAAACCCAAACCCAAAACTCTGGAACCAAAGAAAGGGATTGTGCCCAAGGCTGAGGAAGAGAAGGAAGGGGTAGCACTGAAGCCAGTGGAGCAGCTCAAAAAGGTGGAACTTAAAAAGACTCCTTCTCCTAAAGTGGAGAAACTCAAGGAAGCAGAAGCAGTTCCAGCTGAGAGGAGACCAAGCATCGAAAAACTGAAAAAGGTTCCAAAAACTGTTTCACCCAAAGACTCTATTGAAGCTGTTACGCTTAAAAAGGTTCCAAAGAAACCAGAACCAGAAGAGCCAGACAAAAAGAAAGTTCCCGCGGTGAAAGAGATCTCTCCTGGGGCTGTGCAAATGAAGAAGGTTGCTACTCAACCAGAGGAGGAGGTTTTCGAAGAGGAGTTTGAGGCCGAGGAAGAGGCTGAGCTAGATCAAGAGGAGGCCTGGGGCTGGGAGCTGGTTCCGAGGGACAGTTATGGCTCGGAGGACTGGGAAGGTGAAGGAGAAGAAGGTGCTCTGGAGGTTCCTGGGGTCACCCGGAGAGGTGAGGTGGTGGTGGTCCCGACATAATGGGTGGTCACAGAGAGAAACCCTCCATTCATGCCTCAAATAATCCGCATCCATCCCCACCATCCTTCCATCTAAACCTGTTTCCGGGGTCATTTTCTTGTCCTGTGATTGACACCATGACTGTCATCTCCTCCATATGTCGCTGTTTATGTCCATCACATCCATCTCTCTCAGACATTCTTGTTCAGTCATTTCCGTTTGTCTGCCAAGCTGTTGTCATTTGCCCAACATGTGTTCATACCACCATCACTGTCATTACCATCTTTACGTTATCATTCATAATCCCTCATCCATCATCATCTAATTATTTCATGTCTTAAAATACATTATAGCCCTCTATTTGCTTGTTTATAAAAGAAAATCACTAAGTGATTTCATTAAAAGCAGCAGATTGACAGTGATTGTTTCTAACAGAGGGGCAGCCTGCAGAGGAAGCAGGGCGGGGCAGAGGGCGAGGCCTAAAACGTAAGTGTGCTTCTTAATATCTGCACCAGTACTCAAAAAATCACAGTTTCAGACTCATTGCTGTGCTTTTGAAATGTCTTTCAGCGAAGCTAACCCCTTCCCCCGGAGAGGGCAGGGGCCGTGGAAAACCTGGAGGCAGGGGCCCCCCACCACCAGAGGAGCCAGGCTTTGCAGGCTTCAAGCTCAAAGCCGTCCCTCTTAGGTTTATCAAGAAGCTGCAGGACATCGTACTAAAGGAGGCCGAGTCCATTGGCTCGTCTGCCGTGTTTGAGTGTGAGATTTCCCCCTCTACAGCCGTCACCTCCTGGATGAAAGACGGTGGTAACCTGCGTGAGAGTCCCAAGCACAAGTTCATCTCTGATGGCAAAGACCGGAAGCTGCACATCATTGATGTACAGCTGTCTGATACTGGAGAATACACCTGTGTGGCCAAGAACGCTGGGAAGGAGATCTCCTGCACCGCTAAACTCGTAGTTGAAGGTAACGTGGCTTCCTTTCAATAATCTTAATCGAACTGCGTCAGATTCGACCTCTGATTTGGATTCTCTGTAACTTCACAGAGCTTCCTGTAAAATGGGTCAAAGAGTTGGACCCGGAGACCTCTGCTATCTTGGGCCAGCCCATCTACATGACCTGCGAGCTGAGTAAAGAGAAGGACGTGATCTGGAAAAAGGACGGCGAAGTCCTGAAGAAAAAGGAGGGCAAAATTCAGATCAACATCATTGGCTTGTCGCATGCAGTGACCATCCAAGGCTCCACACCAGAGGACGCTGGCGTCTACTCATGTGAAGTATCAGGACAGGAGGATGTGAAGACCTCCACGAACGTCAAAGTGATTGGTAAGACATTGGGAGGAGTCATTAAAATCCGAAAGAAGTTAGAAATAGAAAATGGTGTATGGTGGTCAGTTGTAAAGTGACTAAACTCTATTGATCTTCAGCCCTTGGTCTCCATTTCCAAGAGGTATGGTGTCCTTTTCGTAGGGGTAACAAGGAGTAGTCATCATCTTTCCCTTCAGCTGAGGTGTTGGGTTCTTTTGGATGACTACCTGGTCATTATTCCTTGATCCCCTAAAGGCAAAAGGCACTTAAATTTCCAAAATAGTGATAAATGTGAGAGAGGGCCAGGCTATGGACAAAAGAAATCTAGATTCTAACTCTGAAAATTTTAATTAATTACCTTTAGACTGGATTTATTTTGGTTTCCCTGTAAATGATCTCCAACTTTATCTCATTGTGAACAACATACCAATCTCTGACTAAGAGATATTTGATTCCAACAGAAATAATTAAAGACTGGATAGTTAAACCACTTAGAGACCAGCATGTGAAACCAAAGGCAGCTGCCACGTTTAAATGCGAGCTCTTCAGAGACACTCCCAACTGGAAGTGGCTCAAAGGAGAGGACGAGATCACTCCATCTGACAAGGTTGAGATCAAGAAGGATGGAAAAGAACTGACGCTGACTATCAAGAACTGCCAGCCGGAAGACGTAGCGCAATATTCAATGGAGGTGGAAGGACGCATCTACACCGCCAGTCTGACACTTGGAGGTTGTATTTCTGTCCGCCGTTATCCCTGAAATGGTTCCTACAGGTTAGTATCAACGGTGTTGTATATTTACTAGCAGGAATGCCTTTTTTCAGAGCGTGAAGCTGAGATCCTGAGGCCTTTGGTCAGTGTTGAGGTGATAGAAAAGGAAGAAGCCTCATTTGAAACAGAGATATCTGAGGATGATATTCCAGGAGAATGGAAACTTAAAGGAGAGGTTTTGACAAGATCCCCGGTATGACTTGTTCTCCCAAAGTTGTAGACAATATGTTTTAGTGTTCGTTCTTCTTTTAACGTCAGTGCAATGTAATCATCAGACGTGCGACATCCAAATGGAGGGTACTGTGCGTAGGCTCACACTGAAAAACTGCCAGTTGGATCAGGCGGGGGAAGTGTCCTACCAGGCCCTGAATGCCATCACAACTGCAATGTTAAATGTCAAAGGTAAGATGCACTGCTGGGCTCGAGCCACACTTCAAAGGACCCTGTTTTTGTAGATTTTAGGGGCAAAGGTCTAAGGTCCACAGGGAATCAAATAAAGCCCAAAGGCGTACAACAACGGACCTTAGATCTTTATATTAAAGCGCTGATGAATCAAGTTCAATGTTTGTTCCTTTTTTTGCGACCAGCAGGTAAGAGGAGGATCTCAAAAACTCGTTTTGTGTGTTTAGTTGGATAAAAGACATTATTTTCGTGTGTCAGTGGGTCTGTGTGTAAAAATGTTTATGGGTTTGTTTATTTTAATGTCAGTGTCTCCTACTGTCACTCAATGGGTGTGTTTCATATTTAGAGCAGTTTCTAGTTCATAGACCAGAGTAGAATTAGACTGAAGCTCCCTCCAAAGTGGAGAAAACAAAGAATTTCCAGCAACAACATTTCATGCCGCCTGAGAAAGAAGTTGACGTCAACTCCAATCTGATATCCAATCTACAAAGAGCCTTGATGACAGCATCTACCTTCAACATCCACAGGAAGACCTTCCATTCATTTCCTCTTATAACTGGATCCTTCTCATTGTTTAAGTAGTCGAAGACCTGAACGGCAAGTGAAATCCACAAGTCCATCTCAAGAACAACAGACGAAATCTCTTACAGGCTTTCTACTCATTCAACTATGATGTAGCTCCCAGTGCACTGTGTAAACTAGGCTCTGACTGTTGAATGTTGTGTTGTTGTTTCGTACTGTTTTGTTGTTTATGTTTTGTCCCTGTGTCCTCCTTCAACCAGAAATCGAGATGGACTTTGTTGTCCCGCTGAAGGACGTTTCTGTGCCAGAAAAGAAACAGGCTAAGTTTGAATGCACCATCACGAAGGATGTCGTAAAAGTCCTGTGGTACAAAGGGGCTGATATCATCACCCCGGACCAAAAGTACGACATCATCGATGATGGAAAGAGGCATATGTTGGTCATCAATTGCTGCGAGTTTGATGACGAGGACGAATATACGATTGAGGTTTTGGGCAAAGCTTCCAAAGCCAGGCTCAATGTCGAGGGTAAGTGCCTGCTCTTCATCACTGGAGATAACCACAGACACAGTTTAAACAATGAGTAGGTGTCTTCCTCTTGTATGAACATTGTTTTGATATGATTGTAGGTATCAGGCTCAGATTTGTTTCACCACTGAAAGACCTAACCGTCAAGGAGGGCAGTACAGCTCGCTTTGAGCTAGAGCTCTCTCATGAGAACATCCCTGTTACCTGGTACAAGAATGACAAAAAAATCCATCCGAGCAGAACGGTTGTCACTTCCATGGATGGAAAGAAACATGTGCTAGAAATTAAGGACGTGACCCTAGATGATATCTGCCAAATTAAGGCAGAAGCAAAGGGAATTCCTTCAATGGCCAATTTGACAGTTATAGGTAAAAGGAGACTATCCAAACTCTTGATTTCTTTGCAAAATGTCTCCATGTTTGTTTGTCGAGGTCTCGAAAGAGACCTCAACCTGTCTGTCTTTTCTAAGACACGATGTGTTGTGTCGTCTATGTGTTTCTACTGTCTGTCTTTGTTGTTATTGCACATATTGTTTGTCAAAACATTCACTTTGGAGAGTCAACACAACTGTTCCTGTTCCAGAGGGAGATCCTTACTTCACGGTTAAGCTGCAGGACTTCACTGCAGTAGAGAAAGACGAAGTTGTTCTAGATTGCGAACTCAGCAAAGATGTTGATGTCATGTGGTACCACAATGAAGCTGAGATCAAGGCCTCCAAGATGGTGACCGTCAAGGCTGAGGGCAAGCGAAGAACCCTGATCATCAAGAAAGTCGGGGACAAAGACAAGGGACAATATGTGTGCGACTGTGGGACAGACAAAACAACAGCTGAGCTTCACATCGAAGGTAACCGACTTGCCTCCGCTAAGGCACCTTCAGTCCCATGGATCCTCACCTTCACTTGCATCATCTTCTAACCCCACTTCATGTCTTTTTCAATTTAAAGAATCTTATTTGTTGTCACTTTTTAAGATACTACACTCTGTTGTCCTGCAAGAGTGTAGTTTCTCCACACAATTCTGGCCCTTCTCCGTCTTTTCCAGAGCAGAATCCTATTTTCTTTCTAGTTTCATGAGTGCACAGAGTGGTGCTAGCAACCAAACATACTAGCTTCTATTGCCTGTTCGTGATTCCATAAAAAACTAAATGGGTGGTCTTGTTCGAGGGCCCATTTTGTTCTTTATGGTCTAATTAGTTTTCTTAAATCCTAACAGAACAGGCATCTTCACAGAACCTGAGATTTCCTTTTTCTTCATCAACATTCATCTACTTTCTCCCGCTAATGTCTCAGCTGTTTTCTTAACAAAGTGTCGAATATCTTCAGTGACAGAAATGTGTGCTCCTCTTTAATGCCAGCTCGCCACATCAAGGTTGTTCGGCCCATGTATGGCGCCGAAGTCTTAGAGGGGGAAACCGCACGATTTGAGGTCGAGCTCAGCGAAGACGATGTCCACGGCCAATGGAGACTGAACGGAGAAGTCCTCAGTCCATCAGCTGTATGTTCTTTTAAAGTACATCTATGAGCCACATGTGATTCCCTTCTATTATAGAGAAATTGTTTTAGAAGGATGCCTAATGGAGCAAATGCTAGTTTTTCCGTCAGCTACCAACTAATGCCTTCCACCTGATCACCTTTTACTGAGCATGTTTTGGGTGACATGCTGACATTTGTTGGCCATCTACAGGACGTTGAGATTGTGGAAGATGGTGCCAAACACACTCTGGTCTTGTACAACTGCAAAGTGCCCCAGACAGGCGAGCTTGTGTTTGCTGCCGCCAACGCCAAGTGTTCTGCTAACCTTAAAATCAGGGGTGAGCTTCTAATTCTAAACTGATCAAAGAAAAAAAGATGACACTTGTCCTCTCCTTTTTGAGAAGACGCAATATCATACATGCAATAGTGATTTGCACTATTACACCATCAGCCCCCACCTTCTGGGGTTTGAGATTAATCCTTTCTGACTGAACCAACAGAGCTACCGCTTTCATTCATTACACCGCTGGCTGATGTACATGTGTACGAGAAGGAGGAAGCTAAGTTTGAGCTGGAAGTTTCACGAGAGGCCAAAAGCTTCCGTTGGCTCAAAGGGACTCAGGAATTGTCAAACGACGATAAGTTTGAAATCAGTGTAGATGGAAACCTACACACTCTTGTCGTAAAGTCCGCCAGATATGAAGACGAAGCCAAATACATGTTTGAAGCTGAAGATAAGAGGACATCGGGAAAGTTGATTATTAAAGGTACAACTAGCCGGTACAACTTGGTTTTATCACACTGGGATGGTTTTTATAGACGCTTAAGAAAAGAGTGCCAAGTGTTTGCTAAAAGCCTTCAAACCAAACAACTGAGCAGTAACAGCAAATATTTGCCTATTGCAATGAAAAAATGCAAAACGGAGAAAACTTCATATAGTTAATAGAGCACACATTGAAGTACTTTTTGTAGCTGGGAGTAAATACCTGGTTCCCCCATAATGCAGCTCAGTTTACAACCTTTTAAAAGTGTCATTAATTCAAATAATATTTAAAAATAAATTTTAAGATAATACGCATTAGATTATTACACACATTTCAAGCGTTTGCTGTGTTTTAATGAGGGCCTAAAGCCAGTGATTGGAATAAGAATAGGAAATAAAACCAAAAAACATGATTTTTCTAGTAAATGTTTTTACCACTTTAAAGTCTTCACAATCATAGGGAAGAAAGCTGCATTGCTAAAGAGGCTGGCTGCTCACAGATGATGATCTCCCAGTGTATTAAGAAATAATTAGAGAAAAGAGGAAAGTATCAGCCGCTTCACAAGCAGCACAAACTATCGTAGAATTGAAGACGTGAAGCATGAAGATTGTTTATGGGAGACTCATAAGGAACGGACTGCACCTGGAACCGCCACCCACAAACATATCCAGGAAATTGTTTTTCCATGTATGGGCCAACCAAGGACCAGAGGCAACATCAGAGGTCTGACCAAGGAGAGGAAGCGCTGAAGCCCTCATGATGATTTAGGGAGCTTAATCTGCCCAAGCTTCCATGATAACCAGGATGTTACTACTCCTTACATGTAGAGCCAAGTGGCCTGACCTGAGCACCGAAGAGAAACTATTGAGTAATGTCAAGAGGAAGAGAGACTAGAGCCTACAATAGAATTACAACAGCTGCTTATAACCAACCTGCAGCTTCCTATTCATGCAATGCCATATAGATGCAGTAATTTATACAAAAGCAGCTGAGACCGACTATTAAACGCATTTACTATACAGTGCATTTATAAGCAATGTTTTGCTTGAGCAATATTAATAAAAAAAAACTTGAAGTGTATCATTCTGCCTGTTATTATGCTATGTATGATTTTAAATGGGCTTGTAATTTACAAATCTTCATACCTGAAATATATTTCTGCAAACATTTAGCTCTATAGAGCCGATTTAAGTCCGTTAATCAGTTTTTACGCTGTTTATTTTCCAGCATTTTAATTCGGACAAAAAACTATGTTAAGAAATACAACGAAAACTGGCAAATTTCCTTCGATTTCTCAAGTGCGTTAAGGTTTGCAATGGGTAAACATGATTTCCTACTGCTTTTTTCAAAGTCGTTTGGGTTTGTTAGAGGGCTTCAGGCAAACATTTACAAAAACATCCCCATGATGGCACCTGGAACACCTCTGTATATACCATATTGAAAATGTAATTTTTTTATCAGGTATTCGACTCGAATTTATCAGGCCGATTAAAGACGTGACCGTTAAGGAGAGAGAAACCGCCGAGTTCAGCTTTGAAATTTCTCATGAAAAGATTCCAGTGATTTGGTACAGAAACGAAGTGCGCCTGCATCCCAGCAAGCAGGTGCACATGTCGGAGGAGGGGAAAGTGCACACGCTGGCCTTCAAGGAGGTCACCATCGATGACACCTCCCTGATTAAGGTGGAGGCCATGGGAAAGACGTCAGAGGCGATGCTCACTGTTCTTGGTTAGTATCGATGTTCCAGATCTCGTTTGACCAGCATCAAACAATGAGGCTTTATATTCATTATGCCCTTCTAGCTCATCTTTGTGGTTTTAGCTCCATTTTGAACTGCTTGTTCCGGGTGTATACTTGCAGAGGGCGACCTCTACTTCACAGTTAAGCTCCAGAACTACACCGCAGTCGAAAAGGATGAGGTGGTCTTATCCTGCGAGCTGAGCAAGGCAGCCGGAGAGGTGAAGTGGTTTAAAGATGGCGCCGAAATTTTCTTGTCCAAGAATGTTCTCTTCCAATCTGATGGCAGAAAGCGCATGTTGGTGATCAAGAAATCTGCCAAGAAAGACATGGGAGCATACACCTGCGACTGTGGCACGGATAAAACCACAGCCAACCTGAACATCGAAGGTAATGAACGCCAGCAGATCCAGAAGCTGATATACAGCAAAGTTCACTGAACCTGTACCTGGACTGATGCTCACCTCATATCCATCCTTTATCTTCATGTCCTGAACTTCGAGTCTTTTCATTCTTCATAACCCAACCCTAACCATCACCTTCAACAGATTCCTCAGATTAATCCAACTTAAACCTGTCTTTCAGCTCACGTCTCTTGTTCTTTTCACCCCATCAGTCGCTCTGAATAAGAGCGACACCCCAACCTGTAGCATGTCTTCATGTTCACTGTCTTTCTCTGTCGTCTCCATGGCAACACGTCGTTCTCTCACTCAGTTCGGCCTCCCTCAGGTTTTCCTCATAACTCGTCTCTGAACCTCCACAGAGCGCAACATTAAGGTTGTCCGCCCGCTGTACAGCGTGGAGGTCACAGAGACCGAGACGGCCTGGTTTGAGACGCAGATATCTGAGGATGACGTTCACGCCACCTGGAAACTGAAGGGAGAGACCCTCCACCCATCTGCTGTAAGAAAACGCTGAACGATCCTCCAAAGGGAAACGGCTCCGTGTTTCCCAAAGAGGAACTCTGAGTTCATGTTTCTTTTTGATTCAGTTAGATGCATTTCTGTTCCTCATTTTTCAGTGTTTCTGTGCAAATACTCCCGTTTAAATGAACGCTGAAATTGATGATGTTTGTTGTCAGGATGTGGAGATAAAGGAGGAAGGGGCTCGACATATTTTGACACTCTTCAACTGCAAAATGGACATGGCCGGCGGCGTTGACTTCTCTGCAGCGAATGCAAAATCTTCAGCTCATCTCAGAGTCAAAGGTGACAAGAGATCACCGCCGCTTTGTTAAAAAAAACAGCCACTGTTCGTCTTCACCGGTGGTTCTTTGAACCAGATTCTTCTTTCTATGGGTTCTTATTCTTCTTACTGTGTTTTTTGTCTTTGTTGACTTCACTGGATTTTCTTGCTGCAGTTTGATCTCAATCAACTCCCATGAGATATAAGTTGGGGGAAAACTCCTCCAGCAATCAAAACCCTCTTCTTATGTGTAACTTTAGTCGATAACTATATGTATGTTATTCAATTTATGGCGCATCTCCTCAGATGTTGCATGTAGCTGTAGCAGAAAGGCAGAGAGTAAAGATTCAACAGGTTAATCGTCTCATTAAATAGATAATTATCTGCCACAAACCTAATTAGTGCAGAGATCCTGTGGTATTTTACTGCAGAGCCAAGATATTTCAGATTTCACCTCATGGACTTCATGCATTCCTTCGTATCACTGTTGTTCAGGCTCAAACCTGTTTCTCAAAAAGCCAGGTTGAGATGATTCTGATTCTCAAGAAGATATTTTTCAATCAACCGGTTGATTGTTATGAAGATACATGAGAATCCTTAACAGGTCTTTATGAAAGAGGAAAAAAAACATAATTCATTAACAGGTGATTACTGCGGGAAACTCTTCTCAAGCTCTGCAACATCCACCTGTCTGTTCTCAAGGGGAACTGGGATGGACAATGAAACACTGGGATTGGCTGTGTGGTCTAGATAGTCTAGATGTTTCTTGGATAAAAGATGTAAAGACTAGAATAGACATCTAGGTTGTTCTTTGCTAGCAGTCTGTGGGGGAATGGGGTTGAATCAGGCGAACCGTCACTTCTCTGACAAGATAAGCCAACAATCTGCTGCCTTCAAACACTGATCTGCATCAGGGCAATGCTGCACAAATGCAAAAGAGGAAGTAGAGGGTACACCCAATGGAGACTGACTGACCTCGCTTCAATCCGAACTTTTCCCAATAGAGAAGATTGGAGACCTGTGGCTAAGATGTGTTTTCAGGAAGAATTGGAAAAAGGAAAACCTAAAGAAAGAATGGCAACATGGCAAACTGGGAAAAAAAGGAAGTGAAAGATCATTTTCTTGAATGTGCTGCAGGATAAGTCAAGGAATAGATTAATGTCAATGGGTAAAGTTAGGCTAAAGAGACAAACAGGAAATATCTCGGCTTCATGCTGAGTCACAGGAAGTTAGACGTGCAGAATCAGAACTAAAATCTACGTAGACACTGATGATGTCAAAGCGGCATTTTATTGTTAAACTGCTGCCAGACATCATGAACAGTTAAGCTCACATGTTAGAAGATGAAGCGTATAAACATAGCTGGCTGTCACCAACGCTGTCAGACACTTTAACTGCCTGTAAACGGTTTTAATTCAGGCATGCCAGGAAGGCTGTTGTAAATACTTCAAACTGTTGGTTAATCCAAACGGACATCCTGAAGCTCAACTTGGCCAGCGTTACCTAAACGTTCTGAAACAGGTTGCACAAACCACAGCTGTGGACGATTATATGAGTGGAGCGTTGGATAACTCCTGCCAGGAGCTTCACTTTCTCTGTTTACAGGGAAAATGCAGGCAGGGTGATTGACAGGAACAGACTGGCTTCCCCTCATGGTTTTGGCAGACGTGGGCTGTTAGCCAATCAGGCAACTCAGTTATTTTAGTATCCGTATGCCTTATCAAGCACGGGTCCTCAGTGGTTGGTGGAAGGGGGGTCCGTGACCCTGCGTCCTACTGGTTTCTGCCAACTGTGCCTCTCTGACGGCAGGACGTATGCTAATGAGCCTCTTCTCAGTGCCAAGTCACAGGCGCTTGGCTTCAGTTGTCCTCAGGGCTTCCAGCAGCCTGCCGTCACCTCAAATTCACCATGAGGATTGGCCACTGAGGATCTGCTGCTCCTCTGTTGGGATTTCTTGCAATCAATTGACCTGTTTGAGGGGGGGGACTAACCATGTCTTCTCCCCAACCCGAAGGCCGGGTGATCACCCTGGTGAGGCCTCTGAAGAACGTCACAGTGACTGCAGGAGAAACCGCCACCTTCCAGTGCGAGCTGTCATATGAAGACATCAGCGTTGATTGGTTCCTGGGGGGTACAAAGCTGGAGCCAAGCGACAGAGTAAGTCTTATCACATCTGACACACCTGCTTGTTCATTTCCTGACACACTCACCTTCAGCCCAGGAGTCCAAACCAGGCGCCAGCTCTGGTCCAGGTCCAGGTCTCTGTGTTCCTCTTCGCTGTCTGTTTTGCTTTGGGTTGCTCCAGCCTGTTCATATAAGGTGCTGCAGGTGGAGGTGCAGGGTTCCAGCCTAGCATTCGATCCTGGTTTTTAGATAACGCAAGCAGGGAGCCTTTTCTGCCCTGCAAGCGTTTCAGTGGGTTTATTTTTAACAGCCAGAGGCCGCAGCAGGAGACAGGTTGGAAGTGTAGATATTCATTAATGTCAGCTTTTTATCTCTGGGATTGTTTTAGATGCTTCTGTGGATGTAGTAGCTGGTTCTGCTGGGCCCTGGAAGGATTTAATGTCATAAAGATGCATCAATGTTGGTTATCTAAGGCAACCTGAGACCTTCCTAGGAAACCTGATCCCTCTCTGGGTTGTGTAAGAGCAATTAGCATGCGTTGAGTTTGATAAAACCTTTAAAAAATATAGGTATGTTTTCATTTAAAGGTTTCCATTGATTATTTGTTCTTTTAATTCAAAATCTAATGTAAGTTTAGGGTTTAGTATGTAAGAGAAATTTACTCTTAAAAGTGTATAAAGTTTAGCAGTCATTAATCTGTTTAGATGCATTTCTGTCCTGTCTGTAATCATTGTCCAAAAGCAACAGAAATCCACTATTCTCATTCCTCTTGTATAATCCTCCTCAGTGAGTTATACAGTTTTTTTTTTTGCTTTGGCAGCTCTCTGTCACATACAGGCAGAGGCTGTGTGGTAAAATCATCCGTCAGGGGTTAGAGGTCTCGAAGTTTACATTTGGGGAAGGAAAGCAGCTGTCTTTTTGGGCTCTAACTTTTAGGGCTCCGTTGACAGGTTGTGTGTGAGCAGTTCAGAGAGTTTGCAACCATCAAAACTAATGTTCCTGGTTGATTAAAAGCTTAACCTGCCATAAAACGTATTCTAAAAGGTGTCCCAGAACACCTCAAATTTTGAGAGAACCTGTTTAGTCTGAAGGCAATACCCAGGACAAAGCTTGCGCTAACTTACTCAGGCCAGATAGATTTCATCCATTTCATTCTGCATGTCAACAGCTATAAATGAGTTTATCTCATAACGTCAGTTAGGTTAATGTTAAAATGACAGCAAAAAGTTGAATAAACTTAATTTATATAAAGGAAAATAAGTATAAAAAATATTAATTCTACATCAGAGCAGACTCTATACATCTCAACACAGAGACTTTCACTAGGCAAAAACCTGACACTGTCATCCCTCAGGGACTGAAAAGCATGTTGACTGAATCTGTTGAACCATCAGGTGGTGTTCAAGGATGAAGGGAAAGTCTACAGCGTCACGGTGAGAGACGTCCAACTGAGTGAAGCTGGACAAGTCAAACTCACCGCCAAGGACTTTGAAACTGAGGCAAGGCTCATTGTCAAAGGTAAGGTATCAACTTAAGCAGGATTTACGAATAACATCTGCTCCTATATGAGAATAAAGATCCGTTCCACTTAATCTCACTCGCAACCCCACACTTTAAACATAAACTGAATCGCTGCCGTCATGTTCTTGTGTTTCATCAGAGCCGCCAGTAGAGTTCACCAAACCTCTGGAGGACCAAACAGTAGAGGAGGAAACCACCGCCACCCTTGAGTGTGAAGTTTCCAGAGAGAATGCAGAGGTACAATGGTTCAGCGAAGACCAAGAGATCCACAAGACCAAGAAGTACGAAATACTCGCAGACGGCCGCAAGAGAACGCTGCTAATCCATGAATGCACCAAGGACGACTCAAAAACCTACACTTGTGATGCTAAAGACTTCAAAACGTCCTGCTTCCTTACTGTTGAACGTAAGTATACCTGTGAGGGGCATGTGAGGGAGTTTTAGATTGTTCTAGAGATAGAGACAGAATAAGACATTGGAGAACAGCCAGCAGCATTTAGAATTTATTGAAACTCCTGGGATAATTCCTGCAACTAAAGGTTTATTGTAAGAAACCTGCTGTAGGGAACCTAGGTTCCATTTATCATTGATAACAGAATCAGAATTATAAAACCCTAACCTCTACGTCATGTAAGGTCAACATTGGTTAAAGTAATGCCAAAACTCTTCAACCCCTAGCAGTTCAGGAAAGATTTAACCTGTTGTGTAAACCTTGAAGATGGGAGATCTTTAAAGAACCAAAGCACAACATTTTTTAAGTTAATGTGGATACACAAACAAATGATCAGAGAATACAAAATATATATGGAGTGAGTAAAACCTTGTGCTCTGACATCACTACGGCAACCTTCTGTTAATACATTTTAATTGCACGGACAGCTCCACGTGTCGAGTTCTCAAAGCCACTCCATGATGTCGAGGTCCGGGAGAAGGAAACCGCCAGGTTTGAGTGTGAAGTCTCCAGAGAGGACGCCAAGGTAAGCAAGGATGATTTTTTCTTCCCCGTTCATCGCGACCTAGACCAATGAAAGTGATTCATCGGTTTTCAGCCTCTCAGAACCGTCCTCCACTGTCTTTCTCTGCAGATTCGCTGGTTAAAGGACGGAACTGAAATCAGAAAAGGAAAGAAGTATGAAATTATTGCAGAAGGCCGCCAACACATCCTCATCATCCATAAGGCTGCGTTTGATGATGAAGCTGAATACGAAATTGATGCAAAGACCTCCAAATCCTCCGGCATGCTCACCGTTGTCGGTAAGAATCCTATATCCTAATTTAGCAAAGATCTACGAAATTAAAACAACATTCTCCATTGGGTGAGAGGCAGGAGATCACGTTAAGGGATCTGAATCCTGGATAAAGATACGTCTGTTTTTTTCTCTAATTAAAAGAGTCAGTTTTTACTGACTGTATCTGCAAGGATTCTATTACTCTACTGGGACACCTAGTGGCCAATCAAAGTTTTACATCAGGGGTTTATGTATAAATGTTTATTTTAATTCCTAAATATTCAAAATATTCAAACAAAATTGCTTAGTTCTAAAATCAAGCAAAGAAAGTTTTACCACAGTAGTACTTCTTTCACTTCTGCAGTGTCTTATTTCAAAAATGTTTGTATTTTAAGAAATACACATTTTTGATCTTTTGTACAAAATTAAGCTTGGTGACTGTAAAGTTTATACATCCAGACAGAACAGTTTGGATTTTATTACACAAATACAAGAATTATATTAAGAATATGTCGTTTTTGTTTATTTAGAGGTGTCAAAATATTCATGTTTATCGATCAAGTAGGCGTTTAAATCCTACTGTTTAAAAACACTTTTGTAGAAATTAGAGAATCAATTTAAGCTTTTTACTTGGTGAAACTTTACTGCACTACACTATTCAAGGAACATTTTTTTACAATTGTGGGTGAAAACCTCCTCAGTCTTAATGTTCTTAGTTTTATAACTAATGGTAACAGTGTCAAATTTAACTTTGTATCATCTTGAAAAACTATTTATTTTGGTATGTGGTGAGCAACATGTTGGGGCAGCACCTAGGCCAACCACAAAGGCATTTCTTTTCTGGATGGAACTTTTTGATGTCTTTTATTTTGTTAAATGCCAACAGGCCATAATGAAAATGAGCTTAAATGAAACAAAACTAACGGATCTATTTTTTTTTAATGTTTGTAAAAGTAAAAAGTTGTCAATCAGAACTCCAGTAAAGTACAGATAACCAAAATTTCTACTTCAGTAAGATAACAAAATATTTGTACTGTGTTACTTTACACCTCTGTAAGCCAATCATCAATACGGCTGGGTTTATTGACCTCTACGTTTCTCTGCTTAACCTTTTGTGTCGCTGCAGAGGAGGAAACAGTATTCTCCAAAAACCTTTCGAATGTGGAGGGAACGGAGACGGAGAGTGTGAAGCTCATCTGTGAGGTCTCCAAGCCCGCCGCCGACGTTAAATGGTACAAAGGCGAGGAAGAGCTGCCAGAGGGTGGCCGCTATGAGCACATCGTTGATGGCAAGAGGAGGATCCTCCTCATCCAGGACCTGAAGTTAGAGGACGCCGGAGAGTACAACTGCAGGCTGAGCTCCGGTGCCAGAACCACCGCAAACCTCAAGATTAATGGTAAGAAAAGAAAAACCGAAGCAGTTTCTGATGTTACGAGGTTCAGCTCTAACCGCACCTGCACACATTTTATAGAAAGACCCTCAGCCTGGACCTTGTTGCAGGATGACAACATGTCTACAGCATATAAAGTAACTCATAAAATATATTTTGTATTTAGATGGTCACTGAATACAAATAATCATTTGTGGGGAGTAGGGGTCTAGTGGTTAGGACATTGTGCTTGAAATCCAGAGGTTCTGAGTTCACGCAAGACCCGTAACCCAATACCGCTCCCCATGTACCGCACAATGGCAGCTCACTGCTCCCCAATAGGATGGGTTAAATTCAGAGAGGTAATTTATTTCATTGCTGCGAAAATCTGGAAAAATAAAATGTAATCACCAGAACGTTCTCATATCAATCATCATAAAATAAAAAGTCAAAACATCAATCTCACCACCTACCTACCTACCTACCCACCTATCTACCTACTTAGCGAGCTAGCTAGCTACCTACCTACCTACCTACCTACCTACCTACCTACCTACCTACCTACCTACCTACCTACTTAGCTAGCTACCTACCTACCTACCTTCCTTCCTTCCTTCCTTCCTTCCTTCCTTCCTTCCTTCCTTCCTTCCTTCCTTCCTTCCTTCCTTCCTTCCTTCCTTCCTTCCTTCCTTCCTTCCTTCCATGGGAATCCCAAGGCGCTCCCAGTCCAGCTGAGAAACATAGTCCCTCCAGTGTGTCCTGGGTCTCCCCCAGGGCCTCCTCCCCGTGGGACGTGCCTGGAACACCTCACCAGGGAGACATCCAGGAGGCATCCTAATCAGATGCCTGAGCCACCTCAACTGGCTCCACCTCAATTTGTACTAACTGAGAAAGTTAGCACAAATCCTCCCCGGATTACTGAGCTCCTCACCCTTTCTTTAAGGGAGAGCCTAGACACACTATGGAGAAAACTCATTTCAGCCGCTTGTATCCGGGATTATTAGCCACTAGACATATTTAGTCCTTCAGGTAAGATTTGCGTCTGAACATGGACGGCCAATAGGACATGCCCTCAAAACCTCTATAGACACCAATCCAGGAAAAAAAGTCACATGATTACACCCCCACCATGTCTCTAAAGCAGAGGAGGCCACATCACAAATGAGCCTGACTTAAGCATCCTCTATCTAAAAACTTGCTCTTTGGGCCGTGATCCATCAAATTCCGAGCTTCTCCATCTCACAGGCAGTGTCCCCTCAGAGAAGGTCAATGACAAACTATGACACCTTTTAAAGTCTATCTGATGTTTCTCTCCCCCAGAACTGGCTGCTGAATTCCTGACCAGACCTCAGAACCAGGAGGTGGTGGAGGGTCAGAAGGCCGAATTCACCTGCACCGTCTCCAAGGAAACCTTCACCGTCATATGGTTAAAGGACGGCAAGGAGCTGGAGTCAGGAGGCAGATTTGATATGGTGAGTGACGGCAAGACCAGGACCCTGGTCATCAAGGACTGCGAGACCACTGATGAGGGCGGATACGTGGTATTGATCGGAGAGACCAGAGCCGGAGCTCATTTGACAGTGAATGGTAAGTAAGCTCCGCCCACTAACTCAGACAGGCCCCCGGACAGGCAGCCACTAAATACCCAAGTGTGTCTTTCCTGCAGAGAAACTGAAGGTCATTACACCTCTGAAGGACTCAGAGGTCAAAGAAGGACAGGAGATTGTCCTGAACTGCGAGGTGAACATCGAAGGAGCCAAGGCCAAGTGGCTAAAGAACGAGGAGACTCTTTTCGAAAGCGGCAAGTACGTGATGGTTCAGAGAGATAACGTCTTCTCCCTACGGATCAAAGACGCTCAGAAGGGAGACGAAGCCGACTACAGCATCATGCTGACCAATCATAGAGGAGAACAGGCCAAGAGCACCGGAAAACTCTCCGTCAGAGGTTGGTTCTAAACTTCAAACATCATGGATACAAACGGGACGATGTTTCAATGAATATTAGATAAACATCTAAACCAACAAATCCAGCCATAATTTCCCTGATAAACTGGTCCTGATCTTTACATCTCAAGGCTTCTGAGCCATCTTTAATCTGGATTGGCTGATGCTAATAAACGGTCTAAAGATCTCATTTGAAACACTTTTTTACCTTGTTGGGCGAATAAGTTGCTATTCCAAATAAATTTAACAAAATGTCAGATTCAAGACTGAAGCTGTGTGAAAACTGGAAAGGTTAGACAGAAATCGTGGAGATCTCATGATCAGAACCACAAATCAAGGATTTATTACAAGTTTAAAGTCTAACAGATTTCTGAGGTTGATTAAAGTTTCTTCATTAACCTGAAAACTATGTGTTGTTCAGAGGAGAGTCTGAGGATCATGGTTCCTCCAGAAGACATCGACACTCAGGAGAAGAACACAATCAGCTTCTCCTGTAAGACCAACAGACCCAACGCCACAGTGAAGTGGATGAAGGCTGGTCAGGAGATCGCCTTCAGCAAGCGGGTGGTCTACAGGGTGGACAAGGAGAAGCACACGCTGACCATCAAAGACTGCACGCTGGACGACGAAGGCGAGTACACTGTGATGGCCGGAGACGACAAGGCCACAGCGGAGCTGATCATCAGCGAGGCGCCCACCGACTTCAGCGCTCCTCTCAAAGACCAGACCATCACAGAATTCGAGGACGCAGAGTTCACCTGCAAGCTGACCAAAGAGAAGGCAGAGGTCAAGTGGTACAGGAACGGACGGGAGATCAGAGAGGGACCAAGGTACAGGAACGCCACCTTATTATTCTGCACACAGGCCTCCAGTTCAAAACTAAATTAAAATAACTCTGATATAAAGCATTCATTAGGACGGTAAATAATATGCATGTCTGTAGTTCTATCATGTAGCTCTGCTACAACCAAGTGTTTCCTTATAGAATTTAAATAGTTTTAAACATCAAAAGAAACTTTTTTGTATAGATTTTACTAAGGGTGAAACATTTAATTAGATTAATCCTGATTAATTGATTTTTGAAATATTTGTCAATTTAGTAATCGATTAATAACTAACTGGAGAATAGAGACTAAAAGATGCCTTTAGCTGACCTGGAGACCCACTTAGATCAGTAGGTAGACCAAGACTGTTCTCTAGACTGCCTACGGCCAGGCTAGAGAATTTTCTGTCTATTTCGAGAATAAAGTCATAACATTACGAGAGTAAAGTCATAACATTATGAGAATAAAGTCGGAATATTACGAGAAAAAAGTCCCAACTAGAATATTCATAAAATTACTACAATAAATTCGTAATATTATGAGAATAAAGTCGTAATATTATGAGAATAAAGTCGTAACATTATGAGAATAAATTCGTAATATTATGAGAATAAAGTCGTAATATTATGAGAATAAATTCGTAACATTATGAGAATAAATTCGTAATATTATGAGAATAAAGTCGTAATATTATGAGAATAAAGTCGTAACATTATGAGAATAAATTCGTAATATAATGAGAATAAAGTCGTAATATTACGAGAAAAAAAGTCACAAGGAGAATAGTCATAAAATTACGAGAATAAAATTTTATTTTATGACAACTCATTTTAGGGAAGCCCTGTCTGCCCTAAAATGAGGAATGTGGAGCATCATGTGAAGTTCTACTTTAGCATCGGTTTGACAAATCAGGAAATCTTTTAGCAGCAGCATCAAACTGGACAGGATGTCAAAGTGGACTCTGGTTGCTGATTGGTGGAGCTGATCGGAGCTCGAAGTTTTCTTTCTGAAACTGGTTGTGCTATGATGATTTAATTTAACTTTAACTTAATTCTAAAAAATAAAAAAGATCTTTAGCCTGGCCGTAATAAAATGTCGTATTCTAGAACCACAATAAATTTAACAAAAATGTAATTTCACCTGGTCTAATTCTGTATAAAATCTTCTTTAAGGAACCAGTGATCCCATTATTCATTGCTTTATTGAAAAAAACTAGATTAAGATTAGCAAAATAATCATTATTGCAGCCCTAGTTTTTACTAACTGGTTTATTCCCTCAGATACACATTCGCAAAAGAAGGAAAGTTCTTCACGCTGCGGATCAAGGAGTGCAGACCCGATGACGAGTGTGAATATGCCTGTGGAGTGGACGACAAGAGGTCTAAAGCTAGGCTGTTTGTTGAAGGTACGAAGCTCAGGCTGCCTTCAGAGGTAACCCATGTCACCTCCAGGATGACATCATCATGACCCTCTGTGTGTCCCGCAGAGATTCCTGTGGAGATCGTCAGACCCCCACAAGACGTGTTTGAACCCCCGGGTTCGGACGTTGTTTTTGAGGTGGAGCTCAACAAGGACCGTGTGGAGGTGAAGTGGCTGCGTAACAACATGACCGTGGTCCAGGGAGACAAGTTCCAGATGATGAGCGAGGGAAAACTGCACCGGCTGCAGGTCTGCGAGATCAGACCCAGGGACCAGGGCCTGTACAGGGTCATGGTCAGGGACAAGGACGCCAGGGCCAAGCTGGAGCTGGCAGGTGGGCCTTCGGTTCAGGATGGACAAAAGAACTGGAAACCAGTCTGTAGAGGGATCCACACCTCCTGCTTATGTCTGCAAATTTATATCGATAAGACAAAAATGTTATGGGTTGAAAAATGCTTGTAGTATAAATAAGTAAATATAAGTAAATAAGTAAGTAAACATTTCTTAAATTAAGTGTATTTACCCTTATTTTGAGTAGGTAAATAAGGTAGTTTGCCAATGGTATGAGTATTTTTACTCTTAAAATCAGATATTTAGATAAAATGCACTTACAATAAGACAATGCAATTGCGTTTTCTTATTTTAGATGTAAATTGTCTTGTTCCATTGGCAAAATGTCTTTTTTATCCCCTTAATCCAAGACCAAATGCATTTATTTTAAGAAAAAATGACTTACAGCATCTAGATTTGTATTTTTTTCCAGTGCAGGCATCAGTCACTCTGACCTGCAGTAATGATGTCATATAAACTTTAAAAACTAAAATCTTATATCTATGCACTACAAAAAATAGAAATCTAAATAAATATTTTTTTTCTTAAATATCTATTGTTTTTCCTGAATTCAGGAGGTAATTGAGACACTTTGTCAATAAAACAAGACAATTTAAACTTAAGATAAGAAAAAATAATTACTTTGTCTTATTTTAAGTGCATATTGTCTAATTATCTTACTTTAAGAGTAAAATACTCATTCCATTGGAAAAAGATCTAATTCACCTACTCTAATTAACTTAATTTAAGAATGTTTTACTAATTTCTAGATCGTTTTTGCAGTGTGACAGTAGCTTTTATTGAAGAACTGCAAAAACGATCTAGAAATAAGAAAAAATTTCTTAAATTAAGTGTATTTACCCTTAATTTTAGTAGGTAAATAAAATGATTTTCCATTTGAATTTGTAGTTTTAAAAAAATCAAATAAGACATTGCAATTGTTTTTTTTCTTATTTTAAATGTTAATTGTCTTGTTCCATTGGCAAAGTGTCTTATTTACCTCCTCAATTCAAGAAGAAATGAACTTTGAAGAAAAAAATTATTTATATTTCTATTTTTGCAGTGTAAAGACAGCAGTTATTCCAATATGGTTAACATAGTAATAATTGACTATTACATTCTTGATAATAACTATTCATAATACGTTTTTTTTTTTTCATTTTAATACTAGAGGAGGCAAATATATGAAGTGTGAATGCATGATTAAAAATTAAAGCTTACTATTGATTAAAAACTGCTGATTTCCTCTGGTGTGTCTATTGGTTGAGTTTCTCCTCTGACAGCTCTTCCTCTCTCCTTTAACCTCCTCCAGCCGTGCCTCAGATAAAGACCACAGACCAGACCTACGTCACAGACGCCGGGAAGCCCATTGTCCTGGTCGTCCCGTACAGCGCTTACCCTCAGGCAGAGGCCGACTGGCTGTACGACAACCTGAGCCTCCCCAAAGACAACATCCACACCTCCGCCGACCGCACAGAGTACCGCCTGAAGGACCCCAAGAAGTCGGACCAAGGCCGCTACAAGATCAACATCAAGAACAAACACGGAGAAGGAGAGGCTTTCATCAACCTGGATGTCATCGGTGAGCTTCCTGTTGTCAGTGAAGACGAATATTACCCAATTTAACTCAATGAGAGTCACATTTTTTTTTTATCAACATTTTCAGACTTCGATTTATAGGCAAACTGAGTCGTTTTAGGAATTTGTAACCTAATAATATAAAGAAATACAGCATTTGTTTTATTTATTTGATATTTTTCTAAATATTGCATTAAAAAAAATCCAAAAGTAGCGTTTATGCCTTAATCAATAAAAACATACCTCTGTTCAATATCATGTTCAGTAGCATTAAATCATCCTATAACACAAAAAGTATCATTTTGAGTTGAGTGTGAGCGTATTTTATAATGGAAAAATGTAGTTTATCTACATAGTGTGTTAATTGCCAGGATTACATGATTTATAAACCATTATGAATCAAATATGATACAAACGAAACCAGCTGTGTTTTTAAACTGGAGAATCGTTTCCCTAAAAGTTAAGACCAATAGAAAAATCCTAAAGGTTTTAAAATCCTAACCTTCTTTTTAAACCCAACCCGTTTGAAACAGACGTCCCTGGACCTGTGAAGAACCTCCAGGTGGTCGACACCGCAGACGGCGAGGTCAGCCTGGCGTGGGAGGAGCCTGAGAACGACGGTGGCAGCAAAGTGACCGGATACGTGGTGGAGAGACGCGACATAAAGCGTAAGACCTGGACTCTGGCCACCGATCACGCAGAGAGCCCAGAGTACACGGTGACCGGGCTGCAGAAGGACTCCTTCTACCTGTTCCGAGTCAGCGCTCGGAACAGGGTGGGCGCCGGACCCTTCGTTGAGACGGACGAAGCCGTGCAAGCCAAGAACAAGTTTGGTAAGACTTTTTTTTCAAAGCCACTAGTCTGGCTTCATTGGACTAAACCAGCCTAAACATTTCTACCTTCTGTTTTTAGACGTTCCTGAGGCCCCTCTGAACGTCATCGTCGGAAACGTCACAAAGTTCGGATGCACTGTCTCCTGGGAGCCTCCCGTATCAGACGGAGGCTCTCCCATTACCTCCTACATCGTGGAGCTGCGTGACAGGACGTCTGTGAAGTGGTCGCCTGTCCAGGTGACCAAAGCTGGCGAGCTTAGCGCCATTATCAACGATGTCATTGAGAACAAAGAGTACATCTTCAGGGTCAAAGCTGAGAACAAAGCGGGCGAGGGCAAGCCCAGCGCCGCCTCGCAGCCTGTGAAGATCATGGATCCAATTGGTGAGGCCTAGTAACACTTATTAATCTTATATTTCATCATCCTAATCCCATCTAGTAAATCTGCGTTGTCTCGGACTAAAACTCCTGACCTGGTTCTCTCTCCCGCAGAACGTCCTAGTCCACCTCAGAACCTGGCTTGGCAGGACCAGAATAAGAGCTCAGTGCAGCTCACCTGGGAGACGCCTCTGAAGAATGGCGGCAGCATGATCACCGGGTACATCATCGAACGCTGTGAGGAGGGCACCGACAAGTGGTTACGCTGCAACGCTCGCCTCTGCCCGGACCTCTTCTACAAGGTGATGAAGGACTGCCTCACAGACATCCAGCTCCATTTCATGGCTGTTAAAATGTTTTCTAACTAGACTATGCCAGTCAGTCAGATCTCAGTTTCCAGTAAACAGCAATGATCGGTGATCGGCAGCTTAAATAATTAAATTTCCTGTTTCTTCAATGCAGCGTACATATCATCGTTTCATATTTTTGACAGACTCTCAGCCAATAATAGAAAATGTAAGATTAATATAATTGAAGTATTTTCACTTCAAAGCCTTTAAGAAATGGCTTAAGTGAACTTTAAAAAATGGCCGCCTGGTGTACTTTGGGTAAATAAAGTAAAAAAAAAAAACTCCAGTCAGGCGCGCGGATGACGGTCATACACGCACCGCTTTGTTTTTAACAGATATAAATATAAAAAATCTAACCACGGATGTCAGGGGGACAGTGAATGGCCTACATGTTATGAATGCTGGCGCTGTACCCCTGCTGGCAGAAGAAAACTTCAACTCGTTGCCCATAGGAAGACGTTACTTGGATATAACCTAACGAAATATCTTCAGAACGGCTCCAAATGACACAAATAACGTAAAATCAAGGGTCCAATATAAAAAAAAATGAAATTCCCCTTTAACTGTCAACTGAGTGCCTTGGGAGCTTCACCGTCCAACATCCATCTTGTGTTTTAGGTGTCGGGTCTGAAATATGGAACCAAGTACAACTACAGAGTGTTTGCTGAAAATGCTGCTGGAGTTTCTGACCCATCAAACTGCATCGGACCTCTGCTGGCAGACGACCCTCATTGTGAGTATCATAGCATCTGTCCCGTTAGCACTGAATCTACAGTTTGCTCCACATGAGGGTGATTTCCATTTGCTGACTTTGCTTCTGTTTCTTTGTTCTCGTCACACATTTTATCTCCTCTCCAGTTGGCCCAAGTTTCGACCTGAGTGCCTTCAAAGACGGCCTTGAGGTGATCGTCCCTCAGCCTCTCACCATCAGAGTGCCCATCACTGGTTACCCGACCCCCGTCGCCAAGTGGAACTGTGGTGAAAAGGAGCTGACTACTGCAGACGAACGCGTCTCCCTAATGACCAAATCCACGTTTACAGAGTTAATGATTACACCGAGCGTCCGCCCAGACAAAGGCATCTACACCCTCCACCTGGAGAACGATGTCACCTCTGTGTCCGGAGATATCGAAGTCAACGTCATCGGTACACCAAATATATCACAGCAGATAAAAGGGGAAAGTGGATGTTAAGAAGTAACTTAAGCTAACTATGTCTCTGTTGCTGCTTGCAGCTGCACCGAGCGCTCCTAAGGACTTCAAGGTCCTGGAGGTAACCCGGCAGCATGTCCACCTGAGCTGGGAGGCTCCTGAACATGACGGAGGAAGCCCTCTGACCGGCTATCAGGTGGAGAAACGTGACGTGTCCCGCAAGACCTGGGTGAAGGTATGACATCAGTTCCTCGGTTTACTCCTTAACAAAGAGCCAAAAATCTTCGGCTCTGCCTGTAACGGCACCAAAATCTGTTTCAGGTTACCTCAGGGATCCAGGATCTGGAGTTTACAGTCACTGATGTGATTGAAGGGAAGGAGTATCTGTTCAGAGTCACCGCCTGCAACAAGTGCGGCCCAGGAGAGCCGGCGTACATCGACGAGCCCGTCAACGTCTCGTCTCCAGCCAGTGAGTCTGACAGGCAGCACAGATAACATTTCAAGTTTAAAAAAGCAAATAAACTAAAACCTCATATGGCATTTTAGGGCATATCTGTGACAAATATGACATTATTTGTTCCTTTAACTTTCTAACTCTCACACCTTCTAACCTTCCAGCTGTACCAGACCCACCAGAGAACCTGAAGTGGAGAGACAAGTCAGCCAGTGGTATCTTCCTCACCTGGGAGCCGCCAAAGTATGACGGCGGCACCGGCATCCGGGGCTACAACGTAGAGCGCTGCCAGAGAGGCACAGATAAGTGGGAGCCCTGTGGAGACATGGTGCAGGAGCTGAAATGCCAGGTGAGCGGTCTGATCGAGGGACAGTGGTATGCATACAGAGTCCGAGCCCTAAACCGCCTTGGAGCAAGCAGGCCCTGCAAGCCCACAGATGAGATCCAGGCTGTTGATCCTATAGGTATGAAATTATAGATTTTCTACTGTTACCCCTCAAAAATTCAAAATACTTACGGATAGGTCATTGAAAGCAAACCATTTCTGATGAGACTTTGCTGTTATCCCATCCACAGAGGCTCCAGAGATCCAGCTGGATGCCAAGCTGCTGGCCGGTCTGACTGCCAAGGCCGGCAGCAAAATTGAACTCCCTGCTGAAGTGACGGGTAAGCCGGAGCCACGAGTGAAGTGGACCAAGGCTGACCTGGTCCTCAAGGCAGATGACAGGGTGTCCATCGACACCAAGCCAGGACACTCAACTGTCACTATTGCCAAGACCAAGAGAGACGACAGCTCCACCTACATTATAGAGGCGACCAACAGCAGCGGGCGTGCCACTGCCACAGTGGATGTCAACATCCTTGGTAAGAAAAGACAATACTGAAATATAGCTCCTATCTGAGTTCAAGCTTAAACTAATTCCATATATCCAATGTAAAACAGACAAACCCGGACCTCCTGCTGCATTCGATATCTCCGATATCACCAACGAAACCTGCTTCCTGGCCTGGAACCCCCCACGTGACGATGGCGGCTCCAGGGTTACCAACTACATCGTGGAGCGCCGGGCTGCCGACAGCGAAATATGGCACCGCCTGTCCTCCACCGTCAAACAGACCACATACAAGGCCGTCGGCCTGGTCAAGTTCAAGGAGTACATTTTCCGTGTGTTTGCTGAGAACCAGTTTGGTGTTGGTCCACCTGCAGAGCACCCCTCCATTATTGCCCGATATCCGTTTGGTAGGTGACCTGACTGACATCCTAAGGGAAAGTCAGACTTTAAAAATGAATTCAAGAATCTTTAATAAAGTTTTTCCTGCTAAGGTCCTGCAGAAACGTTTAAGTTTATCATTGTGGGCGGTCTCCAGGAGCCTTAAGCTCCTGCTGTGGTTTAGCTAGGTCTAATCTTCATTTTTGGTCCTCAGACACCCCTGGAGCTCCCTACAAACTGGAGCCTTCAGACATTGCCAAAGACTCTGTGACGCTGACCTGGTATGAGCCGGATGAGGATGGAGGAAGCCCCATCACAGGATACTGGGTGGAGAGATATGAGCCAGACCACGATAAGTGGATCCGATGCAACAAGCTGCCCATCAAAGACACCAATTACAGGTGAGAGCAGCTCTGTTCAGGGGTCGATTTAAGAGTCATTGGGGGGGCCTTCTGCTGATTTGTCTTTTTTTAATTCCCACAGAGTAAAGGGTCTTCCAACGAGGAAGAAGTACAAGTTCAGAGTCCTCGCTGAAAATCTGGCTGGAACTGGAAAACCAAGCAAAGAGACGGATCCAATCCTTGTCAAAGATCCAATCGGTAGAACTACTGTCTGGTGTCAGCTCAGTTGTTTAACTGATCCAGTGAAAAGGGAATGTTTAGAATATCATGTTGGCTCTTCCTCCAGATCCTCCATGGCCTCCTGGTAAGCCCTCAGTCAGGGACGTAGCCAAGACTTCCTGCTTCCTGTCGTGGACCAAACCCGAGCACGACGGCGGTGCAAAGATCGACAGCTACGTCATCGAGATGCTGAAGAGCGGTACCACAGACTGGATCCGTGTGGCTGAGAACATCAGCCTCCTGGAGTTTTTCCTGAAGGGCCTGATGGAGAAACAGGAGTACTCTTTCAGAGTGAGAGCCATTAACATCGCAGGAGAGAGTGAACCCAGCGAGCCCAGCGACCCAGTGCTCTGCAAGGAGAGACTGAGTAAGGAAAAACTTGATAATCCTACCCTACAATATCAGACACCAGCACATTTTCAAAGTAAATGATGCTCACGCGATCTATGTTTGAACTTTCTTAGACCCTCCATCGGCACCCAGGTGGTTGGAGGTTGTGGGGATCAGCCGGAACAGCGCAGATTTGAAGTGGACGGCCCCGGAGCGTGATGGAGGGTCCCGGATCACCAACTATGTGGTGGAGAAGCGTGACGTGAGGCGTAAAGGCTGGCAGGCCGTGGACACCACCGTAAAGGAGCTGAAGTGCACTGTGACACCCCTCAACGATGGCGCTCTGTACGTGTTCAGGGTCGCCGCGGAGAACGCAGTGGGAGTCGGTCCATTCTGTGAGCTTGAGGATTCTGTGCTGGCCAAAGACACTTTCAGTAAGCGTGACAGATAACTAAAAATGTAGGAATTAAACATCTTTCTAGCAGGACAAAGGAAATAAGATGTTGTTTTGTTGCAGCTACTCCTGGACCGCCCTATGCTCTCACCGTCTACTCTGTGACCAAAAAGTATGTGGATCTGGAGTGGGAGGCGCCTAAAAATGATGGCGGTAGACCCATACTGAGGTGCTTGTTCTCCACCCTCCCTCACCAAGTCCCTGGTACCGTATGCTTTACAGCAATATTAATCATCTGGTGTTTCCTCCAACCAGGTATTCTATTGAGAAGAAGGAGAAGCTGGGAACACGCTGGGTAAAATGTGGAAAGACTTCTGGTCCAGACTGTAAATACAGGGTGACAGATGTCATCGAGGGCACAGAAGTCCAGTTCCAGATCCGGGCTGAGAATGAGGCCGGTGTCGGACACCCAAGCGAACCTACAGAGATCTTAACCATTGAAGATCCCACAGGTCAGCAAGAATCTGAGATTTTGAAGCCAGATAAGAGACAGCCAGAGCCTGAACGTGTCTGTCTTGTTATCCTCAGGCGTCCCTTCTCCTCCCATCGAGCTGCACGTGACCGGCGCCAGCCGAGACTTCCTGTCCATCGCCTGGAAGCCACCGCAGCAGGATGGCGGATCTCCGATCCGTGGCTATCACATTGAGATGTGCGAGGCTGGAACGGAGAAGTGGATGAGGGTCAACTCTCGTCCGGTGAAGGAGCTGAAGTACCGCGTGGAGGAGGGCGTGGTTCCTGAGAAAGAGTACATACTGAGAGTGAGGGCTATCAATTCAGTGGGAGAAAGTGAGCCCTCCGACATCTCAGAAAACGTCTTCGCCAAAGACTCCGACTGTAAGGCAGCCACATCTGCTTCCTCCACAAGTACGGAAATTGCCAAACCGTTTTTTAATATCCTCTTCTTCATGGTTCCAGGTAACCCTACACTGGAGTTCCAGACTCTCGACCTGGTTGTCGTGGAAACAGAGAAACTCCACATCCCAGTTCCCTTCAGAGCCGTGCCGTCTCCCAAAATCACGTGGCACAAAGATGGCAAAGAGATGAAGGCAGATGAGCGTCTCATGTTCAGGTCAGGATCTCGTTTAAAGTCCAAACAGTAACAGACATTAAATAAAAAACAAATGATGACCTCTCATTTCCAACGTTCGTTTTGAGCAGGAAGGAGTACACTTCCTGTCACTTGGAGATCGACAGCAGCCTTCACCCCGATGCTGGGGTGTACAAAGTGACTTTGGAGAACAATCTGGGAAGTGCCAGTGCAACCATTAACGTTAAAGTCATCGGTAATCACACATCCCATTGACCTGCCATAGAAACACTCGGTTATGCTTACAGACTCTCCAACATGCCATTCTGCCTGTGTCCTTAGGTCTTCCTGGTCCCTGTAAAGAGATTGTGGCATCTGAAATCACAAAGAGCTCCTGTAAAGTGTCCTGGGATCCTCCAGACTATGATGGTGGCACCCCGGTTCTTCACTACGTCCTACAGGTCTTTTTTATTTTCTGTTTAAAACAAAAGAGACAGTTTGAGTATCACCAAGCTGACGGTTTCTCTGTATGTTGGGTGGCAGCGGCGTGAGGCCGGCAGGAGGACGTACGTCAACATGATGTCAGGAGAGAACAAGGTGAGCTGGATGGTGAAAGACCTCATTCCCAACGGAGAGTACTACTTCAGAGTCCAGGCCGTCAACAAGATCGGAGGAGGAGAGTTCATCGAACTGCGGAACCCCGTCATCGCTCAGGACCAGAAACGTATGGAAAACTATTCCCTCTTTGACACCAAGCATGAACGTTTATCTAGACTTTTGGACTCAACATGGTCCAGAGGTGACATTAAATCCCTCTAACGTCAGCCCTCCAGAGGATTATTTCAATCAGGCCTGTAATATTGGAGGCACTTTGCTACCATTTAGAGGTCAGACTTATGTCCAGTCATGTCTGGCTCCACTCAAATAAAAAGAGTATATCTGCTGTATTCAAATTATGATTTCACGTATAAAAATCTGGGTTGAAACTTTAGGAACTGAATTTAGATTGTTTATGCTGAATGTGTACTATGTAATTTGATATTAAATGCTTTGGTTGGAATATGGATTTCACTATCCTTATCATTCTTATCACATCCTTATCACTTCATTATCATTCAATTATTTATGTTTTACATCAAGATAAACGTAATTGACCATATTTTGAGCTGAAGCAAAGGAGCTCTCCGTATACGAGCTTGGAAGATGTCATTGATGAGGCCAAACTGACATGTATAAGAAACATGGTGTAAGTTAAAAAAGATGTTAACTTAGCACAGTACCACTGTTGTTACATCATTCTGTTTCCTAATCAATACGTTTGGTGAATGACACGATTTGTGACACTTCATATGTGCTCCACTGCTTCAGCCCAGAATGCCTTTAAAAAAATTTGAAAAACATGAAGTTATTGACTTTGTGTTTGATTAATTGGTGGCTAAAGGACCCAGATGTCTCATTCTAAGAGACTAAATTTAAACCGGAAATTGAGTTATAGAACTGAAAGTAAAAATGAAATTTAATCTTTAATACAGCCAAATATATTTCAAAGCAAAATAATTTTGTTTTAATTCATTTAAAAATAATTTTCAAATCAATACCTTTAATTTAAATTTACATGGAAACAGATTCAGTGTGACCAAATTAAATTCAGGCAAGTTTCTTCCAAGTTTTTTTTGTGTGTATTTGTATATAAAACCAGGCACCTTTTAAAGAGTTCCTTCCTTGCATATATTGATCTCTATGGGGGTACCATGTTTGTTTTTTAAAGGTGAGGTCCAATGTTATCCTATTGATTTCTTGCTATTCCAGCTCTATACTGTTGTTTTGTCGTCCAAAATGGTTGGCAGTGACAGACACCCGGAAAGTTTCCCCATCATAGCTTTTTATTAGTTGTAAAATTTAAAATAATTGAATTCTGCTTGTATTTTTCCAGATGCTCCTGACCCACCAGTGGATGTAGAGACCCACAATCCCACCTCCAGTACAATAACCTTGACCTGGAAGCCTCCCATGTATGATGGCGGTGCCAAGATCATGGGATACATTCTGGAGAGGCAGCAGAAGGGCGAGGACAAATGGGAGAGGTGCAATGACTTCCTGGTGCCGGTCCTGTCCTACACAGTCAGAGGACTAACAGAGGGAAAGGAATACATGTTCAGAGTCAAAGCAGAAAATGCTGCCGGAATCAGTGAGCCATCACGCAGCACGCTGTTCGTTAAGGCCTCAGATGCTATCGGTAAGTAAAAGAGCATTTCCAACACTGTTCTGCAGAGCTTTTCTATGTAAGATTTCAGATTCAAGTTTAATTTAATTGAAATTTAAACTTTGTGTTCCAGATCCTCCCAAAGTGTTCCTGAGTGGTAGCCTGCAGTCTGGTCTCAGTGTTAGACGGGGCTGTGAGATCTGCCTGGACGCCAATATTTCTGGCTCGCCGTACCCTCAGATTACATGGTACTGGAACAACCAGCCAATCCAGCCTGAACCACTCCGCAAGAGACCCGAAAAACCCCTGAAAAAGAAGCCTGAGAAGAAGGAGGAGGAGAAGAAGGAGGAGGAGAAAAAGGCTGAGGGGGAGGCTGAGAAGAAAGAAGAGACGATGGAAGTAGAGGAAAAGAAAGAAGCAGAGGAGAAGAAGCCAGAGGAGGAGAAGAAGCCAGAGGAGGAGAAGAAGCCAGAGGAGGAGAAGAAGCCAGAGGAAGAGGCTGCAGAGCCAGAGGTGGAGGAGCCTGACTATCCCACCATCAACGAACGTCTTACTATCAATAACAGCCACAGGGGTGTTTCCTCCATCGCCATCAGGGAGTCAGTCCGCCCGGATCATGGCGTCTACATGGTGAAGGTGGAGAACGATCACGGCATTGCCTCAGCAACCTGTGAGGTCAACGTGCTCGGTGAGTCAACACTAATCCTTACAGTTAAACATCCCACAGACGAGGGCTGGAGGTGAGTTATCACTAACTACTGGTCTTTCATATCGGCAGATACCCCTGGCCCTCCTGTGAACTTTACATTTGAGGAAGTGAGGAAGAACTCTGTCATTTGCAAGTGGGATCCTCCTCTGGATGATGGCGGCAGCGAGATCCTCAACTACACTCTGGAGAAGAAGGACAACTCCAAGCTGGAGTTTGGCTGGAGTTGTGTTACTTCCACTCTCAGAGGGTGCCGTTACCTGGTGCCCAAACTCATTGAGAAGAAGGAGTACATCTTCAGGGTGGTGGCAGAAAACAAGTTTGGTCCTGGTCCGCCTTGCGTCTCCAAGCCTCTAGTTGCCAAGAACCCCTTCGGTATGACACAGATATGGAAATATTATCAGAAGTTGCTGAAGCTATGAGAAAGGGACACTCATTGGTTTTGCTGCTCTCTTTCAATTTCCTCAGAACCTCCCGAGGCTCCTGATAAGCCACAGGTTGATGACATCACAGCCAACAGCATGCTGGTCATCTGGAATGAACCAAAAGACAATGGCAACCCCATCCTGGGATACTGGGTGGAGCGCAGGGAGATCAACAGCTCCCACTGGGCACGTGTAAACAGGTGAGGGAACATCATAGCCTCTAATTTGTTTCCATTCAGACAGAGCATGTCTTCAGTCTCATTAAAATACGGCTTCCTTCTATGCTGACCTGCAGGAACATCGTCCCAGACACCCAGCTGAAAGTGGAAGGTCTCCTGGAGGGACTGACTTACATCTTCAGGGTAGCGGCTGAAAACCAGGCCGGCCCTGGAAAGTTCAGTCCTCCCTCTGAACCTAAAACGGCCCAGGCTCCAATCCGTACGTAAAGGGTTTCAAACTTTGCCCAGGGAAGATATCCTGGTCAGCTAACATTTTTGTTATTTCATGGTGTTGTCTCTACCCTTGCAGTGCCACCTGGACCTCCCACTGCCAGAGTGGTGGCTTCCACTGACCACTCCATTGAGGTTGAGTGGGACCCGCCTGCAGACAATGGTGGTGGAGAGATTCTGGGATACCATGTGGATAAGGTCAGAAGACGGAGTCTAACTATGCCTGGTTTCCTGGTTAATCCGTATGGAAATCCTCAATTGAGACAAACTGAATGTTGATGGTGTTTCTGTGGTTTCTCAGGCAATGGCTGGAACCAAAGACTGGTCTAGATCAACAGAACGTCCCTGGAAGACCCGTAACTTCACTGTCTATGGAGTTCGTGAAGGGGCAAAGTACACCGTCAGAGTCATCGCGTGCAACGCTGCTGGAGAGGGAGCTCCTGGATTCACAGAGGCTGTTTTTGTCCGGAACCCAGCAGGTCTGCCTTAAACCAGAACATCAAGCCATTCGAGACAGACATTTTCATTGTATTTGCTAACTTCTCTTGGTTCTAAATGTGCTCCACAGAAATTCCAGTTATTGAAATGGACCTTTCTGTCAAGAATGGTGTTATCATCAGAGCTGGAGAAACCCTGCGTGTTCCTGCTACAGTCACAGGTAAACCCTACCCATCCATCACCTGGACGAAGGATGATGGGAAACCGGATAAAGACCGTGTGGAGATCCTCAGCGAGGGAGACGACAGTATCGTCTTGATCAAGAACGTCCAAAGAAAAGATTGTGGAAAATACCAGATCTCTGCCTGCAACCCCAGTGGCTCCAAGTCTGCATCGACCAGAGTGGAAGTTATGGGTAACTAAAGCCCATGAAACCTGACAGAAGCTGCTCACATCACCAAAACCTTTTGACTAATGCCATGCTTTATGTTTTAGACGTCCCTGGCCCTATCACCGATCTGAAGCCAGTTGTCGTTACGCGCAAGATGATTTTCCTGAACTGGGATGACCCAGAAGATGATGGAGGCAGCGATCTGACGGGCTTTATTGTGGAACGAAGGGACGCCAAGATGCACACTTGGAGGCAGCCCATTGAAACCGCTTCATCAAAGTGCGAGTGTGTGGGCATCATGGAAGGGCAGGAGTACTTTTTCCGTGTCACTGCCAAGAACAAATACGGTTTGGGTGTACCTGTTGAGCTGGGGCCTATCAAGGCTGTGGATCCTCAGGGTAAATTTAGAATCATATATCATAAGCATAATAATAACTCGGTACATTTTTTTTTTTTTTAACTAAAACATAATGGGGATTGTTGTTTGTGCAGGTCCTCCATCATACCCTGAGAAGTTCCACTACACGGAGCGGACCAAAAACTCCATCACTCTGGCTTGGAAGCCTCCACGTAGCGATGGCGGCAGCCCTGTTATCGGGTACTTTGTAGAGAAGAAGAGGCAGGACAAGCAGGCCTTTGAGCCATGTAACACAGAGATCTGCCCCAACATGACTCTTACTGTGGAAGGCCTGGAGGAGGCCTGGATGTATGAGTTCAGAATCAAATGTGCCAATCTTATTGGTGAGAGCGAGCCATCCATCCCACTGACGGTGGTGATCCAAGATGATGAAGGTGACACTAATTTGTCTTTCTTTCCTTAAGAGAAACCTCAAACCTCTGTGGATGCTGGTATTTTTTTGCCTTATGCACTACATTATGTAAATGCTTCTGTTCCATTTTGCCAGTTGGTCCTGAGATCCACATGTTGAAGCACTTCAAGGCCGACTGTATTACTGTGAGGAAAGGTGAGCCTATCGAAATCCCCGCCGATATCATTGGGCTCCCCGTCCCGAATATCGAGTGGTCCAAGGACGATGTGGTGATCGATAAGCCAACAGAGACGCTGCTGATCGAGACAGAGGTCACTGGAAGGATGAATGCCAAGACCACGCTGTCCATCCCAGCTGCCAACAGGAGGGACCGTGGTAGCTACACCGTGTCAGCATCTAACAATATGGGCTCTGCTAAACACACCGTCTCTGTCATGGTGCTGGGTGAGTGAGAAGGATGCCGCAAAAGAAACTTAAATAAGGATCAAAGTGTCTACCTCTAAACTGGATGTTTGTTCTCTCCTCAGATCGACCAACTCCACCGAGGAACCTGACTGTATCTAACATCAGAGCAGAGTCCTGCTACCTGAACTGGGACCCACCAATTGATAATGGTGGCAGCGAGCTGACTAACTACATTATTGAGAGAAAGGAAGTGCGTAAAGATGAGCCTGAGCCAGAGGAAGGTGAAGAGGCTCCACCTGAGCCACAGTGGGAGGAGGTCAGCAGCACCATCATTGAGAGGAAATTTGGGGTAAGTAACGATAAAAGAGTAAACAGTGAACATTAAGTGCCTAGAGGGTTAACTCTGCTTCTTTTCCAGGTATGGAACTTGGAAACTAACAAGACCTACTTGTTCCAAGTCAGAGCTGAGAACCGCTATGGTAAATCTGACCCCTGTACAACAGAAGAAGTCCTCATTACAGACCCGTTTGGTCTTCCTGGACCACCAGAGAAACCAACTATTACAGAATACTCCAAGGTGTCTATGACACTCACCTGGCAGCCTCCTAGAGAGACTGGAGGCTCAATGATCACTGGCTACTGGTTGGAGAAAAGGGAGAAAGGCACCGACTATTGGGCCAAGGTGAACAAGATGCCAGTCACTAAAAGGGGCACGAAAGGTTGGGAGTATCAGGTGAGCCTCGGGAGCTTTGTCAAGTCTATTTTGTAATACATGAAACAACCAAAAACAACGGAGTCATGACCTCCTGCTTCTGTTAGGTCACTCGACTGTTTGAAGGAACTGAGTACGAGTTCAGGGTTGCTGCCAGCAATTCAGCTGGAACCGGACCATTCAGTGCACCATCTGACTCCGCCTTTGCCGTTGATCCCATCAGTAAGTTTGTCATAACAGGAATATTTTCTGAAGGTGATAAAAAAAAAAACAGCAGTTTTCAAATAGCTAATGGTTTCCTTTCTCTCCAAGCTCCTCCAAGCATGCCTGCCGCCCCTGAGATCGCGGATAAGACCAAGCACAGCGTCACTTTGTCTTGGAAGCCACCTGAGAGTGACGGAGGTAGCCCCATCAAGGGCTACATCATCCAGATTCAGGATGAGGGATCATCAGAGTGGCACAAGATCAACGACATCGACAGCCTGATCCCTACCACAGAATTCACAGTGCCCAGTCTCCGTGAGCTGAAACGCTACCGCTTCAGGATCATCGCCGTCAACGACATCGGCGAGTCCGACCCCAGCCCTCGCACCAGTGAAGTTCTGATTGAGGACATCCAACGTATGTCAGACCTTAAAACGCCAAGACAGCCTAAAAAGGCATCACTGCTCTTGTCTTTGTCCTTCATCTCTTCCTTTGATGTCTTTTTTTCACCACAGTTCCTCCTTCCATCACAATCGATGTCCTGGCTGAAGAATTGGTGAACATCCGTGCTGGAGATCCAATCAGGATTCCCGCCACCATCAAGGGCCGGCCTGTTCCCAAGGTTACCTGGGACTATGAGGGCAAAGCCAAGAGCCAGAAAAAGAACAAACTGCATACAGTTCCTGTGGAGGCTGAGGTAAGGACCACCAATGTTTCTGCTGTGGTTCCAGCATGTCCAGTCTGATCAACCATGTAGAGGTTTGGTTGCATCACATGACCTCAACAAATCTTTTAATATGCTTGGTTCATCAGACAAATTTTTAATCTGCGTCATGTCCTCTTTACCCACACAACTATCATCCCCAAAATACATAATTTGTATTTGTCGAATTTCTATGGGAAAATCATATAAATCTATATTTAGAAACTATGTTTCATCAAAGCCACACTAGCACCATTTAAATGTGTTAGCACAATATGTAAGAGAAGTCCATCTACAGGCGGGAAAAGGTCTATGTGATAAGTGGTTCCACTTCCAGAGTGGAAAGGTCTGTCATTTTTAGCAGATAGACAATCTTTGGGTGGGACTTGCAAAATCAACATTGAATTAGATACTGAAGTGAGAGGAGCTTTACATCAAAATAATACTTAAGAAAAAGTAAAACTACTGTAGTCATTCAAGAATTACACAGGACCTTTGATCCAAATGTCTTTTACTGTGCGAATAATGTTAAGCAGACAGAGAATAGTTTTCTATGAAAAAGATTTCAGCTCCTCTATACTAAAACTCTTAAAACTTGGTACTTATGCAATGTTCACAATCAATTCCCGATTTAAAAAGTTACATTTGCCTATGTGTATGTTGGCAGGTAGGCTCTCATCTGAGCTCAGTGGAAAGGAAATGTTATTTTAACTGAAAGCTGGAAACTGATCAATATTTGGACCCCGCTGATTTTTAATTGGTTACCCATGTCTTAGAGTACAGTTCCAATAAACAAAATAAAGTCATGATGGCATTACAACTCCAACATGTCACAACTTATGTATTAATGCATTTCACCCAGGTTGAGTCCACAGAGACCACCTCCGTGTTGAACATCCCTGTGAGCCTGAGGAGTCACTCTGGACGTTATACCATCACTGCCAAGAACAAGTCTGGACAAAAACATGTCAACGTCAGAGTGATTGTCCTCGGTATGTATCTTCAGGCAGCTGAAATTTTCTGTCTGACTTCATGAGTTGATGCTTTGAGAGAGTTTTATTTTATGAATTGTTGATTTAATTTCCGACTTTGCTTTGTGCACAGATGTTCCTGGACCTCCAAAGGACCTGAGGGTCACTGATGTAACCCGTTCAACCATGAGGCTGATCTGGAAGCTCCCTGACACCGATGGAGGAGAGAGGATCAAGAGCTACTTCATTGAGAAGAAGTCTGTCATTGACAAGGCCTGGACTAAGGTAAAAGGCGGTTCATCTATCTATTCTCATGGGTTTTAGATATTCCTTTTGCTTGAGTGACAAATTGGTTTACGTTTCTCCTTCCTAGGTGAATGCTGCTTGTGCTAGTCAAGCCTTTGTGGTTCCTGGCCTATTGGAGGGTCAGGAGTACCTGTTCAGGGTTCGTGCAGAAAACAGACTTGGATTTGGTCCCTTCACTGAAACAAAGGAACCCGTCCGAGCTAGAGATCCCATCTGTAAGGCCCGGCCGGCTCTTCCTGCCACACACATACAACACAAAGTTCTCTCTGGAATTGTGTCTACAAAGAACTTTTTTGTTTTGTAAACTCCTCAGACCCACCGGACCCCCCGACCAAGCTGAAGGTTAACCTGGTTACCAAGAACACCGTCACTCTGAGCTGGGAGCCTCCAAAGAACAACGGCGGCTCTCCGATAAAGCATTACATCATCGAGCGTCTGAGCTGGGACACCAGCGGAAAGGAGAAGGAGACCTGGAAGCAGTGCAACAAGAGAGACGTGGAGGAACTGAGCTTTGTTGTGGAGGATCTGAAGGAGGTCTGTCTATCCCTTGGTTCATCTATAGCACCCAGTAGTGTTAGTAAATCAGAGGAGGCCCTAAGCTGTGAATCACAAACCCTGGTTATTGTAATTAATTTGTGTTAAGTTATAGTTTTGTTCTTTTAACCTGCAGGGTGGAGAATATGAATTCAGAGTAAAAGCTGTGAATGAGGCAGGACCAAGCCGACCTTCTGCCACCGTGGGACCCTTGGTCATAAAGGACCAGACATGTGAGTGACATCCATTTAAGTCATTCCTTCGTTGCAAGCCTTAGTATTGACTCCAACCAAAGGGATTATTTCTGATGTTGCTGAATGTCTGTTTTTTTCTGCAGGTCCTCCTACCATTGAGTTACGGGAAGCCATGGAGGGAGAGGAAGGCTGCGACGTCAGCATCGTGGCAAAGATCAGCGGTTGTCCCTTCCCAACGCTAACCTGGCATAAGGCCAGCCAGGCCAAACCCGAGGAGAAGACTGCTGTCCAGTATGACCAGCACATCACCAAACTGGTGACCCCAGTCAAGTGCACACTGCTGATTCAGCAGGCCAGCCGGGATGACAGCGCCCTCTACAGCCTGACTGCCAGTAACAGTCTGGGTACAGTCTCCAAGGACATCAAACTGTCTGTGCTGGGTGAGAAACATAAGCAGTTAAAAAAAAAACAACTTCTGGACATAACAGAACATTATGATGTAAGGAAGGATGATATATTTTCCAAACTCTGACTTTCAGGACCTCCTGGCCCACCAATTGGACCGATTAAGTTCACAGAGGTCTTTGCAGAGAGGATTGGCCTGGCCTGGAACCCTCCCACAGATGATGGTGGATCCAAGATCACCAATTATGTGGTGGAGAAGCGTGAGGAAAACCGAAAATCCTGGGTCCATGTCTCCAATGACCCCAAGGAGTGCACCTATATTGTGACAAGGCTAACAGAGAACCATGAATATGAGTTCAGGGTCATGGCCCAGAACAAGTTTGGAGTTGGACCACCACTGGTCAGTGAGCCAGAGAAGGCCAGAAACCTTTTCAGTAAGTTAAAGAAGTTTTGTTCAGTTTATCAGGTGATTCAGCGCTCCGGTAAATAGTCCTGATTGTTGATTGCCGTCCTGTCCTACCACAGCCGTTCCTGGTCAATGTGAGAAACCAACAGTAACTGAAGTCTGTCTTGAGTCTATGACCGTGAACTGGGATGAGCCTAAGTATGACGGCGGGTCCTCCATTACCGGCTACTTCATTGAAAAGAAGGAGACCACTTCCAAACGCTGGACCCGAGTCACTCGGGAACCGATCCGTGCTCTCCCACTGGGCAACAACTGGGACGTTACAGGCCTAATGGAGGGTGCACTGTACCAGTTCAGGGTGATCGCCATCAACGCAGCTGGCTGTGGCCTGCCCAGCCTGCCTTCAGACCCCGTACTCTGCAGAGACCCCATCAGTAAGTCCACCATGTCTCAAATCTTTTAGAAGCTGATATTTGTGCACCCTAGGAAATGTTCCAGAGGTCGTTTGTTAACAAACTGAAAAGTTTTTCACAGAAAACCTTTAATGATTGATGGAAGTAATTGTTGAAGAGTAAGCAGATTTTCCTTTCCAAATGATTTTGGATCCAAACTGAGATTTTAAATTTTCTGTGTATAGAACCTCCAGGGCCACCTTACCCGAAGGTGTCAGACTGGACTAAATCAACCGTGGAGCTTGAGTGGCTCCCTCCTTCGTCGGATGGAGGGTCCAAGGTGACCGGTTATGTTGTTGAGTTCAAGGAGGTGGACAAGGAGGAGGAGCAAAGGAAAGCCCAGAGAAGGATGCTGCTGAGCGAAGCTGAGGAGGAGAAGGAGCCTGAGAGTGATGAGAGCTGGCAGAAGGTAGTAAGAACTCAGGCTCTTGCCCCAAGTAGAGTTCCTTCTGATGTTCAGCTCCTGATGCGTTTGTGCTTTCCTGCAGGCAAAGGACACTGAGGTTAGAGGAACCAAGTACGTGGTGGCCGAACTTAAAGAAGGAGGCCTCTACCAGTTTAGAGTCCGAGCCGTGAACTCAGCTGGAGTTGGAGAGCCTGGTCTCGTGTCCGAATTGATTGAGGTCAAAGACAGAACAAGTAAGACCTGGATCCTAATGCTGTATTCCTAAACATCGCAGTATAGACTAATCAGCTTTAATTAAAACCCAACTCCCTTCCTAGTTCCTCCTGAGATGGACCTGGATGCTTCGGTGAAGGAAAAGATTGTCGTCCATGCAGGAGCTACCATCCGCATCATTGCATACGTTTCTGGTAAACCTGCTCCACAGATCACCTGGTGCCGCGACGACGGTGAAGTGCCCAAAGAGGCTCTAGTGGAGACAACAGGCATCTCCAACTCACTGGTCATCAAGAACTGCAGGCGCCAACATCAGGGCATGTACACGCTCACTGCCAAGAACGAGGGTGGTGAGAGGAGGAAGGCCGTCATCGTTGAAGTTCTTGGTAAGTGAAAAGTTTAGGAGGATGGAAGGCAGGTTAATATTTCTTAAACCACCTTTTAACTTTGTCTCTACTCTTCCCTAAAGATGTTCCTGGACCTGTTGGTCTTCCTTTTGCCGGTGAGAATCTGACCACTGACTCCTGCAAACTGACCTGGTACTCCCCCGAAGATGATGGAGGCTCGGCCATCACCAACTACATAATCGAGAAGCGAGAATCTGACCGCATGGGCTGGACCTCGGTGTCCTACACAGTGACTAGGAACAACGCGGTGGTACAGGGTCTGATCGAGGGCAAGGGTTACTTCTTTAGGATCGCAGCCGAGAACATCATTGGAATGGGACCTTTCATCGAGATCGATAACATGGTCCTCATTAAGGACCCCATCTGTAAGTCCAAGACAACAAAATTATAAACACCAAGGAACCATTTAGGTTTTATATGTTCATTAACACTGTCTCCTGCAGCCGTCCCAGAGCGTCCAGAGGACCTGATTATAACCGCAGTCACCAAGGACTCCATCTCTGTTGCTTGGAGACCCCCTAAATACGACGGCGGAGCGGAAGTGACCTCCTACGTCCTTGAGTCAAGGATGGTGGGCCGGGACACTTTTGCTCGTATAGGTGGTGAGGACAAGCTGATGGACAGGAAGTTTACGCTGACCGGACTGAAGGAAGGCTCGAGTCACGAGTTCAGAGTCTCAGCCGTCAACCAGGTGGGACAGGGCAAGCATTCCTTCCCAACCAAACCCGTGCAGTGCAAGGACGAGCTTGGTGAGTACCTGAGTACCTATGACAGATTCTAGGCCTGCAGTTTGTCAACAGGCAAATATTATTTATCTATTCTGACACGGGTAGATGCTAAGTTATAGAAGATAACAAACTGCTGCTGTTCCCCTTCAGAACCACCAACTCTGGACCTAGACTTCAGAGAAAAGATGATGGTGAAGGTAGGAGACTCGTGCTTATTGTCAGGACGCTACAGCGGCAAACCAGCACCAACCATCAGCTGGACAAAGAATGAGGAGGAGGTTAAAGCAGATGAAGAGATCAGCCTCCACAGCACTGCGCACCACCTTAGCCTGAACATCCCCAAGGCTAAGAGAGATCACAGCGGCCGCTACTGCGTCAGCGTCGACAATGCTGCTGGAACACGTACCGGAGTATGTGCCCTAACTGTAGTCGGTGAGTCACAACGAGCTTATGTCCACCTTTAGATTAACAAAGTTTGAAACACAATCTCAGATCGACAGAAATCCACATACTCCAATAGCTGACTTAAGTAGATTGAATGGATGTGTGCCCAGCTATCAGCTTTCCTCTGTTGCTCGCTTGACCAAAAAAAATGGCAAAAACTATGGTGACTCCTGCTTCCTTAAGAACCATTTTTACCGGACAAGTTAAGAGAAAGACAATTATTTAAGCCTAAAAACTGTCAATATCTGTAATATCTTATTTAATCTGAAATAATCCTAAACTCTGAGCATCAGAACATCAAATATACTTTATTGTTAAAGGAGAGATTCAGAGAAAACATAATGGTTGGTAATCAGATCTGGGTGTGCCGTTGCTGCACTTTGGGTTTACTTCTCTGGAAATTATTAGTCCTTCAGCATTGGGGGAGATAGTGGGTGGATGTTAGACTCCTTCAGCTTGTGTAAAATGAAGGTAACCTTGTTTTTGTCCGATCAGACCGCCCACAGCCACCAGAGGGCCCCGTGGTATTCAACGAAGTCTACAGAAACTACATGGTCATCTCCTGGAATCCACCTCTGGATGACGGGGGCTGCGCCATCTCCAACTATATCATCGAGAAGAGAGACACCAACAGAGACCTGTGGATGCCCGTCACCTCGTCCTCCACCAGGACCACCTGCAAGGTCAGAAGCACAATAATCACCAAACAGACGAGCAACAAAATTATAATAATATATGAAGGCCAGAAATACAACAAAATGACCACACAGTACAGTGAAAAACACTAACTTGTAGTATTAACACAATTACAAAATTCAGTTAGTTTTATCCAGTCAGAAAATTCTAGGGGCAAATATTTTCATTTTTACTCTAAATAAACCAGATAAATGTGAAAATATAAAAATACAAGATTGTTTAGGAAATTGGAAATACAAAGAAGATAGAGAAGAATAGTACATTTTGTTAGTAACAGTCTGCTGTCCAATAGAGAGACTGTGGACTTTAAGACTTTCTATTGGCCTCAATGTTCAGGAATGGTTCTTCTAATGGTTTCAAATATAGTAGAAATGTCGACCATTAAAGTGACCTTTAACCCCTCTGACGCTGTCTTCCCCCACAGGTGCCAAAGCTGATTGAGGGCCGTGATTACATCATCCGGATCATGGCTCAGAACATGTATGGCATCAGTGACCCACTTCTGTCTGCGGAGACCAAAGCTAAGGATATCTTCAGTGAGTTGGCGATGAAGTGAAGGCCTTCTCCAAGTGTGATCCAAGTCAAACTGGTGTCTGACCATCACATCCGTTTCTGTTTCCACCACAGAGGTGCCTGATGCACCAAAGCAGCCTGTGGTAAAGGAGGTTTACCACGACTCGGCCCTGATCAGCTGGGAGCCACCTGCTGATGGAGGAAAGCCAATTACCGGCTACATAGTAGAGAGAAAGGAGACCAAGGCCAACAGGTACACAATACAGCAATACTGATAAGAGAAAATGTAGTCATACTTTATCCAAGAATATTTGCTGGAATCACAGATTTCGGTTTTTAGACTCATTATTATGATGTTTTGCATTGATAAAAATGGAAATGATTATTTTCTAGGTGGGTTCGTTGCAACACAGAAAGAATCTGCCCTAAAGTTGAATACTGGGTAACAGAGCTGCTGAAAGGCTGCGAGTACGAGTTCAGAGTCAGCGCCGAGAACGAGGTGGGAGCTGGGGACCCCAGTCCACCCTCCAAACCAGTTTTTGCCAAGGATCCTATTGGTAGGTCCCCCTTTTTAAGATTTGTGTTTTGAAAAAGTTAGATTAGTCAGCATGGTGACTGAAGAACTCGTCTTCCACAGTGAAACCCAGTCCACCTGTCAATCTTCGTGCCATCGACTTCACCAAGGAATCTGTCACTCTGTCCTGGGAGCCACCCACCGACACTGGACGGGGAAAGATCTTTGGATACCTGCTGGAGTTCCAGAAGGCTGGTGAAGACGAGTGGCACAAGGTGAAATTTAGGTTTTCATTTGAAGGACAAAATGTTGGACCTTCTTATGCATGCAATGAAAGTATGAACCTTCGCACATCTTTGGTCCTTAGGTGAACCAGACTCCAGACTCCTGCCAAGAGACCAAGTTTAAGGTGATCAACCTTGAAGATGGTTCTCTGTACCGGTTCAGAGTCATTGCTGTGAATGCTGCGGGAGAGTCTGACCCAGCAAACCTGAGGGAGCCAATCAGAGTACAGGAGAGGCTTGGTTAGTAACAACCATTTAATCCAGCTAACTCCTCACCAATCTAACTTACTGATAATCAGAATTGACTTGACTTGATTTCTATGATTCCAGAGCCTCCAGAGCTGATTCTAGATGCTGGAATGACCCGAGAGGTGAAGGCTATGGCTGGCACTCATATCACCCTGATGGCCACCATCAAAGGCTGCCCATTCCCCACTGTCACCTGGAAGAAGAATGACGCAGAGGTTCCCACAAGGGCGGACATTGAGACAAACCAGATGGGTACCAAACTGGAGATGAGATTCTGCAACCGTGGAGACTGTGGAGACTACACCCTGACAGTGGAAAACCCGGCCGGGTCAAAGACGGCTACCTGCACTGTGCTGGTGTTTGGTAAGCTCAGCATTAATGTAAAACTGGTGAAGTAACAGAAGCTCCTGCTGTCAACCTCCCTCACATTCCTTGTGTTATCTTTAGACAAACCTGGCCCTATTCAGCACCTCAGGGTGTCTGACATCCGGAGCGATTCCGCCTACCTGTCGTGGAAGGATCCAGAAGACAATGGCGGCTCTCGCATCACTAACTTTGTGGTAGAGAAGAAAGACACTGCCGCCACTCAGTGGGTCCCTGTCTGCTCCACCTCCAAGAAGCGCAGCATGATGCTGAAGCACCTGATGGAGGGAACATCCTATATGTTCAGAGTTGCTGCGGAAAACCACTACGGTCGCAGTGAATATGTGGAGACACCAAAGGCCATCAAGGCTATGAATCCCCTCTGTAAGTATCAGCACAGTAAATATTAGTTCACGAGATACATTTTTTCCTGTATTAATCAATTTACGATCTCTACATTCTGTCCTTTTAGTCCCTCCGGGTCCTCCCAAAGACCTGCATCATGTAGATGTTGACAAAACCGAGGTCTGGTTGGTCTGGAACTGGCCTGATCGCAATGGGGGAAGTGAGATCACTGGCTTCTTTGTGGAGTATCAGGAAGAGGGAGTGAGGGATTGGGAAGAATGGAAGACTGTGAGCATCCCAGAGAGTCATGTCACCGGCCTGGAGGAGGGAAAGACCTACCGCTTCAGAGTAAGGGCTGAAAACGCCATCGGACTCAGCAGACCTGATACCACCCTGCCCATCCTTTGCCAGGAGAAACTAGGTGATGCAAAACTCAGACACAGTATTAGATTTTCTGGTATTATCTGTATATCCTGTATGTCGATATATCTTTGTAATGCATATAGTAACTTGTGTTTTTCTGTATACTTGTAGTCCCTCCAATTGTCGAGGTGGATGTTAAGCTCATTGAAGGAATCATTGTGAAGGCCGGCACCACCATCAGGTTACCGGCTATCATGAGAGGAATCCCTGTGCCCACTGCCAAGTGGTCCATTGAAGGGGAGGAAATCACAAGCCAGGGCAACATTAAAATCGACACTGACAATTTCTCCACGGTGCTCAACATTAATGAGTGCACCAGGAACCACACAGGCACCTACCTGCTCACCGTCTCAAACCCAGCAGGGACTAAAACCGTGGCCCTCAATGTAACAGTTCTAGACGTCCCGGCTGCTCCTATCGGACCCGTCAACATCCTGGAAGTTACTCCAGACTCCATGACAATTGAGTGGCGCCCACCAAAGGATGACGGAGGCAGCCCTGTCACCAGCTACATTGTGGAAAAAAGAGAGTCCAGCAAGGAAACCTGGGGGGGAGTTAGCTCCGGCAGCCTCGACACTCAGCTCAGAATCACTCGCCTGCAGAAGGGAGCGGAGTATGTGGTCCGTATCCGTGCTGCAAACAAGATGGGAGTGGGCGCTCCTTTGGAGAGCAAGCCCACTGTGGCTGAACACACCTTTATGCCACCTAGTCCACCTGGTAAACCCCACCATTACGATCTGTCTGAAGATGCCGTCACGATTGGATGGACCATGCCTCTTGCTGATGGTGGCAGCCAGATCACTGGCTACCTCATTGAGCGCAGACACAAGGGAGGAAAGTGGATCCGCGTCAATAGGACCCCATGCAAGGACCTACGATACAGAGTCCAGGGTCTCTTTGAAGGAAGTGAATATGAATTCCGGGTGTTTGCTGAGAATATTGCTGGTTATAGTGGTCCTTCTCCCACCTCTGACCTCTGCAAGCCCTGCAGACCCATCACAGTCCCAAGCTCACCCATTAACCCCAAAGTAAAGGATTACAGTAAGAACACAGCAGACCTGGTTTGGACAAAACCCTCCAGAGATGGCGGCAGCCCAATCCTGGGCTACACTGTGGAAATGAAGAAGGCGGACACTGAGGAGTGGAAGAAAGTTAACCTGGATGATTTTATCAAGCAGTGTGCCTACACAGTGAAGGGTCTTGAAGAAGGTGTGAGCTACAACTTCAGAGTCCGTGCTTCCAATATGATTGGAGATGGAGAGCCCAAGGAAATGCCAGATTCTATCACTGCTCAGGATATCCTCATCCCACCTGAGATTGAAATGGACCTCACCTGTCGCGAGAGACTGACAGTACGTGTCGGTCACAACCTCAACATCATTGGCTACGTCAAAGCCCGTCCTGATCCTGAAGTCATTTGGTCGAAGGGGGAGGCGGTTCTGGAGAACAGCAAGCGCTTGACCATCGTCCAGAACTTCCCTGTGGTTCACCTCAAGGTAAAGGAGGCAACAAGGAATGATCACGGCCAGTACACGGTGAAGGCTTCAAACGAGGGTGGTGAGGCTTCCTGCACCATCACAGTCAATGTGCTGGACAGACCCAGTCACTGCCAGAATCTGCACATCACTTATGCCACCAAGAGCTCCTGTATGGTCAACTGGGAGGCACCCATCGACAACGGAGGGTCAGAGATCACCAATTACATCGTGGAGTGCCGTGAGCCCAGCATCAGCATGTGGTCCATGATCTCCTCCAACTGCACTAATCGCAAAATCAAAGCCAAACTGATGGAGGGCCATGAGTACCTGTTCCGCGTCTGTGCTGTGAACAAGTTGGGACCTGGTCCCTGTGTGGAAACCAAGACCCCTCTGCTGGCCATAGACCCCATAGAGAAGCCCGGTGAGCCTGAGAACTTTAGAGCCACCGACATTGGTAAAAACCACGTCTATCTAAGGTGGAGGAAACCCGATTATGATGGTGGCAGCCCCAACCTCTCCTACAACTTGGAGTGCAAACATAAAGATGCAGAAGAGTGGGAGAAGCTCAACGCCGGCATACTAACGGATACCTTTTTCTTGGCGAACAAGCTGGTTGAGAACCAAACATACACATTCAGGTAGATTAAAGCTTCTTTACTTTAGCAGGTTTTGTTTTATAAAATGTGTACATTATCTGTTGTTTTGTTTTTTATAAATGATAATGCTGTTTTTATGCTGTTCAGGGTGCAAACTGCGAATGAGGGAGGAGAAAGTGCTTGGGTAAAGATTCCTGACATCGTGGTGAGGGAGGAGCTCCAGAAGCCAGTTATTGATCTGAAGGTAACTGGAACCATGACAGTAAAGGCTGGAGAGTCCGTCAGGATGGAAGCAGCGCTGAGAGGAAAACCCCCGCCTGAAGTCAAATGGGCCAAAGACAAGGCTGTGGGAGACAATCCAAGGATGAGCTATGAAACTGGTCCAGATTACTCCAAATTCCTCTTGACCAAGTCTAGACGCACAGACACTGGAAAATACATTGTCACTGCCACCAATCCAGCTGGCACATTCACGGCCTACGCCAATGTCAATGTCTTGGATGTCCCGGGACCCGTGAGGAACCTGAGGATCACTGGCATTGGAGCTGACAAGTGCAGAGTGATATGGGACAGTCCGGAGGATGATGGAGGCTGTGAGGTGGACAGCTACATTGTGGAAAAATGCGAGACCAGGAGAATGGTCTGGTCCACTTACTCTGCCTCTGTGGTCACACCTTACTGCAACGTCACTCGTTTGGTGGAGGCTAACGAGTACATCTTCAGAGTAAGGGCAGAAAATAAAATGGGTACCGGGCCAGCCATGGAGAGCAAGCCTGTAACCGTCAAGACTCAGTTCAACAAACCTGGACCCCCTGAAGCCCCTGAAGTTACAAAGGTAAAGATAATGTCTTGATTTGGAATTTAGTGTAGAAATATGTTCACAGGTTGCTAATCTGCTGCCGTGTTTGCGATTCAGGTCAGTAAGGATGAGATGACTGTGGTTTGGGCTCCACCAGAGAATGATGGTGGAAAGTCCATTACCGGCTACATCCTGGAGAGAAAAGAGAAGCGGGCAGTGCGCTGGGTGGCGTGCACTAAGAGCCCCATCTCTGAGAGACGCATGAAAGTGACAAACCTGATTCCGAACCATGAGTACCAGTTCAGAGTAAAAGCAGAAAATGAAGTTGGCCTTGGAGAGCCAAGCAAACCGTGTAGACCTGTTGCAGCCAAAGATCCTATCGGTGCGCTCATTACATTGACCTTATTTATTCTAAAGAGGAAAAACATTACAGCTCCAATTCTTCTCCATTTATTATTGCCTAATTTTTCTGTTTCTACTTTCAGAACCACCTGGGCCACCAGCATACCTGAAGGTCTCTGACAGCACAAAGACCTCTATTACCCTTTCCTGGTCTAAACCTGTGTATGACGGTGGCGCCCCCATCATCGGTTACAGCCTGGACTTGAGGCTTAAGAGCGAAGCCGACCCAGAGAAACCCTCTGAGGGCTGGAAGAGAATCGATACACGCGGCCCTCTGGTGATCACAGAGTTCACTATCGGCCAGCTGGACGAGAAGCAGGAGTACGAATTTAAGGTGTCCGCCCAAAATCAGGTGGGCTGGGGACGCCACGCCTATCTGAAGGAGGCCGTGTCTCCCAAGGAGATCATTGGTGAGTTTATTAACTTAAGTCTGGTAGAGTAAGTCTTTTTAAGGACATAACATGATCTCACAGACTCCTTTGTGCTCATGTCACCACAGAGGCTCCAGAAATCGAGCTGGATGCCAGTCTAAGGAAAGGTCTTGCTGTTAGGGCTGGGTGTCCGATTCGGTTGTTTGCTGTGATCAGAGGAAGGCCGGCCCCCAAGGTGACCTGGAAGCGCATTGGCGTGGACAATGTCGTCCGCCGAGGTCATGTGGACCAGGTGGACACCATGTGTTTCCTGGTAATCCCTGAGAGCACAAGAGATGATTCTGGAAAATATTCACTCACTCTGTCCAACTCAGCTGGAGAGAAGGCAGTGTTTGTTCGCGTCAAAGTCCTCGGTAAGCACAGAAAGCCAAGAAATAGACTCAAAGCTGTTTTTTTCTCTCACCTTGGTTCCACCCAATAAATAAATATCAACCTCTGTACAGACACACCTGGTCCCGTTGGTGGACTGGATGCCACCGATATAACCAAGACCACCGCTCAGCTGTCCTGGTTGCCACCAGAAAACGATGGTGGCAGCCCCATTCTGAATTACATTGTTGAGAAACGTGAAGTGGACAGGAAGACCTGGACCAAATGCATAGAGGACCTGAAGAAAACTAGCTTCAAGGTAACCAACATGACGCCAGGTATCGAGTACTACTTTAGAGTTACGGCGTGCAACAAATACGGAATCGGAGTTCCTCAGGATTCTCCCAGGTCCTATCTGGCTGTAGATCCTATAAGTAAGTATTTTCACAGACTGTCTACAAAACAGCATGGAGGTGGATTTAATTATGCTACAATTTCTAATAACTGCCCTATCTTTACAACAGGTGAGCCAGACCCTCCTAAGAAGATGGACGTGTTGGACATCACAAAGAACAGCGCCACCCTGGGCTGGCTGAAGCCTCTCAGAGATGGAGGAGCTAAGATCAACGGCTATGTGGTTGAGTACCAGGAAGAGGGTTCACCCGAGGACAAATGGACACCTTACTCTGTGGTGAAAGATCTCAGCATCGTCGTTGTCGGCCTGAAGGAAGGGACGAAATACAGGTTCCGAGTGGCAGCTAGGAACTCTGTGGGAGTCAGCTTGGCTCGTGAGGCAGAGGGAATGTTTGAGGTCAAGGAACAACTCAGTAAGTAGATCAGCCTGTCTGTGAGATGACAGACTTAAACAGATTGAACTAAACTTAGACAGACTAAACTAAACTTTACTGTAAATATTTTCTTTTATTTCAGTGGCTCCAAAGATCATTCTACCTGACACAGTGACGGTGAGGGCCGGATCCAAAATGTTGATCGAGGGCATTGTGGCTGGAAAGCCCGCTCCTTTCTGCAAGTGGAAACAGAGCAATGAGGACGTGCTGACCTCTGACCGCCTGTCCGTCATAAAGACACAGACAACCTGCACTCTCATCATAAAGAACGTGAACAGAAAGGACAGCGGCTATTACAGCCTGTCGGCTGAGAACAGTACCGGCAAGGTCAACCAGATCCTCAGAGTCATTGTTCAGGGTCAGTCAAAGAACTTCACTGCTTTAGACACAGAAGTAGTGACATATTTAAAACTTCTTCACTGTATCGTCATTATTTCATGAATAATAATCACTTCTCCTTTTCTCAGACATCCCTGGACCTCCAGGAGGTCCTTTGGAAATCTCTGAGTTGGATATCGATTCTTGCACGCTGCTGTGGAACACTCCGGAAGAAGATGGCGGCAGCCACATCACCAACTACATTGTGGAGAAGTGTGACATCAGTCAGGGTGACTGGATCACTGTCTCAACTTCCTGCACCAAGACCAGCTACCGAATGACCAAACTGACGACTGGAAAAGAGTACTGGTTTAGGGTCCGTGCTGAGAACAAATCAGGCATTTCTGAGCCTCTCTACTCTGACAAGATGATTGCCAGATATCCATTCGGTGAGGTTCTTGTGTTATAAGAACGTTTTGTGCTTTATAGCTTTACAGATGTTAATGGGTTTTTTTTTTGTTTTCTTCGTTTAGATCCTCCCAGTGAACCCAAAAACCTGCAAATCAACAAGATCAACAAGGACTTTGTTATTCTCTCTTGGGAGCGTCCCAGCAGTGATGGCGGAAGCCCCATCACTGGTTACTGCATAGAGAAGAAGGAGAGGAACAGCCTGCTGTGGGTAAAGGCTAACGAGTCTGCGGTTAAAGCCACCCAGTACACCTGCACAGGCCTCATGGAGGGCCTGGAGTACACCTTCAGGGTGTCAGCTTATAACATGGCTGGTCAAGGCAAACCCTGCAAACAGACAGACTTCATCACAGCCAGAACAGCTGTTGGTGAGGAAACGATTTTACTTCTTTTGTTTTAGGTTTTTTTTTTTTTAACTACCAGCTATTTGCTCTGTTAATAAGACTTAATGTGGACAAACAGCAATGTTTACATTAGGGATGCTAATTACTAATTAGTGAATTCAACTAAAGTTGAGTAATCCATTGACTAATGATAAATGAGCGATAATTTTAAAAAACCTTGTATCAAAAAGATCTTTCCATAACACGGAGAGCTAAATATTTTTTTTTTTACCATATTCTGGGTTCGAAGAAAGTACAATTGTAATAATAAATAACACAAAAAAAACTGATAAAAACAAACATTTCTGACATATTATTAGAGTTATTAATACATATAATACCATCCATCAATCCATTTTCCATCACGCTTATTCCAAGCGGTGTTGCAAGGGGTGCTAGTGTCCATCTCCAGCTGTCTACGGGTGACAGGCGGGGTCCACCCTGGACAGGTCTCCAGTCCATCGCAGGGCAACACAGAGACAAACAGGACAAACAACCATTCACACACACACTCACACCTGAGGAGAATTTAGAGAAGACAGTTAACCTAACAGTTTGGACTATGGGAGGAAGCCGGAGTACCCGTAGAGAACCCATGCATGCTCAGGGAGAACATGCAAACTTCATGCAGAAAGACCCCGGGTTGTGTATAAAAGTAGTAAAAAATAAAAAGCAATGATAAAAAAAAACACAGTGTCATAAAAAAATTAAAGATGTGTATCATTTTCTAGTGATTTAAAGATTGAAATAAGTACTTTTAGTACTAAATTACATTATTTATGGTGACCTGGTTGTATATCTGTGCACATGAGCTAATGGTAGGGACTGTGCTTCAGGTACAGATCAGGTAGTGACAGCAGGGCCCTGCTCTGCTCTCTGGCACAGCTTCTCTTGCAAATAACAGTGAGGCTTGAGTTTTAAAGAAACCACAGCGCCCTTTAATGAGGGCTGTAACATTACATCGTTGAAAGAAATTCCCTATAGGTGGACCTTATCAATTAATCAAATCGAACATATTTCAGTCCAATAAACAGATAATCTACAATCAGATGCAAGTTAATTATTTGTTTAAATCCCAAGTTTACATGTGTTGTACCTGAACCCTGTTAGCCCTTCTCATTAGCCCCGACTGTATGTTTCTTTGCAGCAGGGCATCTAAATTATTCACTTGGATGAATGCTTTAGTGCGTTCCTTTGCATTTTCTTATATATTCTTAATCATTTTTAAATGTAAACTTACAGAGGTTCAATTTATGCTTCACAATCACATATTTGGCTGCTTGATGCCAAAACATGGTTTTTGTTTAATATAGTCTTTTCAAACATCAAAAAAACACAAACCTACTGTAGTTTAAAGCCTAACCCTAACCCAGTTTTTTGTATACTAACATGTCAAAAAAGTAAAAAACTTTTTTTTTAATTTACTCATATTATCCTTATAAAAAAAACATCAGCTTTGGAATTAATCAGCCAAAAGCCATGTTTCAGAGGATTAAACTAGAAAGTATTCCTGTCCTGAAACCCTTTTACTTGTCTTCCAGATCCACCTGGTAAACCAGAGGCAATGGACGTGTCTAAAAGCTCAGTGTCGCTGATTTGGAGCCGTCCTAAACATGATGGTGGCAGCAAACTGATTGGCTACTATGTTGAATACACCAAACTACCAGAGGAGAAGTGGACCCGATGCAATGCCAACTGCATGAATATCCAGACAGAGAGCTATGTGGTTCAAGGCTTGGAGGAGGGTCAGAGGTACCAGTTTAGAATTATCGCCAAGACTGCCGTGAACATCAGCCTCCCCTCTGAGCTGTCGGATCCCATCCCTGTCATTGATGAGAATGGTATGGTCCTGCTAAACATGGAAAACTGTATTAAATCGGATAAAAACAGGTGACAATAACTCTTCGTTTATGTCCTGTACAGTTCCTCCTCGTCTTGAACTGGGTGCCAACATGAAAAACCTTATTGTGGTAAAAGCAGGGGAGAACGTCTTCATGGATGCTGAGATTCACGGGAAACCCCTACCTAAGGTGAGCTGGAAGAAGGACGGCGCACCTCTGGCGATAGCAGAGGGAATGAAGGCGTCTCAGAAGAAACACGTCCATATGCTGGAGCTCTTCTCGGTCACCAGAAAGGAATCTGGGGACTATACCATCGTTGCTGAAAATCTGAGTGGTAGCAAGCATGCCACTATAAAGCTTAAGGTGTTGGGTAAGTTGAACATCATAAATAATTTCATCTAAAAGGCCCAATAATCCTTAAATGCATCTAGATTTTTAATCCAACCTCTATACTGCACGCTCTCTGCAGACAAACCCGGCCCTCCAGCCTCAATAAAAATAGCCAAGGTGTTTGCTGATCATGTGAAGCTTCGATGGGAGCCTCCAATTGCAGACGGAGGATCTGAAATCACCAACTACATCATTGAGAAGCGCGAGACGAGCAGGGCTAACTGGGCGCTAGTAACCGCTAACCTCCATGGCCACCTCACTGACTGCTCAGTGGAGAAGCTCATTGAGGGTCATGAGTATCAGTTTAGAGTGAGCGCCGAGAACCAGTATGGTGTGGGAGATGCCATCATGACGGATGCTGTCATGGTGAAGAACCCATATGGTAAGAAAGATGCGTTAATAGGTGGAAGAATTGGAGTAGTTAGAATAATAGGACCACTTAAAAGAAAGCATGATGGTTACTCAGAAGTCTCATTCACGCTAAAGCTTAGCTTAATTTTTCATCATCAATAAACTGTCTTTGTCCTACAAAGATGATATAACTGTTAAATATTGGTTTAATTTTAGAAATATCCCATGTTTTAAATAGTGGTGTGATTGCCATGACCTTATCTCTCTCTAGATGTTCCTGGGCCATGTGAGCCACCGGTTATTACAAACATCACCAAGGACGCAATGACTGTCAGTTGGAAAGCCCCTGCCAACGATGGCAAAGCTCCCATCCTGGGTTACTTATTGGAGAAACGTGAGGCCACAGAGCTGACCTGGGCTAAAGTCAACCGTCGGCCGGTTATTGACAGAACAATCAGGGCAACTCAACTGACTGAGGGCTCAGAGTACGAGTTCAGAGTGATCGCTTTGAACAAGGCCGGTCTAGGCAAACCCAGCGATGCTTCGAACGCTGCTCTAGCTGTCGACCCTGTCTGTGAGTACATGACATACAAAAAAAAACAAGGTGAAATTGCCCCTGATGTTGTTAGAGTAACACTTTTTTCCCTATGATTTCTTTTAAGATCCACCTGGCCCACCTGCATTCCCCAAGGTGGTGGATTCTACCAAGAGCTCAGTCAGCCTCAGCTGGACCAAACCGGCTTACGATGGCGGCTGTGAAATCACAGGATATCTGGTGGAGTGCAAGCGAGCCGATGCAGAGCAGTGGACCAAGTGCAACGTCCCAAAGAAACTCCAGGCCACCAAGTTTGTGGTGACTAGACTAATGGAAAACACAGAGTACCAGTTCAGAGTCACTGCTGTCAACAAGATCGGCTACAGTGAGCCCAGCGAGGTTCCTGGGAACCACATGGCAAAGGACATCCTGAGTATGTTTATCATCAGTTTATAAAATCCACTTTTCTGCAATAATAGCTCTGCAATTAATTATTTTCTCAGGATTTAAATTCAGACGAAAGGACTGCATCACTTACATCTATTGCACATCTCTGTTATTCTTCAGTTGCCCCTGAAGCTGAGCTGGATGCTGACCTGAGAAAGGCTTTAGTTCTGCGAGCCGGCATCACCATGAGGCTCTATGTCCCGCTGAGAGGACGCCCAGCCCCAAAGGTGACATGGTCAAAGGTGGACGCCAACCTTAAGGAGAGGCAAGGCCTCTTGATCAAGACGTCTGAATGGGACACCTTCCTGATGATCGAGGACATCAACAGATATGATGCCGGCAAATATGTGCTGTCTCTGGAGAACAGCAGTGGATCCAAGAGCTACACTATCATTGTAAAGGTCCTCGGTAAGGATATATCTGAGAACTTGTTTTGGCTTTGTATTCTACCACTGAAGGAGAACAGAGGAATTACGTTAAAGGGAATCAATGTTAACCTAATTGTTTTCTGAGCAGTTGATGAAACACAGTACTTCCCCACTAGTTGCATTAGCTGTTGTATCTGACATCATCAAGTCAGAAGTTCATGACTGCAACCTACACATATTAAACTTGTTGGTCCAGCTTATGTCACAAATAGACAAAATTCTGGAAGTTTGGAGGTTAAGTCGCCACCTCAGATTCATTTTCTGTTCCTAAACCCTTCCTGCAGCTTTTCCCTAGTGGTAGGACTCATTCCCCTGCTGAAAAAGACAATGCTTGTAGAAAAATACTTTCTTAACTTCATGCCGCCTCAAGCTACAATATATTCTTACCCTGCCCATCAGAAACAGCAATAAAAAATCTAAAAAAAAACAGCAATAAACTATTCCTCAGTTTTAAGCCACTTGACTTTTGAATTGGACCACATGGGGCTAACCTTTGTTCCCATTGGGCATCCATTGATCTTGGCAGCGGATGACTTTGATCCCATTTCATTGCTTTTTGTTCCTTTAATCACTTTTGAGCAGAATGGGGACTGTCACTTACAGGGAACACCAACAAAACCCCCACTTGGAAAAAGTTCTTAGTAAAATGTCAAGCCCTAAGAATTTGGCCAAATAATCATTAGTTCCTGTTTCCTACACATAACCTTTCCTAATTCACTTCACCATTTAGAGTTCCTACTGACTACCTTATGCCTGATTAATGTTCATGGTGTAAATGAAGATGGGCATTTGGCTCCTAACTTATTATTTAATACAATAAAATATCTTTCTGTTTCTGCATATCCAGATTCCCCTGGACCACCTGTCAACCTGGTTGTTAAGGAGACCTCCAGGACCCATGCCTGGATAAACTGGGAACCACCAATGATCGATGGAGGAAGTCCAGTGAAGAGCTACATTGTAGAGAAACGTCTGGCTGAGAGGAAGGCATGGACCTGTGTCTCAGCAGAGTGTCACAAGACCTCCTTTAGGATCACAAACCTGGAGCCAGGTCAAGCCTACTGCTTTAGAGTTCTGGCTGAAAACTCCTATGGCATTGGAGAAGGCTGTGAGACTGAGGGCAGTGTGCGGGCCTCAGGTAATAATGTTTTATACATCTGAGAAATGTATGCAATGAATCATTCGTTCAGAGATTTATTAATTCAATATTTTTTAATAGTTTGTCTAAACCAGAGTAAATTTTCACACTTGGAAGTTCTCTGTGAAACATTTCAAAGAGTTATGCACTGGAATAAATAACCATCTTTCCTCATCAGAAAGTGTCTAGTTATATAAAACGCATCAGGTAATGATCAGTACCACCTTCACCCTTGCAGAGCAACCCGGTCCAGTTACAGATTTCAAAGCCCAAAAGACCACCAAAAACTCAATCACACTGGGCTGGAAGAAGCCCATAAGTGATGGAGGGAGCTACATCACCTCTTACATCCTGGAGCAGAGCGAAGGTGAGGAGAAGTGGAAGGAGATCATGAAGGGCAAGAACACCACTCACACCATCAGCGAGCTGGCAGAGGGCAAAGAGTACTTATTCAGGGTCAAGGCCCTCAATGAGACTGGGGAGGGACCACCAACTGAGCTAACTGCTGTAGCAAAGGACCAGTTTGGTAAGGAAATCATGTAATTACTGTTTATGACACATTTGGTCTTACTTGATCTTCTAAGCTGAAAAAAAAAACATTTTAATGGAAAAGTGACAATAACCAAATTCTAACATTTCAGTGCTGCCTGACTGCAACCTGAGCAGTCTTCAGGATGGTTGCTGTGTGGTCAAGGAGGGTGCCACCATGCGCATTAACATTCCTGTCATTGGTGTGCCCTACCCCACTGCCACCTGGAAGAAGGGTGATGTGGGAGTTGGTGACACTGGACGTCTATGCATTGAGGCCTCCCAGGGCCTCACCACCCTACTAATCAGAGACTGCCAGAGAGGAGATGCTGATACCTACACCATCAATGTCAGAAACAGTGCCGGCTCAAAGGACTGCAAGTTCCAGCTAAAAGTAGTTGGGAAGCCGGGTATATGCACTGGGCCCATCAAGTTTGATGAAATAACAGCTGATGGCATCACCCTGGAGTGGGCACCGCCCAAAGACGATGGCGGCGCAGAGGTGTCCAATTACATCCTTGAGAAGAGGAGGACAACAGACAACAAATGGGCTACGGTTGCATCAGCCATTCAGAAGACAACCATGAGGGTGATCAGACTCCATGATGGAATAGAATATATCTTCAGAGTGTGTGCCGAGAATAAGTACGGGATTGGAGAATATCTGAGGTCTGACCCTGTCATCGCCCAGCATCCTTTCAGTGAGTACAACTCTGCTCTTATAGTCAAGCTTACCCTGAAGTCCCCTTTCTCTACCATCAAACTTATTGTTAAGTTTATACTTAACAGCAAGTTTGTTGGTAGATCAGATTTTCTCAGGGCAGAGACAATCTAGTTCAGCTGGGAACCCTTTTTATTCTGATTCTACTTGGGTCACATTTTAAGGTTCCAAAGTGTTCCTGTAGACATATTTTTTTGTAGGATATTTGGGTATAGAGATTTAAATGAAATTAACTGATTCTCACTCCTTGTTTCGAAAGATGTGCCCGAGGCACCAGCTCCTCCTGAGATTTTGAGCATTCGACATGAGTCGGCCATTCTGACTTGGTCTGATCCTAAAGACAATGGTGGCTCCCCCATTACTGGTAGGATACTGAAATTAATCTCTGTCAGCAAGTAGTCAAGTGTCAACTGTTGCCATTTATTTTATTATTTGGAGTGTTTTTCTTTTCAAGGATATTACCTTGAGTTTAAGGAGAGGAACAGCCTGATGTGGAAACGAGCCTGTAAAACTCCTTTGAGAGTCAAGGAGTGTAGAGTTACAGGTCTAATAGAAGGACTAGAGTACGAGTTCAGAGTGATGGCCATGAATATGGCTGGCCTGGGAAAGGCAAGCAAAGTCACAGAGGCTGTCGTCGCACTTGATCCTATTGGTCAGTTTCAAGCCTTTTTTTGTCACATATAAATTAGACTGAATTACAACTGGCTTTGTATGATTACATTTCTTTTCTCTGATTTTATCAGATCCACCTGGCAACCCGGACGTGATCAATGTAACCAGGAACTCAGTCACTCTAATGTGGACTGCTCCTAAATACGATGGTGGCTACAAGCTGACTGGCTACATGGTGGAGAAACTAGAGGCTGGTGGAAAGGCATGGATGAAGGCCAATCATGTGAACATCCTGAGTTGTGCTTTCACTGTCCCGGACCTGACAGAAGGAGCTCAGTATCAGTTTAGAATCAGGGCCAAGAATGCTGCTGGTGCTATCAGTGTTCCCTCCGAGCCTACTGAATCCCTGACCTGCAGGGATGAGTTTGGTATGTAGTGCGAAAGTTCAAAATAATTAAACTATGTGCACTCAAAATCAAAAGGTTTAAATGTGCATATATGTTTCAAATTCTTCTTGTTCTTAACAGAGCCCCCATCTATCACCCTTGACCAAGAGATGAAAGATGTTGTATCTGTCAAGGCAGGGGACACAATTGTTATATCAGCTGCTAAGATTTTGGGCAAACCTCCACCAACTTCTTTCTGGTCCAAGGGAGGTCGTGAGTTCAAGAACTCGGACATTGTCACTGTGACTACCACTCCAACTTCCTCGACTCTTGCTATTAAATATGCAAGCCGGAAGAACACAGGAGACTACACAATCACTGCAGCCAACCCATTCGGTATAAAAGAAGAACACATTAAAGTGAAGGTTCTTGATGTTCCTGGACCACCAGGCCCCATTGAAGTCAGTAACATTTCAGCTGAAAAGTGTACCCTGACCTGGCTTCCACCTGAGGAGGATGGAGGTGCTTCTATCAAGTCCTACATCCTTGAGAAGAGAGAAACTAGCCGCCTACAGTGGACCAAAGTAGCTGAAAATATCATGGACTGCAGATTTGTAGCCAGCAAACTGATAAAGGGCAACGAGTATATCTTTAAAGTGACTGCTGTAAACCTGTATGGTACAGGAGACTCTAGCTTGTCTGGTCCTGTGAAAATGGTTGACAGCTTTGGTAAGTTTGCTTGTTTCCACATTCAGTCAAAATATTTACACTCAAATCTTGGAAATATATTTTTTCTTTATGACTATACATTTTTGTTATCTTCAGGTCCACCAGGTCCACCATCAGCCCCAGAGGTTGATAACGTTAGTCGAAATGCTGTTACTATTTCATGGAAGAGACCTGTACAGGACGGAGGAAGTGACATTAGAGGATATTGTGTAGAAAGGAAAGAAAAGAAAGGAATGAGATGGGTTAGAGCCTGTAAGAGGACGGTTCCTGACCTTCGCTTCAAGGTACAAGGCCTGAGTGAGGGAGTAGAGTATGAGTTTAGAGTCACTGCTGAGAATAAAGCTGGATTTGGGCAGCCGAGTGAGCCATCACGCCCAGTAATGACCAAGGACATTGTATGTAAGTAAAGAAGGCTTTTCATGTATTCAAAGAATTAGCTTAAAGCATATGTGAAATCTTTTACTAATGTGTAATTTTGTAAATGATACTGATTTACTGTGGTGTTGTTATGGGATTTTTTTTTTAGATCCACCCGGTCCTCCATCAAACCCTAGGATTACAGACACTACAAAAACGACAGCATACTTCGCATGGGGTCGCCCTCATTATGATGGTGGTCTTGAAGTTGATGGGTACATCGTTGAATATAAAAAAGAGGGTCATGATGATTGGGAGACAGAGACACAGTACCCAGTTAAAACTACTGAATATATTATTGGTAAACTTCAAAAAGGAGGAAAATACCACTTCAGAGTTTGTGCTGTAAACTCTGAGGGAGTAGGTGAACCTGCAGAGGTTGAAAAAGTAACTGAACTGGTTGATCAGGAAACCGTACCAGACTTTGAGCTGGATGCTGAACTTAGGAAAACTCTTGTCGTTAGATGCCGTGCTTCCATCCGTCTATTTGTTCCCATCAAGGGCCGCCCTGTTCCTGAAGTCACTTGGAGCAAAGAAAATACCAACCTGAAAGCACGTGCACACATTGATACCACAGAGTCCTACACACTACTTGTTATTCCTGACTGCACTAGATACGATGCTGGGAAATATCATCTTTCTTTAGAGAACGTCGCTGGCAAGAAGACAGGCTTTATCAACGTGAGAGTTCTTGACACTCCTGGACCCCCAGTCAACCTAAAACCAAGAGAGATCACTAAAAACAGCATAACTCTCCAGTGGGAAATTCCCATTATTGATGGAGGGTCCAAGATTCATAACTACATCATTGAAAAGAGAGATGCCACGAAAAAGGCTTACACAGTCCTTAGCACCACATGGCAAAAGTGTTCCTTTAAATTTGAAGACCTTGTTGAGGGTGCTTATTACTACTTCCGTGTCTCTGCTGAAAATGACCTTGGTGTAGGTGAGCCCGCTGAAACAGCTGAGCCTATAAGGGTGTCACAGGCCCCCTCTCCACCGGATAACTTGTATGTTACTGATATGACCGCTGACAGTGCTAGCCTTGCATGGACCAAGCCTCTTCATGATGGCGGCAGCTTGATTACTGGATATGTAATTGAGGCTCAAAAGAAAGACACTGATCAATGGGTCCACATAACCACCATCAAAGCTCTTGATTATACTGTGACCGATCTTGTTGAGGGTGCTGAATACACCTTCCGCGTAATGGCTGTCAATGCATCAGGCAGGAGTGATCCTCGCGAGAGCCGACCAGCTCTGATTAAAGAGCAAACATCTGCTCCATCTTTTGACCTGAGAGGAGTCTACCAGAAAACTGTAATTGCCAAAGCAGGGGATCGTGTTAAGGTGGAGATTCCCGTGTTGGGAAAACCCAGGCCAGTTGTCTCATGGAAGAAGGGAGACATAGTGCTCAAAGAAACCCAAAGAATCAACATTGAAACCACAGCAACATCAACCATCCTTAACATCAGTGAGATCAAAAGAACTGATCAAGGCCAGTATTCAATGACTGGGAAGAATATGCTTGGAACATTGACAGAAACTATCACAGTCCTGGTCCACGATATTCCAGGTCCACCCACTGGTCCTGTCAAGCTGGATGAGGTCTCATGTGATTATGTCATCATGTCCTGGGAACCCCCTGAGAATGATGGCGGTGTTCCTATCAATAATTACATTGTTGAAATGCGGGAGACTACAGGCACCTCATGGGTGGAGTTGGCAGCTACTGTTATTCGCACCACATTCAAAGCAGCACGACTTAATACTGGAACCCAGTATCAGTTCCGCATCAAGGCTCAGAACAGATATGGCATTGGACCATGTCTTCTCTCTGAACCAGTGTTGGCTGCTTATCCATTTGATGTGCCCAGCCAGCCCGGTATTCCTGTGGTCACATCATTCAACAAGGATTCAATGACTGTTAGTTGGAACGAGCCATCCTCTGATGGGGGCAGTCCTATTCTTGGCTATCACATTGATAGAAAAGAGAAAAACAGCATTCTGTGGCAGAGGATCAACAAAGCTCTTGTTGTTGGAAACATATTTAAATCAACAGGCCTTGTTGATGGCATTGCATATGAATATCGTGTTATTGCTGAAAACATGGCTGGTCTGAGCAAACCTAGCAAGGCCTGTGAACCTATGTATGCTTTGGACCCAGTTGATCCACCAGGCAGACCTGTGGCATTAAATATTACTAGACATGAGGTGACATTATCTTGGACCAAACCAGAAGGTGATGGAGGATTTTCCATCACAGGATACACAGTGGAGAGGAAAGAGTTGCCTAATGGCCGCTGGCTCAAAGCAAATTTCAACAACATTCTGGAAACCATGTTTACAGTCAGTGGTTTGACTGAAGATGCAACATATGAATTCCGTGTGTTTGCTCGAAACTCAGCTGGTGCTATCAGTGCTCCTTCTCAACCATCAGAAGCCATTACATGCAGAGATGACATTGAAGAGCCCAGGCTTGATGTTGATGCATCATACAGCAGTAATGTTGTTGTAATGGCAGGAGAGCCATTTAGACTTGAAGCCAATGTCACTGGCAGACCAATTCCTTCTTTAGTATGGACAAAGGAAGGAAAAGAGCTGGAGGACACAGCCAAAATAGAGATAAAGACATCTGACTTCCACACAACTCTAATCAACAAAGATTCCCTAAGAAGAGATGGTGGTGCTTTTACCCTGACTGCAAGCAATCCTGGTGGTTTTGCTAAGTTCACTTTCAATGTGAAAGTACTAGACAGACCTGGACCTCCAGATTCCCTTACAGTTACAGATATTGCTGCAGAGAAATGTGTGCTTAACTGGCTGCATCCAACACATGATGGCGGTGCTAAGATTGAGTATTTTATCATACAGAGGCGTGAGACCAGCAGGTTGGCTTGGACTAATGTCGCAACAGATCTTCAAGCAAACAGGTTTAAGGTCACAAAGCTTCTTAAAGGTAATGAGTACATTTTCAGAGTCATGGCTGTCAACAAGTATGGTGTAGGTGAACCCCTTGAAACAGAACCTGTTAATTGTGTCAACCCATACGGCCCCAGTGACCCACCAACACAGCCTGAGGTCACAACTATTACCAAAGACTCCATGGTTGTCTGCTGGGAGCGTCCTGAACATGACGGAGGCAGTCGAATTAATACCTATGTAATTGAAAGAAGGGATAAGACAGGCCTACGCTGGGTCAAATGTAACAAGAGGACTGTAACTGACTTACGATTCAAAGTCTCCGGTCTCACACCAGGTCATGAATATGAATTTAGAGTTTTTGCTGAAAATAATGCTGGCCTCAGCCAGCCTAGCCCTTCCAGTCCATTCTACAAAGCTGTTGATACCATCTTCCAGCCTGGGCCTCCCGGAAACCCACGAGTACTAGACACCTCAAAGTCTTCCATTACAGTCGCCTGGAATAAACCTGTGTATGATGGTGGTTCTGAAATTACTGGTTATATCGTGGAGACCTGCCTGCCTGAGGAGGATGAATGGACAATCCACACTCCCAAGAAGGGATGGACAGCCACATCCTTTACTATCACTAATCTGAAAGAAAACCAGGACTATAAAATTAATATCTGTGCTACAAATAGTGAAGGAGTAGGAGAGCCTGCTGCTGTTCCTGGGGTCCCTAAGGCAGAAGACAGATTAATTCCTCCTGAAATTGAACTTGGAGCAGAGCTACGTAAAGTAGTTTCCATAAGAGCATGTAGCACACTCAGACTTTTTGTCCCTATTAAGGGAAGACCAGCCCCTGAAGTTAAATGGTCAAGAGAGCATGGTGAATCCCTAGATAAGGCAAATATTGAAATCACCCCATCATTCACAACCCTTCAGATAGAAAACGTTGACAGGTTTGATGGGGGTAAATACTTGGTGACAGTGGAGAACGCCTCTGGAAGTAAAACAGCATTTGTCAATGTAAGAGTACTAGACACTCCTGGACCACCTCAAAATCTCATTGTTAAGGAAGTTACAAGAGACTCCGTTTCCCTCGTCTGGGATGCACCAATCATTGATGGAGGCTCTAGAATCCGCAGCTACATTGTGGAAAAGCGGGAGTCTCATAGGAAAGCCTACTCGACTGTATGTGCCAGCTGTCATAAGTCTAGTTGGAAAGTGGGAGACCTGGAAGAAGGAAAATTGTATTTCTTCAGAATACTGGCTGAAAATGAGTTTGGTATTGGTCTACCAGTTGAAACTCTAGAACCAATTAAGGCATCAGAAAAGCCTTTACCACCAGGCAAAGTATCTCTCCGTGAAGTTACTGGAACCAGTATCACACTGACTTGGGAAAAACCAGATCATGATGGTGGTAGCAGAATAACAGGCTATAATGTTGAGATGCAAACTAAAGGAAGTGAGAAATGGACCCAAGTGATGGTAGTAAAAACCAATGAGGCTCAGGTGACTGGACTTACACATGGAGAGGAGTACATGTTCAGAATATCAGCTTTCAACGAAAAGGGCGTTAGTGATCCCCGACCTCTCAATGTGCCCGTGGTGGCTAAAGATCTAGTTATCCCACCAGCCTTTAAACTGCTTTTTAGCACTTTTAGTGCGCTCGCAGGAGATGACCTGAAGATAGATGTACCTTATGTAGCCTGTCCTAAGGCTACAATAACTTGGCTTAAGGATGGTGTGATTCTCAAAGAAACAACACGAGTTAATACTGAAGCCACAGACAAAAACCTTCTTCTCATCATTAAAGATGCTTGTAGAGATGATGTTGGTATGTATACCATAAAACTAAACAACACCGCTGGGGAGGCTGCAACAGATATAAGTGTTGTCGTCTTAGATAAGCCCGGTCCTCCAATTGGTCCGATCAAGCTGGATGAGGTCACATCAGACAGTGTAGTCTTGTCTTGGAATCCACCACAATATGATGGGGGTTGCTCAATAAATAATTATATTGTAGAGAAGAGAGACACATCAACAACAAACTGGCAAATTGTGTCTGCTACAGTAGCTAGAACAACTATCAAGGCAGCTCGTCTGAAGACTGGTTCAGAGTATCAGTTTAGAATTGCTGCAGAAAATAGATATGGAAAGTCATCATTCCTCCTTTCTGAAAGCATTGTTGCACAGTATCCGTTTGAAATACCCAGTGCACCGCATTCTGTTGTTGTCCAGTCAGCCACCAAGGAGACCATGACTGTTGTCTGGGAGAAACCCAGCAAAGACGGTGGAAGCAAAATACTGGGATACCACTTGGAACTTAAAGAGCGAAACAGCATTCTCTGGGTGAAACAGAACAAGCAGCTAATCCCAGACACAAGATTTAAAGTGGTTGGTCTTGAAGAAGGCATTGAATATGAGTTTAGAGTATATGCTGAGAATATTGTTGGCCTTAGCAAACCTAGTAAGGTGAGCGAGATGCAAGTGGCCAGGGATCCTTGTGACAGACCTGGAAAACCAGAGGCTGTCATTGTAACTAGAAACCAAGTGACACTGAGATGGACCAAACCTGAATTTGATGGAGGCATCAAAATCACTGGTTATGTTGTTGAGAAAAAGGAGGCAAATGGTCGTTGGATGAAGGCCAGTTTTGCAAACGTAATTGAGACTGAATTTGTTGTCACAGGACTTACTGAGGATCAGACCTATGAGTTCCGCGTTATTGCTAAAAATGCAGCCGGTGTCTTTAGCCAGCCATCAGATTCTACTGGATCCATCACTGCCAAGGATGAGATTGAACCACCCAAAATTGACTTGGAAGCAAAGTACTCCCAGGTTGTGGTTGTAAATGCTGGAGAGACATTTAAACTTGAAGCTGCTATTTATGGTAAACCTGTACCAAATGTACATTGGCTGAAAGAGGGCAGTGAGATTGCAGAAGCAGCTCGTTTAGAAATCCGCAATACAAATTTTTCAGCTTGTTTAATTGTTAAGGAAGCTATTCGTGTTGATAGCGGTCAGTACACATTGCTTGTGAAGAATGTTGGTGGAGAAAAAACTATTACCATTATGGTCAAGGTCTTGGATAGGCCAGGTCCTCCTGAGGGCCCTATTTCTATCTATGGTGTCACCAATGAGAAATGCTCAATTTCTTGGAAACCTCCCTTGCATGATGGGGGTAGTGATGTCTCCCATTACATTGTTGAGAGAAGGGAAACCAGCAGACTGGTATGGACTGTAGTTGAACAAAAAGTTCAGACTCTAAATCTAAAAATCACCAAACTTCTTCCTGGTAATGAATACGTCTTCAGAGTTATTCCTGTCAATAAGTACGGTGTTGGTGAGCCTTTGGAATCTGAGGCAATGATTGCAAAAAATCCATTTGTCACACCAAGCCCACCAACTGAGGTAGATGTTTCTTCAATTACTAAGGACTCAATGGTTGTTACCTGGGAGAGGCCAAGTAATGATGGTGGCAGTTCCATTCAGGGGTATGTAATTGAGAAACGTGATAAGGATGGTGTTAGATGGACTAGATGCAACAAGCGAAATGTGACCGAATTACGGTTTAGAGTAACAGGACTCATAGAAAACCATAGCTATGAATTCAGAGTAGCTGCTGAGAATGCTGCTGGAGTTGGCACACCTAGCTCACCAACAATCTACTATAAAGCACTGGATCCTGTCTTTAAACCAGGGCCACCCAACAACCCTAAGGTAGTAGATACCTCTAGGTCAACTGTGTCTCTTACATGGGGCAAGCCCATATATGATGGTGGAAGCGAGATTAAGGCTTATATTGTTGAAGCATACAATGTAGCAGCTGATGAGTGGTTTATTTGTACTCCTCCCACTGGAATAACAGAGACAAGATTTACAGTGAAAAAGCTTCTGGAGAAACATGAATATCAGTTCCGGGTTTGTGCAATCAACAAAATTGGTGTTGGAGAACATGCTGACGTGCCGGGTAAAATCCTACTTGAAGAGAAACTTGAGGCTCCTGATCTTGAATTAGATGCTGAAATGAGAAAAATGATCAACATCAGATCAGCTTGCACTCTGAGATTGTTTGTTCCTGTGAGAGGACGGCCTGCTCCTGAGTTGAAATGGGGCAAGGTTGATGGGGAGATTAAAGAGACAGCCCAAATTGACAACACGGGAAGCTATGCCTCTCTGACCATTGAAAATGTTGACCGATTTGATAGTGGCAAGTACACACTGACTGCAGAAAATGCTAGTGGAGTCAAGTCAGTGTTCATCAGTGTCAGAGTCTTGGACTCTCCTAGTCCACCAACTAACCTAACTGTTAAAGAGATTACTAGGAACTCTGTCACACTCTCATGGGAGCCTCCACTTCTGGATGGTGGCTCAAAGATTAAGCATTACATTGTTGAGAAGCGTGAAAGCACAAGGAAAGTTTACACTACTATCACAACGTGTAACAAGATGTCATGGAAAGTTGAGCCTCTTCCAGAGGGTGGAATCTTCTTCTTTAGAGTCTTAGCTGAGAATGAATATGGTGTTGGTCTCCAAGCTAAAACTATGGATCCAATCAAAATATCTGAGAAGCCTCAACCACCTGGTAAGGTTAGTGTTCTTGATGTGACTCGCAGCACAGTTACTCTAAAGTGGGAGAAATCTGAATATGACGGTGGTAGTAGAATCAGCCATTATGACATTGAAATGGCTCCCAAAGATAGTGAGGACTGGACTGTGTGTGCCAGTGTGAAAGGCCTGGAGACAGTAGTAAGCAACCTTCTGAAGGGAGAGGAATATCAGTTCAGAGTTGTTGCTGTAAATGAAAAAGGTAAAAGTGACCCACGACAACTGGCTCATACAGTTGTAGCAAAGGACCTTATCATAGAGCCCTCTGTAAGACCTAAATCAAGTTCCTACAGCGTTCAGGTGGGGAATGATCTCAAGATAGAGGTTCCATTTGCTGGTCATCCAAAACCAACTATCACTTGGACCAAGGATGGAGTAGCACTTAAGCAGACTACCAGAGTAAATGTAAGTGACTCAGCACATCATACTACTCTAACCATTAAGGATGCCACCAGAGATGATGGTGGTATGTACAGTATCAATATTACCAATGCCTTGGGTTCCAAGGATGCCACGATTGAGGTTATCACCCTTGACAAACCTGGACCACCAACAGGTCCGGTCAAGATTGAGGATATCAGTGCCGAGAGTGTCACTCTTAATTGGGAACCCCCTACCTACACAGGTGGCTGTCCAGTGTCCAACTATATTGTGGAAAAAAGAGATACAACTACAACTAATTGGGTTGTTGTTTCTGCCACTGTGGCTAGAACAACTTTAAAGGTAGCAAATCTAAAGACAGGTGCTGAATACCAGTTTAGAATTTTTGCTGAAAACAGATATGGAAAGAGTTATGCAATTGATTCCGAGCCTGTTTTAGCACAGTATCCCTTCCAGGAGCCTGGGCCACCAGGAACACCATATGTTTCTTCATACACTAGAGATTATATGGTGGTTGAGTGGCATAAACCACCATCTGATGGAGGCAGTGCTATTTTGGGCTATCATTTGGAGAGGAAAGAGAAGAATAGTATCTTGTGGACAAAGATCAACAAAATGCTCATTCAAGATTGTAAATTCAAGTCTACCCCTCTTGAGGAAGGCATCGAGTATGAGTACAGAGTATATGCTGAGAATATAGTTGGCATTGGCAAGTGCAGCAAAGTTTCTGAGGTTTATGTAGCTCGTGATCCATGTGATCCTCCTGGCCGTCCTCAAGCTGTTATTGTAACCCGACATTCAGTGAAGCTCAGATGGACACCCCCACAGTATGATGGTGGAAGCCTTGTAACTGGCTATGCAGTAGAGAAGCGAGACCTTCCAGAGGGAAAATGGATGAAGGCAAGCTTTGCAAACATTATTGAAAATGAATTCATAGTTACTGGCCTGACAGAGGGCAGTAAATATGACTTTAGAGTGATTGCAAGGAATGCCGCTGGTGCTGTTAGCAAGCCCTCTGAGACGACAGGATCCATAACAGCTAAGGATGAAGTTGAGCCACCAAAGTGTGAGACTGATTCTAAGTACAATCAAACTATTGTCATCAATGCTGGAGAGACTTTCACTCTGGAGGCTAGTGTGGAAGGAAAACCCATTCCAACAGCTCAGTGGTTCAAGGGAAGTGTTGAAGTTGAAAACTCTGCAAGAGCTGAAATAAAGAACTCCGATTTTAACGCATTACTTGTAGTAAAGGATGCTATTAGAGTGGATGGTGGACAGTACACGTTGGTTCTAACAAATGTTGCTGGAACTCAGACAGTTCCGTTCACTGTGAAGGTACTGGATAGACCAGGCCCATCAGAGGGTCCCCTCACAGTCAGTAATGTTACTGAGGAGAAATGCTCACTATCATGGCTGCCACCCAGGCATGACGGAGGAGCCAGCATTTCTCACTATGTCATTCAAAAGCGAGAAACTAGTCGCTTGGCATGGACTGTGGTCTCTAGTGATTGTGGAGCTACAATGTTCAAGGTAACAAAACTACTGAAAGGCAATGAGTACATCTTTAGAGTCATGGCTGTCAACAAGTACGGGGTAGGTGAGCCTCTGGAATCAGAGCCAGTTGTCATGAGAAATCCATTTGTTCCTCCTGGTGCACCTTGTGAACTAGAGATCACTAACATTACAAGGGATTCAATGACTGTCTGTTGGAACCGTCCAGAGTCTACAGGAGGAAGTGAAATTGTTGGTTATATTATTGAAAAGAGAGACAGAGCTGGAGTAAGGTGGACCAAGTGCAACAAACGCAGAGTGACAGACTTGCGTTTTAGAGTAACAGGACTCACTGAGGACCATGAATATGAGTTCAAGGTATCTGCTGAGAATGCAGCTGGAGTGGGCCAGTCAAGTCCACCTACACCCTACCTTAAAGCCTGTGACCCTACTTTCGAACCAGGCATTCCCACCAATGCCCATGTTGTTGACACAACAAAAGACTCCATCAGCTTAGCTTGGCACAGACCTATATATGATGGTGGTTGTGAAATCCAAGGATATGCCGTTGAAATTACCAAGGCAGAGGAGGAGGAGTGGACTATATGCACACCACCTACAGGAGTACATGCTACTAAATTTACCATCAAAAGTTTGATAGAGCACCAAGAATACAAAGTGCGTGTCTGTGCGATAAATAAAATTGGTGTTGGTGAGCCCACAGAAATTCAAGGAGTCGTTATCCCTGTGGATAAAATCGATCCTCCAGAAATGATTTTAGATTCAGAGCTCAGGAAGGGAATAGTTGTTCGCGCTGGAGGCTCAATGAGAATCTGCATTCCTTTTAAGGGTCGTCCCTCTCCTGAAATAAGTTGGGCCAAAGAGGATGGGGAACTGCCAAGTAAAGTACAGATTGAGACCGGTGACGATTACACACAGCTCTCCATTGACATTTGCGATAAATATGATGCTGGAAAATACATCCTTAATGTAGAAAACAGTGCTGGAAGCAAATCAGCTTTTGTTTCTGTCAAAGTTTTGGACACACCAGGGGCTCCATTAAATCTAATTGTAAAAGACATAAAGAGGGAGAGTGTCACTTTGACCTGGGAACCCCCAATTATTGATGGTGGTGCAAGAATAAAGAATTACTTGGTTGAAAAGCGTGAGTCAACCAGAAAAGTGTACTCAAATGTGGACAATAAATGTACAAAGACAAGTTATCGTATCACAGGCCTAACTGAAGGAACAATTTATTACTTTAGAGTCTTAGCAGAGAATGAATTTGGTGTTGGACAGGCAATTGAAACAACAGAACCTGTTAAAGCATCTGAGCCACCTTTATCAGTGGGAAAAGTTAATTTGACTGAAGTCACAAAAACCTCAGCCTCACTCTCCTGGGAAAAGCCAGTCCATGATGGAGGCAGCAGGATCATTGGATACTACATTGAGATGATGCCTGTAGGCTCAGAAGAATGGGTTGTGGCTGCCACAACCAAAACTTGTGAGGGAACGGTCACAGGCCTCAGTGCAGGACATGAGTACCTTTTTAGAGTATCAGCATTCAATGACAAGGGCAAGAGTGACCCCCGGCCTCTGGCTGCACCAGTAACTGCTAAGGATGTTACCGCTGAGCCCAGATTCAAAATGAGATTCAATACTTACAGTTTGCAACAAGGCGAGGATCTGAAAATTGAGATCTCAGTGCTTGGACGCCCCATTCCAAAGGTTGAATGGAAGAAGGAAGGGCAAACTCTAAAGGAGACAACCAGAATAAATGTGTCAAACACACCATCATCTACTAAGTTGGTCATCAAAGATGCTAATAGAGAGGATGCTGGGAAATATGCTGTTACAGCCACCAGTAGCATTGGAACAGCTACAGAGGAGATTACTGTTATAATTCTTGACAAACCAGGACCTCCTACAGGCCCAATAAAGATAGAGGAAGTCAGCTCTAATTTTGTAATGCTGTCTTGGGAACCCCCAGTCTATACTGGAGGCTGTCAGATCAACAACTACATTGTAGAGAAGAGAGACACCACTACTACAGCGTGGCAGATTGTGTCTGCTACAATTGCCAGGACAACTATCAAAGTCACAAATTTAAAGACTGGAACTGAATATCAATTTAGAGTCTCTGCCGAGAATAGATATGGAAAGAGTTCAGCTATTGTCTCTCCCGCTGTAGTTGCCAAATATCCATTCAGTGAGCCTGCTGCCCCTGGAAAACCAGATATTACACATGCAACTAAGGATAGTATGGTCGTTGAATGGAAACCACCCACCAGTGATGGGGGTAGCCCAATTTTAGGGTATCACCTGGAGAGAAAAGAGAAGAACAGCCTTTTATGGGCTAAACTTAACAAGCTTCTAATACCAGATACACGATTTAAAACTACAGAATTGGAAGAAGGTATAGAGTATGAATTTAGAGTTTATGCTGAAAACATTGCTGGTCTCAGCCCAGCTAGCAAGGTCTCAGACAGCACAGTAGCCAGGGACCCATGTGACCCACCAGGCACGCCTGAGGCAATTGAAATCACCAGAAATCGTGTCACACTTCAGTGGACCAGACCCCAGTATGATGGAGGCAGTGCAATCACTGGGTATTTAATTGAGAGAAGGAAGCACCCAGATATGCGCTGGATGAAGGCAAGCTTCACCAACATTATTGACACCCAGTACACTCTGACTGGTCTTACAGAAGACTGTATTTATGAATTTAGAGTCATTGCAAGGAATGCTGCCGGAATTTCTAGTTCCCCATCTGAAAGCACAGGGGAAATAACAGCCAAAGATGAAATAGAGGCTCCAGATGCCACAATGGATTCCAAATTCAAAGATCTGACTGTTGTCCATGCCAGTGAGACATTTATCATTGATGCCGACTACACTGGTAAGCCTCTACCTGAGGTCACATGGTTAAAGGAAGGGAAGGAAATTGATAAGACCACTCCCAGAATGGAAATCAAGACCACACTTACCCGCACTATCCTGACAGTTAAAGACTGCATAAGAGTTGATGGGGGGCACTTTGTTCTTAAGCTTGTTAATGTAGGTGGCGTCAAAATGATCCCAGTCAACGTAAAGGTTTTGGACAGACCTGGCCCTCCAGATGGACCATTGGAGGTCAAAGGAGTGACAGCTGAAAAATGTTATCTGCACTGGAACCATCCCTTACATGATGGTGGAGCTAGCATTTCTCACTATATTATTGAAAAGAGAGAGACAAGTCGTTTGTCATGGACCATGGTTGAGCCGAAGATTCAGGCGATCAGCTACAAAATAACAAAACTGCTACCTGGAAATGAATACATCTTCAGAGTTACTGCTGTGAATAAATATGGAGTTGGCGAACCTTTAGAATCTGAGCCTGTGGTTGCTCGTAATCCATTCACCACTCCCAGTGCGCCCTCTACTCCTGAACCCAGTGCTATTACAAGGGATTCCATTGTGCTTACTTGGGAGCGGCCAGAGAACAATGGGGGAGCTGAGATTGAAGGATATGTACTTGAAAAACGTGATAAGGATGGGATCAGATGGACCAAGTGTAACAAGAAGAGACTGACTGACTTAAGATTTAGGTGCACTGGTCTTACAGAGGGTCATTCCTATGAATTCAGGGTCTCAGCTGAAAATGCTGCTGGTGTTGGAAAGCCTAGTGCACCAACAGAATATATCAAAGCATGCGATGCCATTTATCCACCAGGACCTCCAAATAACCCCAAGGTCACTGACCATTCTAGCACTACAGTCTCCCTTTCGTGGTCTAGACCCATCTATGATGGTGGAGCACAGGTTACAGGTTATGTAGTTGAAATGAAGGAGGCATTAGACGATGAATGGATTGTTTGCACACCTCCTACTGGTGTGCAAGACACTCACTACACTGTAAAGAAATTGAAGGAAAATGGAGAATATAATTTCCGCATATGCGCAATAAACTGTGAGGGAGTAGGCGATCATGTGGACCTGCCAGGGTCTGTGATTGCTGCTGAGAAGCTACAGGCCCCTGAAATTGAATTAGATGCTGATCTGAGAAAGATGGTCAATGTCCGTGCCAGCGCAACCCTGCGCCTCTTTGTGACTATCAGAGGAAAGCCTGAGCCTGAAGTCAAATGGTCAAAGGCTGATGGCACTCTAAATGAGCGTGCCCAAATTGAAGTCACAAGTTCTTATACAATGCTTGTGATTGAGAATGTTGACAGGTTTGACACTGGCAAATATGTGCTAACGCTTGAGAACCTTAGTGGCTCTAAGTCAGCCTTTATCAATGTTAGAGTCCTGGACTCTCCCAGCGCCCCAACAAACCTACAGGTTAAGGATGTAAAGAGACATTCTGTCTCTCTTTCCTGGGAGCCTCCTCTTATTGATGGTGGTGCTAAGATATCTCACTATATTGTGGAGAAGAGAGAGCAGAAGCGAATGGCTTTCACCAGTGTTAGCACCAACTGTGTTCGGAACTCTTACATTATTTCTGACCTGCAGGAGGGAGGTAGATACTTCTTCCGTGTGTTGGCTGTTAATGAACTGGGAGTTGGGCTGCCAGCTACCACAGATCAAGTCAAGGTTTCAGAAGCACCTTTACCCCCTGGAAAAATTGCTGTGGTTGATGTAACTCGCCATACTGTCACACTTTCATGGGAGAAACCTGATAATGATGGAGGCAGCAAAATCACAAGCTATATTGTTGAAATGCAGCCCAAAGGAGATGAAAAATGGACAGTGTGCAGTGAAGCCAAAGCACTAGAAGCTACAATTGATGGACTCTCTACTGGAGAGGAATATTCCTTCAGAGTAATTGCTGTGAATGACAAGGGTAGAAGTGATCCCAAGCCTTTGGCTGCCCCTGTGGTGGTTAAAGACATAACAATGGAGCCAACCATCAATTTGCTTTTCCATACATACAGTGTGAAAGCAGGAGATGATTTAAAGATTGATGTTCCTTTGAAAGGCAGACCTCAGCCTGAGGTGTCCTGGAAGAAAGATGGCCATGTGCTCAAGCAGACTACTAGGGTAAATGTTCTCAATTCAAAGACCTCATCCAAGATCATCATCAAAGATTCCACCAAAGAGGATACTGGAAAATATGAGATCACTCTGACTAATTCAATCGGTACAAAAACAGCTGAAATTTCAGTAATAATTTTGGATAAGCCTGGCCCCCCCAGTAACATTAGGGTAGATGAAGTGAGTGCTGACTTCATCTCTCTGTCCTGGGATGCTCCAACCTATGATGGTGGCTGCCAGATTAATAACTATGTTGTGGAGAAGAGAGACACTACCTCAACAACATGGCAAATTGTCTCAGCTACAGTAGCCAGGACATCAATTAAAGTTTCCCGTCTCAATCAGGGCACAGAGTACCAGTTCCGCATTGCAGCTGAGAACCGTTATGGCAAGAGTCACGCAATTGATTCTGCTCCTGTTGTTGCACAATATCCATTTGAGCCTCCTGGTCCTCCAACCAATCTTCATGTGGCCCATGCCACCAAGACTGGCATGCTTGTGGTATGGGGCAGACCAGCCAGTGATGGTGGAAGCCCTGTCATTGGTTATCATATTGAATGCAAAGACCAAAGCAGCATTTTGTGGGCCAAAGTCAATAGAGGTCTGCTGACTGAAAACCAATTTAAGATGACTGGCACTGAGGAAGGTCTGTTTTATCAGTATAGAGTATATGCTGAGAATATTGCTGGTATTGGTCCATGTACTAAACCTAGTGAACCAGTTGCAGCCAGGGACCCATGTGAATCACCACATAACCTTAAAGTCACAAATATTACCAGGAACTCGGTTTCTCTGTTCTGGGATCCACCTGAATATGACGGTGGAGTGAAAATTGTTGGATACATTGTAGAGCGCAAAGAGCTTCCCAATGGTCGCTGGCTTAAGTGTAACTTCGCCAATCTACAGGAGACTTACTTTGATGTCACAGGTCTTACAGAAGATTCACAGTATGATTTCCATGTTATTGCAAAGAATTCCGCAGATATGCTGAGTGCGCCTTCAGAATGCACTGGTCCTGTCACCATCAAAGATGATGTAGAGGCCCCAGCCATTGACTTGGCGGATAAATTCAGGCAGTTAGTTGTCATTAAGGCTGGAGAAATAATCAGAATTGATGCTGAAATTACAGGACGTCCAATCCCAGTGGTCTCATGGTCCAAGGATGGAAAAGACATTGAGGCCAAGGCCAGGTGTGAAGTAAGCTCCACCAACTTCACAACCACTCTGATTGTCAGGGATGCTATCAGGAGGGACTCTGGACAGTATGTTTTGACTTTGCACAATGTAGCTGGAACCAGATCTGTAGCTGTCAACTGTAAGGTTCTGGATAGGCCTGGACCAGCTTCTGGACCTTTGGCAGTTTCAAATGTTACAGCAGAGAAATGCACCATAACATGGGGTCCACCTCAGGAGAATGGTGGAGCTGAAATAATGCACTATATTGTGGAGAAACGTGAGACAAGTCGCCTTGCTTGGACCCTTGTTTATGGTGACATGAAGGCAACTACCTGCAAGGTTACCAAGCTGCTCAAAGGAAATGAGTACATTCTCAGGGTCAGAGGAGTTAACAAATATGGAGATGGTGAGGCCCTAGAGAGTGAGCCAGTTAGAGCTATAGATCCGTTTACTGTACCTGCAGCCCCCACTAATGTCCAGGTCACCTCAGTTACTAGTGAGGCCATGACAATCTGTTGGGAAAGACCAGTTTCTGATGGTGGCAGCAGTATCTCTGGCTATGTAATTGAAAAGCGTGAGAAGACTGGCCTCCGCTGGTGCCGTGTCAACAAGAAACCTGTCTACGACCTCAGAGTCAAAGCCTCCAACCTTCGTGAAGGAAGTGAATATGAGTACAGGGTGTTTGCAGAAAATGCCGCAGGACTTAGTGCTCCAAGCACTCCATGCCCGCTCACCAAGGCTGAAGACCCACAATTTCTGCCCTCACCTCCAGCTAAGCCCAAGCTCATCGACTCAACAAAGACAACAATTACATTGGCATGGAATAAGCCGCTATTTGATGGTGGAGCACCTGTGACTGGTTACAGAGTGGAATACAGAAAGTCATTAGATGATGAATGGTTCATTGGAGTTCAGAACACCAAAAATACAGAGTTTACAGTTGTAGGGCTGACTCCTGGGGCTGAATATGTATTTGTTGTTAGATCCATCAACAAAATTGGAGCAAGTGAGCCTAGTCCGGAGTCAGATAAACAGACTGCTAAAGAAAAAGAAGAAGAGCCAGTCTTTGAAATAAGTAATGAGATGAGGAAGACTCTTGTTGTGAAAGATGGAAGCTCATTTACCATGACAGTACCCTTCAGAGGCAAGCCCATTCCTGCTGTTACCTGGACAAAGCCTGATGTTGACCTTAGAGTACGTGCTGTTATCGACACCACAGACACCTTCACCTCAATTACTTTGGAGAAGGCAACACGTGATGACTCTGGAAAATACACTGTTACCTTGTCTAGCATTGCTGGAACCTCCTCACTTACACTCAACGTTAGAGTGCTTGACTCACCTGGACCTCCAGCATTTGTGGGAGTCAAAGAAGTGACTAAAACATCTGCTGTTGTGACTTGGGACACCCCAGAGAATGAAGGAGGAGGTCCAGTTAAGAACTATCTTGTTGATTTCCGAGAGGCAAGCAAGAAAGGCTGGACTAGGTTGACTGACACATGCCACAGGCTGACATACAAGGTGTCAAACCTAAAGGAGGGAGAAGTTTACTACTTTAGAGTGACAGGGGAGAATGACTATGGTGTTGGTGTTTCTGCTGAGACCAAAGAGGGAACCAAGATTACAGGTATTTACATTTACACAGATACATTCTAAGTTATATTTGTATAGTTATACAAATGAAAAAAAAAAAACAGATTTGTCAATGAAGCATATATTGTCATCTTTTTCCAGAAAAGCCAAGCCCCCCACCAAAGCTTGGAGTAACTGATGTCTCTAAGGAGAGCGTGTCATTGGCGTGGGCTAAACCTGAACATGATGGAGGCAGCAGAATTACTGGATATCTGGTTGAAGCACTGGAAAAGGGTCAGGAGAAGTGGGTTAAATGTGGTGTAACCAAGTTTACCCACTTTACAGTGTCTGGCCTAAGGGAGAAATCAGAGTACTTCTTCAGAGTCAAAGCTGAGAACCATGCCGGATTTAGCGATGTTAAGGAAATGTTCACCCCTGTCATGGTCAAAGATCAGCTTGGTACGTTTGAAATTATGAACATTTTTCAAGTCACTATTTCAACCAAGAAAAAATTTTGTTTTTTTTTGGTTGACTTGTCTTCTATTGACAATTGGGTCAAAAACCTAATGATGTGATAAAACTTTGATCTTTGTGTTTCTGTAGAATCTCCCGAAGTCATTATGAAGGACTTCCCCCACAACACAGTGTACGTCCGAGCTGGCTCCACTCTCAAGTGTGAAATTCCTCTGACTGGCCAACCCCTGCCCAAAGTCACTCTTTCCAAGGATAATGTAGTGCTCAAGTCAACAATGAGGTTCAACTCTGAAGTCACTCCTGACAGCATCAAAATCATCCTGCGTGAAAGCGTTGCAGGAGACACAGGACGCTATGATATAACTGCCTCCAACTCGAGTGGAACCACCAAGTCCTTTGTCAATATTGTGGTTCTAGATCGCCCTAGTGTCCCACTTGGACCTGTGGAACTGTTTGATGTCACAGAAGACAGTGTAGGCCTCAGGTGGCTCCCACCAGCATATGATGGTGGTAGCCCAATCACAAACTATATCATCCAGAAGAGAGAAACAACTACAGCAAACTGGATTGATGTGTCTTCTGCTGTGGCCCGTTGCACTATAAAGATTCTGAAACTTACCACTGGCCTGGAGTACCAGTTCAGAATCAGGGCTGAAAACAAATATGGAATAAGCGAACATATTGACTCTCCAGTAGTCACAGTGAACCTTCCATACAGTAAGGGTTTTATTTATTTTCCATTTTCTAATGTGTGACTTTAAATCTCCGTTTTGATAATAAAATATAAAAACTTTTAACACTGCTGTTTATCTTTCAGCTGTTCCAGATGTGCCATCAACTCCCGAGATTACTGCGGTAACCAGGGAGAGCATTGCATTAGCCTGGAAGGAGCCCAAGTCAGATGGAGGAAGCCATGTGTTTGGTTACCATCTCCAGATGAAAGATAGAAACAGCATCATGTGGCAGAGAGTTAACAAAACTGTAATCCGTGCCACACATTATAAGGTCACTAATGTTAATGCTGGACTCATTTATGAGTTTAAGGTGGCAGCAGAAAATGCGGCTGGTCTTAGTGCTTTCAGCAAGTCTTCAGATGCTGTGCTGGCAATAGATGCCTGTGGTGAGTAGTACTAAAGAAGTAATTGCAAAGGTTTACAGAAATCAAATCTTTTCAACTTCTTGAAAAAACCCATGTTAATTTAATTCCTGTTTATTTCTGTAGAACCACCGATTAACCTCAGAATCAGTGACATCACCAAAACCACTATCAGCCTTGCCTGGGAGAAGCCCAACTATGATGGTGGATCCCCTATTACTGCTTACATGATTGAGAAAAGAGAGGGTGTTAGTCCGAAGTGGTTCAAAGCTCACCTCACCAATATCACAGACACACATTTCACTGTGACTGGACTTACCCAGAATGAAACGTACGAGTTCAGGGTGATGGCCAAAAATGCTGTTGGTTCAGTCAGCAACCCATCTATGACAGCTGGACCAGTTACCTGTGTGGACACCTATGGTATGAATATCTTTTGTATTTGAATTTATGTAAATTATTTCAGAGAGATCCCAAATAATCTGCTGCCTTTTTGTTTTACACAATTTTGTTTTTACCCCTTGTATGTTGAGGCATATCTGTTTCACACATTGACATTGTGCTCCTGTTATTTGGGATACCTATATGTATGAGAAATTAAAAATAAAATTGTGTTTGTTTTCATCAGGTGCCCCAGAGATTGAAATTCCACAGGAGTACCTTAACGAGGTCAAATACAAGGCTGGCTCAGACGTACAACTCAAATTTAATATCACAGCTAAACCTGCCCCCACAATTGAGTGGTTTAAAGATGGCAGAGAGCTAAAACCTTCTGCTCAGCTATCTTTCAAACACCTGTTTGAATCAACCAGTATATTCTTGAGGGACACCACTCGTCTAAACTCAGGGACCTATGAGGTCAAGGTGAAGAACTCCCTGGGATCTGCATGCGCCATTGTTAGGCTGCTTATTCAAGGTATTTAGATAATAATCTAAAATATTTTAATTTGGACATAAACAAGATGATATATACATAATTTGAATATATTTATTCCATCAGACAAGCCAGGACCCCCTGCTGGAGAAATTCAATTCAAGAAGGTTATGGCTGACAACATCACCATCATGTGGTCCCCGCCTGCGGATGAGGGAGGTGCCATGGTTACGCACTATATTGTAGAGAAAAGAGAAACCAGCAGAGTCATGTGGTCTATTGTGTCTGAGAAACTCGTTGACTGCATAGTGAATGTACCCAGACTCATCAAGGGCAACGAGTACATCTTTAGAGTTCGTGGAGTCAACAAATATGGCATTGGAGACCCACTGGAGTCTGAGCCCATTATTGCAAAGAATCCGTTCGGTAACAAAAAACACAAAGCAGTGTTACTAGTTCAATACAGTAGAATAGACTAAACAGACTTATCCGAACTGTATATTTTAATATTCTACAGTTCCCCCAAGTGAACCATCCAAGCCCAAGGTCACTATGATCACCAAGTCCACAATGACGGTGATTTGGGAAAGACCTGCACTTGATGGAGGCAGTGATATTGATGGCTATTACCTTGAGAAAAGGGAGAAGAAGAGTCTTCAGTGGTTCAAGGTTGGTTTATCTTTCATATTTATTGGCTTCTTGCTTGTTGATTGCCAAACAAATCGTGGACATTCTATTCAGTTCAAAAATGGTTTATCAATGGTTAAATACAAATATCACTTGTTTTGCTCTAGGTGGTGAAGGGAACAATCAGAGACACCAGACAGAAAGTCAGTAACCTAACTGAAAACAATGAGTACCAGTTCAGAGTTTGTGCTGTAAACAAAGCCGGTGCCGGAAACTACTCTGAGGCCTCTGACCTCTACAAGGCCTATGACCCCATTGGTAAGCCACAACATTTCAATTTGCTTCAAAATTGTAGTGTTTATATTTAAAATGGGTTTGTAAGTAGCTACTAAAAATGTTTGCTTTTTTTTGTTTTGTTTTTTTTACTTCAGATCTTCCTGGTGAACCCTTAAAGTTGCGTGTAGTTGACTCAACTAAGACCTCCATCACTCTTGGATGGGAGAAGCCTGTCTATGATGGTGGCAGTGAAATCACACACTATTTACTAGAACAGATGAATACAGAAGAGAAAGAATGGATCATCACAAACCCAGAGGTTAAGGCTTGCGAGTATGTGGTATCCCACCTCAAACCTAGCACCTACTATTATTTCAGGGTTTCTGCCGTGAACTGCAAGGGTAAAGGGGAGGACATCAAGATGTACCAGCCTGTGCAAGCCAAAGACATATTAGGTTTGGATTTTATTTGTGATCAAAACATCTTACATCAAATATGTAAAAAACTCATTATAGATAAAAATAACCAAATGTTATTATCTTCCTTATTTTGGTTTATAATTGCATTTTTTTTGCTTTAATACTAATCGTTTTTGTTTTTTTTGTGTTCAACAGAGGAGGCTGATTTGGACTTAGATGTTCCCATGACAACACAATACACAGCTAGAGCTGGCCGTGATGTGGAAGTGTTTATTCCATTGAAGGGACGCCCAGCTCCAAATGTGACCTGGCGACGTAGTGATCGTAACATGGCGGGTGATAACCGCTATACCATCACTAGCACTGAGAGATCTACCACATTGCTCATTCCCAAGGTCACTCGTGATGACTGTGGAAAGTACGTGTTAGAGATAGAGAATGGTGTAGGTGAACCCAAAGTAATTACAGTTTCCCTGAGGGTTCTAGATAGTCCATCCTCCTGCCAGAAGCTTATAATCAAGAATGTAACAAGGGGTAAGCTGACTCTCAGCTGGGAGGCTCCTCTTGTTGATGGTGGCTCTCCCGTCACAAATTATATCGTTGAGAAGAAAGCCTCGACCATGAAGGCCTACCAGGTGATCAGCTCAGAATGCCTTAACACATCTTACAAAGTTACTGGCCTGGAAGAGGACATTGCCTACTTTTTCCGTGTGTCAGCTGAAAATGAGTTTGGTATGGGTGACCCTTGTGAGTCCAGTGAAGCTGTCAGAGCGACAGAGACTCCTGCAGCTGTTAAAAACCTTGTAATGTTGGACTCTACAAAGGTCTCCGTTACCTTGCAGTGGACCCGACCTGACCATGATGGAGGCAGCCATATCACAGAGTATATCATTGAAAAGAGAAGCCAGGATGAAGTAAACTGGAGTTTAGGTGCCACATGCAAACGCTGCACTTGTGAAGTGACTGGACTCAGGGAGAATGCTATAATGGATTTCAGAGTATTTGCCAAGAATGAAAAAGGAAGAAGTGACTTCTCTCAGATTGGTCCAATCATAGTGATGGACTTTATCATCCCCCCAGAAGCTAATCTTAGTGATTATCCTAATGGAGAGCTGGCTGTCCGTGTTGGTCAAAACATCCATATTGAGCTACCCTTCAAGGGCAAACCAAGGCCTGCAATCAGCTGGCTAAAGGATAACCTACCACTAAAGGAGAGTGATAAGATTCGCTTTAGGACCACTGACAACAAGACCTCAGTCACAGTCAGGGGAGCCAAGAAGGAGAATGCTGGACAGTACACCTTAGTTTTGGACAACAGAGTCATCAAAAACTACTTTGACATCAAAGTCATTACTCTGGGACCCCCCACAGCTCCTGTTGGTCCCATTCGCTTTGATGAGATAAAGGCTCAGAGTATCATAATTTCCTGGGATGAGCCAAAGGAGGATGGAGGTGGTGAGATTACATGCTACAGTGTGGAGAAGCGTGAAACTTCTCATGCTAACTGGAAAATGGTCTGCTCAAGTGTTGTTAGGACCACCTTCAAGATCCCTAACCTTGTCAAGGGAACGCAGTACCAGTTCAGAGTCCGTGCAGAGAACAAATATGGAGTCAGCGAGCCTCTCTGCTCTTCAGATGTTATTGCCCAGCACCAGTATAAACCTCCAGGTCCGCCAGGAAAGCCAGTTGCCTTCAATGTCACCAGTGATGGCATGACAATCAAGTGGGATGCCCCAGGCTTTGATGGAGGTTCCCCTATCTTGGGTTATCATGTTGAAAAGAAGGATAGGAACAGCCTCTTGTGGCAGAAGGTGAATTCCACTATTATTTCCAATAAAGAGTACAGGATTATCGGTCTCCTGGAAGGTCTGGAGTACTCTTTTAGAGTTTATGCCGAGAACAATGCTGGACTCAGCCCTGTCAGTGAGCAGAGCAAACACGCTCTGGCTATATCCCCTGTTGGTAAGTTTACAAATGGCTATATATCCAAATGTTTTGCCAGTAGGCTGTGAATGTTGCTCTATTAGAAAAAACATATTTAATCAAAGATGCTCTATTCTTGTCCAGATCCACCTGGCACTCCTGTCTGCATTGACACAACCAGAGATTCAGTCACCTTGCAATGGGAAATCCCCAAGAGAGACGGTGGAAGCAAAATTGTTGCTTACAATGTAGAGAGGCGCCAAGGAAGGGGAAAATGGCTGAGATGCAACTTCATTGATATAAGTGAGACACAGTTCACTGTGACCGGTCTGTCTCCTGGAGACAGATTTGAGTTCAGAGTAATTGCAAGGAATGCCGTTGGCACAGTCAGTCCTCCATCTAACTCCTCTGGATACATCATGACCAAAGATGAAAGCAGTATGTTTATATATATATATATATATATTTTTTTTTTTTAGAAAAATGAACACTTGAAACTGTTTGTCACAAATAATCTGACTTTAATTCATCTCTTGATTTTTTTGCTATCAGTTGCTCCTGAAATTGAGTGGTCCCCAGACCAGGTGGTCACTCTGAGGGCCGGGGAAAATGTTAAGCTTAGCTGTACCATCACTGGGCGCCCAGTTCCCCTGGTTGTGTGGTACAAGGATGGAAAAGAGATTGATAAGAGAACAATGATCGACATTGAAATCACCACTGGAATTGGTACCAGCAGTCTGTTTATCCGTGATGCAGACAGGAACCACCGTGGAATTTATACAGTTGAAGCCAAAAACAGCTCTGGTACAAGGAAAGCAGATGTTAACGTCAGAGTTCAAGGTTGGTAAATTAGTACTTATATTTTACCATAAAACTGGTATAAGAGGCCATTAAATTACATTTAAAAGAGAGTCTGTTACCCTTTGATGCTGACCTATGATCTGCTGTATTTGCACAGATACTCCTGGACCTGTTGAGGGTCCCATACGCTTCACCGGCATCACAGCTGAAAAGTGCACTGTATGGTGGAACCCACCAGAAAATGACGGCTGTGCTGCGATCTCCCACTACGTAGTGGAGAAAAGAGAAACATCCCGACTTTCCTGGGCCTTGGTTACATCTAAATGTGAAGCTTGTTCATACAACGTTACCAACCTCATCAAGGGCAATGAGTACCAGTTCAGAATCTCTGCAGTCAATAAATTTGGTGTTGGGAAACAACTGGATTCTGACCCAGTCATTGCACGCATGCAATACAGTAAGTTATGTTACATCAAATATATTCTAAACTGCCTGCAGGGTACAAAGAAGGATTTTGCAACACACTTTTTTTTTTTTCTCCTCTACTCCTCAGCTGTACCGGATGCACCTGGTACACCAGATGCAACTCATGTGACTGGAAGCAGCATCACTTTGTGCTGGGCCAGGCCAAGATCAGATGGAGGAAATGAGATCAAGCATTACATTCTAGAAAGACGTGAGAAAAAGAGCCTTCGCTGGGTTAGAGTCTCCTCCAAGAGGCCTATAACTGAGCTTAGACATCGTGTCACTAACCTGACTGAGGGCAATGAGTACGAATTCCGCGTAATGGCAGAAAATGGGGCTGGTATTGGACCAACCAGCAGCACCTCCAGGCTCTTCAAATGCAGAGAGCCAACGAGTGCTCCTAGTGCTCCCAGTGTGATCAAGGTAGGACCTTGCATTAACACTTTATTAATATCACGGAGCACAGACAAAGATGGTGCTCATTAACGTTTAGGTTTAAAATTATTATGATGCCAATTAGTTGAATATGGAGACCATTATTATTTATAAAGAATAAAAAGTTTTTTAAAGAAATATTAAGAAAAAGTGCTAAAACAAATGACTCACACGAAAATATACAGAAACAGAAAAAAAGCATTTTCTTTCTTTCCTAACAGGTCATTGACTCCACCAAGTCCTCTGTCACCCTAGAATGGATGAAACCAGTCTTTGATGGTGGCTTGGAAATTATTGGCTACAATATTGACATGTGTAAGGCCAGTCTGGAGGAGTGGCACAGAGTCAACAGTCAGATTTGTATTCACAACAGGTACACTGCAAAGGGCCTGGTACCTGGAGAGCTTTACAAATTCAGAGTCAGCGCTGTAAATGGATCGGGAGAGGGTGAAGCTTCAGTTATGCCACACCCTGTTCAGGCTCTTGATAGGCTTACGTCTCCCGAAATTGAGATTGATGCAAACTTCAAGCAAACTCATATTGTAAAGAACGGAGGAACAGTCACCCTCAGTATCGCTTTCAGAGGAAAGCCTGCTCCCCTTGCCACCTGGTCACGAGCAGACGGTGAGCTCCCTGTCATGGCTGATGTGGTCACCACTGACAACTCCTCTACCTTGACTATAGAAGGTTGCACAAGGTATGAGGCAGGAAAATACACTCTGTCCCTGGAGAACAACAGTGGGCGCAAGTCTATCACATTCACGGTTAAAGTCTTAGACACACCAGGACCTCCAGGAGCAATCTCATTCAAAGATGTTACTCGTGGTGCTTTGACAATGATGTGGGATGCTCCATCCAATGATGGTGGATCCCGAATCCACCACTACATTGTGGACAAGCGTGAGGCAAGCCGCCTTGCTTGGCAGGAGGTTAGCAGCAAGAGCTCTCGCCAAATGATAAGGATAACTGGTCTAGATATTGGTGTGCCATATTTGTTTAGAGTGACTGCTGTCAACCAATATGGCCAAGGAGAACCTAAAGAGATGACTGAGCCCATTGTTGCTACTGAAGAGCCTGCACCACCCAAAAGATTAGATGTTGTTGACACCACTAACTCCACAGCTTCCCTGGTGTGGCTTAAACCGGAGCATGATGGAGGAAGCCGCATCCGAGGTTACATTGTTGAATTCAGAGCTAAGGGCACTGACCGTTGGGTTGTTTATGGAGAGAGTAAGTTACAGAAGATGCTGATTGAAGGTCTGATTGAAAACACTGAGTATGACTTCAGGGTGAAAGCCAAGAATGATGCTGGAATCAGTGAGCCCCAGGGTACCTTCAGCTCTGTGGTCATTAAGGAACCTCTCATCGAACCAACTGCTGATCTAAGCAGTATCACTAACCAGCTCATTACCTGTAAGATTTCCAACACTTTCACAATTGATATTCCCATCAGCGGCAGACCTGCACCCAAGGTCACATGGAAGCTGGAGGAAATGAAGCTAAAAGAAACTGACAGAGTCTTGATCAGGACCACAAAGGAGAGAACCACACTGATTGTGAGGGACAGCAAGAGAAGTGACAGTGGGAAGTATTATCTGATCCTAGAGAACGCTGCTGGTGTGATGACTTTCACAGTGACTGTAGTGATCGTAGGCAGGCCGAGTCCCCCCACTGGCCCTGTAGAGGTTTCTGGAATCTCCTCAGAGTCCTGCACACTGTCGTGGTCTGAGCCTGCTGATGATGGTGGGACTGAAATAACCAACTACATTGTTGAAAAACGTGAGTCTGGCCACGCTTCATGGCAGGTGGTAAACTCCAGTGTGCAGAGAACCACAATCAAAGTAACTCATTTGACCAAATACATGGAGTACACATTCAGGGTCAGTGCTGAGAATAAGTTCGGAGTCAGCAAGTCTATCGAGTCTGCGGCTGTTGTGATCGAACATCCATTTAGTAAGTTTATTTTTAGCAAAGCATTTTAAAACTAATTTGATGTGGATGAAGTTGGAAATCATTTCATCTCCTTTTCATTTGCAGTTCCTCCAAGTCCTCCAACTCGTCCCGATGTGGTGTCTGTTTCGGCCAATGCTATTGCCATTAAGTGGGATGTGCCATATTCTGATGGTGGCAGCCAGGTGACCGGATACTGGATTGAGAAGAAAGAGAGGAACACAATCCTGTGGGTTAGGGAAAACAAACTGCCCTGTCTGGAGTGCCATTACAAGGTATCCAACCTGATAGAGGGTCTGGAGTATCAGTTCAGGGTCTACGCCATGAACATCGCTGGACTCAGCAAAGCCAGTGAAGCTTCCAGACCAGTGGTGGCACTCAATCCTGTTGGTAAGGAGAATGTTTATGTCCCATATAGTTAACAAGTACTACTAATGATAGTTATTGTGAAATATTTGCTGCAGTATTTGATACATTTCTCACATACCCTGTTTAGATCCACCTGGTAATCCTGAGGTTACAGACATCAGCCGCTCCTCTGTGTCGCTGTGCTGGACTGTGCCCTTCAATGATGGTGGCAGTAAGATTGTCGGTTACATTGTGGAGAGGAAGGTCTACAGCACTGACGAGTGGGATGACAACCGTTGGCTTAAGTGCAACTACACCACAATCACTGAGAACTACTTCACAGTCACAAACTTGGGAGAGGGAGAAACCTACGAGTACCGTGTAATCGCCAAGAATGCAGCTGGAGTCCACAGCGTACCTTCTCAGTCTACCGGACCAGTCACATGCAAGGACGAATACTGTAAGTCTACCTGCTTCTCCTTGCTTCCCTTTTCTTTACATTTTCATTCGCCATGTTTCTTTATTTTGTTAAGGAAAGTTCTGTGTTTACATCTTGAAGCTTTCTCTCTCCGGTTCTTTTTTCTTGAGAAGAAATCACTTGGGACAAACTCTTTAAATAACACTTCATAATTTATATGTTTTAAATAACCATGAGACAAGAAAACAGATTTTGATGGAAATTGTAGATACATAGAAAGTTCAGCGTATGCCATTGTTTTAAAAGATTCTGGGATGTCGGGCATAGCCTTGCAAAATCGGCAAGGTGTGACAGGGGCCTTAGGGTTACCGAAAGCAGCGTTTACCAACCGGGCTTACATCTCGTAAATTGGCAATGATTCACAGTTAAAGAAGCATTTTATACATCTCCAGTCTCCAGAGTCCATTAACAAATGCTGCAATTTCCCAGCTTGGGATGAACTATATATCTCTCTATCTAAAGAGGTTATCATGTTGATTGACATAATTTCAATATATTAACCGTCAATAAGTCTTTTGTCACTTTAACCTCATCAAAATGCGTGAGTGTTGATACGTTATTGAGAAAAGAAACAGACGTGTTTTGTAAGAGCAGGAGGAATATTTCACATCGCTAACCACCCCTATCAAGCTTGCATGTGCGTCTGTGCTTTCTATTCCTGCAAACTTAAAGAGCAGTTTCAAATTTTTAAATGACTAGACTTAAACCTAAATACTCTGAATGAGAAAACCAGGGATGGATAATACAACAGACATTAATTAAAATATATATAATTATTCAGCTGTTGTTCTAGCGTTTCCAATGCTTTTTTTGGAATTAGAGATTACCTTAGTTTTAGATTAGCATAAACATTCCAAATGTTTGGCTAATCCAACCTGGACAGGAATAAATATTCTCCTTTTTATAACGCATGATGCTTGCAAAACATGCAATTTTTCTGAACCAGCCTTTTCAGATATAAGCAAACATTTTCTTCCAGAACAAATCATAAGTAAAACCACACCCTAGGTGAATAGTTTTTTCCCACTAGTGTTTTTTAGGCTGAACAAAAGAGCTGAACATATGAGTGTTTTCATTAAGCTTTGTCAGCCACATTTTTCTTGATAACATGTCTGCCCTTAAAAACTGCCACTGAAAGATATCATATTTATTTTTCTTTGTTTCCAACCAACACTTTTAAAAGCCGAGGTTAAGCTCTTTACCGAAAGTTGCAGACAATCAATCCTACAGCAACGGTGGCTGAATGAACATGGGTAACCCGGTTAATGACTCATTAAGGTTTTATTCTATTTTTGACAACAGAAAATGCTGAGGTTTGTAACCTTTCCTAAATGCTGCTAAAACATAGTATCGTTAGGCAAATGTCTTTGCCCCATCCCTTCACACTAAACATCTTAATTGCAAATTATCCTGCATTTCGTTTTTCTGCACAAATTAAAAATTTTATGTGTTTTCTCCTGTAGCTCCTCCAAAAGCTGAACTCGACAGCAAGTTTACACGCGAGACCATCACTGTTATGGCCGGCTCCGACCTCGTCCTGGACGGTGTTGTAGGAGGCAAACCAGAACCAACAGTCTACTGGTCCAAGGGTGACAAGATTTTGGAGCTGGGAGAGAAATACTCCCTGACATATACATCGACAAAAGCCATGGTTGTGATCAAGAACTGTGACAGATACGATTCTGGCAGATACATCCTCACTGTCAAGAATGCCAATGGTATCAAGACAGCGTCAGTAAATGTGAAGGTTCTGGGTGAGTTACAATGTAGCAACACTATGACTGAAGCTAGTACTTAAACATATCTAGGAAATCTCTAACTCTGTTTTTTTTCCTCTCAGACACTCCTGGACCACCAGCTGACAAGATTATAATCAGCAGAGTGACGGAGGAGAAATGTACGGTTTCCTGGAAGATTCCACTGGAGGATGGCGGAGACATTGTCTCCCATTACATCGTAGAGAGGCGTGAAACCAGCCGACTCAACTGGGTCATAATGGAGACAGAGTGCAAGTCACTGTCGTGTGTCAGCTCCAGGTTGATCAAGAACAATGAGTATATCTTCAGAGTCAGAGGAGTCAACAAGTTTGGACCTGGAGTTCCTCTGGAGTCTGAACCTGTCATCGCCAGGAACGCCTACAGTACGATACTACCCTTCTTTGTCAAATTTTAGGTTTAGTTGAACACTGATTGTTTTAGTAGCTTGGTGGAAGTTTACTAGTACTGTGACATTAGGTGTTATGCCTTTTTTAAGTGAAAGGAAAAAGTTATTCGCCAATCTGATATATGTGTGGCTGTCATTTCCAGCTGTCCCATCCCCGCCTGGCGCCCCAGAGGCCACAGCAGTGGCTAAGGAGCACATCATCATCGAGTGGCTCAAGCCAGAGAGTGACGGAGGCAGCGAGATCAAGAACTACATTGTGGAAAAACGAGAAAAGAGCAGCACCAGGTTAAAATAAGTTCTGGATAATAAGTAAAGATACAAGTTTTGTTGATCTCAAAACAAGGTAATGATCCACAATCTGTTCTGAATCAGATGGACTCGGGTTAACAGAACCTACACCATTTATGACATACGTCTGAAGATCACCGGCCTATTGGAGGGAGGAGAGTACCAGTTCAGAGTCACAGCTGTCAACAATGCTGGAGAGAGCCAGCCAAGCGATGCCTCACCATACATCCTCTGCAGAGATCCAACATGTACATTATTTTACTAATTTCCTAACGGTCTTTTCAATTTACCCATATATATCGCGCATCTAAAATAAATGTATGTTTACAATAATTTCCTTCAGACACCCCAGCTGCTCCTTCAACACCTCGTATCACTGATACAACTAAGCACAGCATCAGCATGACCTGGACCAGGCCTATGTATGACGGAGGCTGTGATGTCACCGGCTACGTCATAGAGATCCTAGAGGAAGGGTCTGAGCAGTGGTACCGAGCCACCGCTAAGCCAATCAAGACCAACGAGTATGTGGCCGCTGGCCTGACAGCCAATAAGAAGTACAGGTTCAGGGTGGCAGCCATTAACAGCAACGGCACTGGGGAGTTCAGTGAACCCAGCAGCGAAGTCGAGCCTCTGGAGAAAGTTGGTGAGTACTTTTTCACGTAGAACTTTAGGCAGTTTCATTATCATAATATTTTATCGTTAGCTTATATTCAATATAGCCATATTAGACAGAATCAACCTAACTGACTTTAAGCAATATTTAAAGAAAGCTACTCAACAAAGACATACTGTGCAAGTTTTAAACTCTGCAATACCTTCTTCTGGACACTTTATGGAGGTTTTCTTTGATATAGCCTTATAACTTTTTTCCCAGTCATGTTTCTTAGCAAAAGAAACTGAAAACTGAAACAGTTTCTAAAGCAGCTGAAGAGTAATTAAAAATCATATATTTAATAAAAGCAAAATAAATTTTATTTTTTACTGGTTGAAAACAGACAGCTTAAGAACAATACTTTTAAAAAAGCCAATTGGTAATAACAAAACCGGGAAAGATCCCCCTAAAAACTGGAGATATTTAAAAGCGAATCTCCTCGCCACTGTGCGGCTGCAGCTGTGTGGCTGGTTCACCAGTGGCTCTCCTTGAGTGATACAACTTGTTCAGGTTTGGGCAGAAACACCATTTGTTAAAGATAGGCTCTGTGTACGCACCCTGATGCTCTATCTTTCCGGTTCTTTTCCCTGAAAAGAGATCACTCGGGACAAACTCTTTGAATAACACTTCATATTTTATATTTATTATATAACCAGGAGACATGACAACGGATTCTGATAGAAAATGTAATCTTACTCAGATCAGAGAAATTGCTTAGAATATACAGAAGGCAGCTGCTCACCTCTCAGGAAGTGGCCCCGATTAATAGTTAAAGAGGCATTTTATACATCTCCAGTCTGCCACATCATCTTATTTTACATCATACACATTAGCAGATGATTATACATTAATGGCTTCAGCCTTATCAAAATATTAAACTTCGTTCTTAGCTGAAGGACGCTGCTCTCATTCCATTTCTAAATCTTTGCCACGTACAAAATGAAGATTATAACTGTCCAGACAAAGGAACTGTCCTAATTAGATTAAAACATCAGTTCTGACGTACAACAGGCAGCCAATACCAGGGTGTGGTAAACTCACACTTCTTCAATGAAAATTATCCTAACAAGACCAAATATCCAATTAAAGGTGAAAGCAAGTGTAACTCCTCGTGGCAAATTAGTGTTGCACTTACCCCCTCTCATTCTGTACTGTTTACCAGCAGCCAGTGCTATTGCTTACCATTGAAATCAGCAAACACTAAATGTACCTTGCCACATTTTTCTTCAGAGCCCCTTTGCTGTCTTAAGTTGGTACCAAAGCTCTAAAGCTTGATCAATGTTCACCTTTGTTGTTTTTTTCTTGCTTTGAATCTACAAAATTTATAAGAGATAAAGCCATTTCTCAGATCTATACCTTTTGTTTTATGGCAAACAGACCACATTTGCACTTGGCCACGCCCACATGCTTTGATGTAGAAAAAAATAACTTTTCCAAATCACTGACCGGTTCTTAATCATGCTTTTATTTTCACAAGATCTTTTATTATTAAAAGTCAAAGTTGAATTTATGTTTAAAACAATTCAAATTCACAAAATATATACCTTTCATGATTTGTAACATGATGTTTCTTAATTCAGCTTGGCAAGAAAATTTTACTATATTAGTTGTTATTTATAGAATCAGTTCTGGATCATTTTAAGAGACTGTACAAGTTTGTTTAAAACTTCTAATAAGGAAATATGCTATAATCAAATAATTCCAAATCAATGTAATAATTTTTGGATACATTAAAAACCAATACCATTCTTTCCAATTCATTCCTAGATAACAGACACAAAGCTGGTTAGAAGTTTTTGTTTAACTCATCTCCTACTGTGGTCCTTTCAGAAATGCCTGACCTGGAACTGGCAGATGACCTGAAGAAAACCGTGGTTCTGCGTGCTGGTGGTACCCTCCGTCTGTTTGTGTCAGTCGCTGGCAGACCGACACCAGTTGTTACCTGGAGAAAGACTGGCGTGGAACTACAGAGCCGAGGCTACATTGAGACTACAGACAGCTACACCTGTCTGATTGTTGAGAAGGTGAATCGCTACGATTCTGGAAAATATGTTGTTGAGGCAGAGAATCCATCTGGAAAGAAGACTTCTATCATTCTGGTTAAGGTCTACGGTACGTTATTTCTCAATGACTCTAAACTTCTTCAAAGACATACACATACAAATCTATATTTCATTTGTTTTTGTTTTTCTGTCCTTGACTTCAGACACTCCTGGTCCTCCTGGTTCAGTCAGGGTAAAGGACTACACCAAGGAATCTGTTGTGATCACGTGGGATGTCCCAAGCCTTGACGGTGGTGCTCATGTCAGCAATTACATAATTGAAAAGAGAGAAGCCAGCATGAAGTCATACAAGACCGTAACCACAGAGTGCAGAAAAACTCTGTACAGGATCACCGGCTTGGAGGAAGGCGTGCACTACTTCTTCAGAGTCCTCCCTGAAAATATCTATGGCGTTGGTGAACCCTGCGAGACAGCTGAACCTGTGCTGGTGTGTGAAGTGCCTTCAGTACCTATGGACCTCAGTATTGTGGATGTCACCAAGTCCACTGTGACCTTGCACTGGGAAAAACCACTGCATGAAGGTGGCAGCAGGCTGACCGGTTACATCATAGAGGCTTGCAAGGTGGGTTCAGACAGGTGGAGCGCCGTGGCTACAGTTAGGGCCTCGGTCTCCCAACACACCATCCAGTCCCTGACAGAGAACGACCAGTACCTGTTCAGGATCCGTGCCACCAACAGCAGGGGAGCCAGTGAACCCATGGACCTTATGACACCCATTACAATCCAGGAGATTACAAGTGAGTCACCACACTATCAACATCTCACAATACTTAATACACATAATTTCTCCTCCCTAAAAGGTAGATTTTCTCCTAATAACTAATGTTTCATGAATTTCAGTGGTGCCCAAGATTGACATGACCAGTATCCCTCAGAAGATCGTTCATGTGCATCGTGGCAGACCTATTGACCTGAACATCCCAATCAAAGCCAAACCACAGCCGGTGTGCTCCTGGCATTTCGGTGGAATTAAGCTGAAGGACAGCTTGGACCGCATTAAGATAGACAGCAACGGCAAATTTACCCACCTCATCATCCGTGACACAACCATCAATGATACGGGAGATTACACTTTGGAGGTGAAGAATGCTGTCGGCATCGCCACTGAGGTTATCAAAGTCATCATTCTCGGTAGGAAAACGTCATACAAACAAATATCACATTGGGTGTATTCCTTACTTTGACGATAGACACATTTGTGAACATGAGTGTCGTTTCTGCACAGACAAACCCGGTATTCCTGTGGGTCCCATGAAGATTGAGGAGGTTGATGGTGTCTCAGTAACTGTTAGCTGGGAGCCCCCAGAGAAAGATGGTGGTGCCAACGTTAGTGGTTACGTGGTAGAGCAGAGGGAAGCACACCACCCAGGCTGGTCCACCGTCTCTGAATCAGTGACCAGACCGTGTTTCAAGTTCACCAGGCTTAACGAGGGAACAGAGTATGTGTTCCGTGCAGCTGCTATGAATCGCTTCGGCGTTGGTGGCTTCCTGCAGTCTGAGGTGGTGGAGTGCAAGAGCGCCAAGAGTGAGTTCTCAGAGACATAGAAATATGTTCTGTTCTCATTATCTTCCAAGTCATACACCAGTTTGAGCATTGAAGAATGTTTGCATGGCATTTAAACAGATATTAAGATCTAGAGACATGTTTGGCCATTTCATTTATTTGATTAATGCTTTAGAAGTTTGTGTCCAACAGTCCAGTAAAACTCCAACCTTTTGTTCCTGTCTAGCCATACCTGGACCTCCAAGCAGGCCAGAGGTTATTGACGTGACCCATGAAGGCATGACTCTGACCTGGCAACCTCCTGTGGACAACGGTGGCTCCACCATAGCGGGCTACATTATAGAACGCAAGGAGGCCCGTTCTGACAGATGGATGAGAATCAATAAGAATCCAGTCACTATGACCAGATACCGTTCATCTGGACTGATTGAGGGCCTTGAATATGAGTTCCGTATCACAGCAATCAACTCCAGAGGAACTGGCAAACCAAGTGAAAGTTCTGCCATTGTTGTTGCTATGGATCCCATCGGTAAGTGGTGCAAAACTCATTAATATTATATAATTACAACGGATAGTTTTAGTTGAAATATATAAAAGGGGAGGTGGTGTACTAACTAAATCTCTCTATGCTGCTAAACAGAACCCCCAGGTCCTCCAGTTCAACCCAGAGTCACTGATAGCACACGGACATCTGTCTCCCTGGCATGGCTGCCCCCTGAAGAAGAGGGTGGTTCTGTTGTCACAGGCTATCTTATTGAGATGCAAAAGGTGGACCAGGTTGAATGGACACTGTGCAACACCACACCGACCAAGATGTGCGAGTACACGCTAACCCACATGCCTCAGGGAGCGGAGTACAGGTTCAGGGTCATTGCATGCAATGCGGGCGGTGCTGGAGAGCCTGCAGAGATTTCTGGAGTGGTTAAAGTCCAAGAGATGCTTGGTGAGAGAAGAAGCTCCATGAATTTACAGGAAGCAAAATATGTAGTTTTTCCTTCAAGGGTTTGTTTAACAAAGTTTGATTTTGTTTATTTCTCAGATTATCCTGACTTTGAGCTTGATCGTAAATATGAGGAAGAATATGTGGTCCGCCAAGGTGGTGTCATCCTACTGTCTGTGCCCATCAAAGGCAAACCTATACCTACAGCTAAGTGGACAAAGGACGGTCGTGACATCTCTCATCGTGCCATGATTGCAACCCATGATGACATCACTGAGCTGGTAATCAAAGAGGCGCATAAAGATGACACTGGTACCTATGACTTGGTGCTGGAGAACAAATGTGGTAGGAAAGCTGTGTACATCAAGGTGAGAAACACCAGAACCAGGAAACATCTGGATATAACAAAGTTCAATCATTTAATCACCTTTCTGCTTTTCACCATCAGGTGAAAGTGATTGGTCGACCTGATGCTCCAGAAGGTCCTCTTGAATTTGATGACATCCAAGCTAGGTCAGTACGCGTCAGCTGGAGACCACCTTCTGACGACGGTGGATCTGACATCCTGGGCTACATAGTAGAAAGGCGGGAGGTACCAAAGGCCGCCTGGTACACAGTGGATGCCCGAGTAACTGAGACCTCTCTGGTGGTAAAGGGCTTGAAGGAGAACGTGGGGTACCACTTTAGGGTATTTGCTGAGAACCAGTTTGGTGTAAGCAGATCCCTGAAATCAGATGGCGCTGTTCTGCCAAAGACACCTCTATGTGAGTAATAATTCTAAAATTATCTTTAAATTCCACATCTAAGCTGCTATGTTGTGATTTAAAAAGAAATGCTTTTTTATAAATACATTGTTTTTACTACAGGTCCACCTGAACCTCCCAGTAACCCACCAGAGATAATGGACGTTACCAAGACCACTGTGTCTTTATCCTGGGCCAGACCCCGGGATGATGGCGGCTCTCGCATCACAGGATACTACGTTGAAAGAAGAGAGATTTCCACAGAGAAGTGGGTCCGTCACAACAAGACTCACATCACTACCACCATGTTCAATGTCACCGGTCTTATACCCAATGCCGAGTACATATTTAGAGTGGTGGCTCAAAATGACATTGGGCAGAGTGAACCTGGTCCTGCCTCAGAGCCAGTGGTCTGCAAAGATCCATTTGGTATGTATTGTTACTTAAAATTTGCAATTAAAATCCTGTCATGAAGTATTGAAATTTTGATTATGTAGAACTGATTCAAGATTTTCCATTACAGTGAAGTTTCTTTAATTGTTAAATTATGCTGCCTCTTTTCCTGTAGACAAACCCAGCCAACCGGGAGAAATTGACATCATCTCTATTACGAAAGACAGCATCACCATTCACTGGCTCCGGCCAGAACATGATGGCGGAAAGGAGATCCTAGGTTACTGGATTGAGTTTAGGGAGGCTGGAGAGAGCGCCTGGAAGAAGTGCAACAAGGAGCGCTCCAAGGATCGTCAGTTCACCATGGGTGGATTGATGGAGGCCACAGAGTACGAGTTCCGAATCTTTGCTGAAAATGAGGCTGGACTCAGCCGACCTCGTCGCACACCCATGGGCATTAAAACCAAATTGAGCGGTAAGCTGATTGTACTTGACTTTACTTAAACTGAATGATAGATTTAAGGTTAAACTAGATTGAGTTATTTTCATATTTTTTGCAGTTGGGGAAGCTCCAGCTTTGAAGGAGGAGGTCCAAGATGTAACCACTAAGCTTGGCGAGTCTGGCACTCTAACATGCGGAATCATCGGCAGACCTTTGCCTGAGATCAAGTGGTATCGATATGGCAAAGAACTGATCCAGAGCCGCAAGTACAAGATGAGCTCAGATGGCCGTAACCACTCCCTCACCATTCTGACAGAGGAACAGGAAGACGAAGGAGTATACACCTGCAGGGCCATCAACGAGGCTGGAGAAATAGAGACAAGCGGAAAACTACGCTTGCAGGCAGCGCCCCAATTCCACCCCGGCTTCCCGCTAAAAGACAAGTACTACGCTGGGGCTGGTACCAGCCTCCGCCTCCATGTAGTCTACATCGGCCGTCCGATCCCCCAGATCATGTGGTTCTATGGCAAGAAACCTCTGAATCCATCTGAGAATGTAATAATTGAAAACACTGAAAGCTACACCCACCTGGTTGTGAGGAATGTCCAACGAAAAACCAACGCTGGTCGCTACAAGGTGCAGCTTAGCAATGTGTTTGGAACTGTTGACACCTCGCTGCGTGTTGAAATCCAAGGTAAAAGCATAGACCATTAAAAGTTAACTTAACATGTCCTTAAAGTCTGCATGCATTATTGATTTCTCACATCATTCAGTGTTAGTGATTTCCTTTTAATTTTTTCCTCAGACAAACCTTCTATCCCTGAGGGTCCCATAGTTGTCGATTCCCTTCTGAGAAACTCAGTCGTAATCAGCTGGAAGGTTCCAAAGGACGATGGAGGGTCCGTGATTACTAACTACATTGTGGAGAAATGTGAAGCCAAAGAGGGTGAACAATGGTGCCTGGTGTCCTCTTCTGTTCCGGGTACCACCTGCCGTGTTCCCAACCTGAGTGAGAGCTCTGGATACTACTTCAGAGTCTCTGCACAGAACCAGTATGGTGTGAGTGAGCCTCTGGAGATTCCATCTGTAGTCATCATTAAGAGCCCATACGGTAAACACAAGAATATTTATTTTCCTCTTTAAATCCTGTCACTAAGTAACCGAAATAAAATGTAAGAGCTCTCTACTGTTTGTTCCTCAGATAAACCTGGAATCCCACAGCAGCCGTTCATCATCAGTGCCACCAAAGACTCCTGCGTCGTTTGCTGGAAGCCTCCAAGTAGTGATGGAGGAGCGAAAATCACCAGCTACTTCCTTGAAAAACGCGAGAAGAAGCAGAACAAATGGATGTCCGTAACAACCAAAGTATTTACAGAAACCAGCTATGAAGTCACAGGCTTGATTGAGGGCTTTGAGTATGAGTTCCGTGTGAAGTGCCAGAACATCGGTGGCGAGAGCGACTGGTCTGAGATCTCTCTGCCCGTTATACCCAAGTCAGAACAGGCTCCTCGTGCTCCTGCATTCAGGGAGGAGATCAGAGACATGACTGTGAAATACCACAGCAATGCCACCTTTGTCACCAAGGTATTTAGAAAAGCAAAAAAATGTAATGATTTGTATTTTTGAAACTCATTAAGCATGATACTTAATGATTTTTTTTTATAACAAGGTCGTGGGTCATCCAAAGCCTGTGGTTAAATGGTATCGCAGTGGAAAGGAGATCCTGGCAGATGGAACGAAAATAAAAGTGCTTGAGTTTAAGGGTGGCTACTACCAGCTGGTCATCAATGCCGCTGATGAGAATGATGCCTCAGTATACCAAGTTAGAGCAACCAATCCCTCTGGATCTATCTCTACAACAGCCAACCTGGAGGTGGAAGGTATTTAAGCCACTTTAAAGTGATTGAATAATTCTTGCAGCAAACAACCTTAAGGTTATGTGCTAAGTATTCTCAATTTGTTAAGACATTTTAGTGAAATTTATCTCCCCAATTCTGTCATTTCAGTCCCTGCAAAGATACACCTCCCTAAAGAACTGCAGGGAATGGGAGCCGTTCATGCTGCACGCGGCGATCACATCACGATCAAGATTCCCATCTCAGGAAAGCCAGAGCCAGCGGTTACTTGGCAGAAGGGTCAGGAGATCCTCTCCAACTCTGCCTATCACCAAGTTATCACCACAAGGTCCTTCACCTCCCTTGTGTTCCTAAAGGGAGTACAAAGGAAGGACACTGGCTACTACATCATCACTGCTAAAAACAGATTTGGAGCAGACAAGCAAACAATTGAGGTGAATGTGGCTGACATTCCTGATGCTCCAAAGGGACTTGTGGTCAGCGACATTTCACGGGATTCTATTACCCTCACCTGGGAACCACCTGCCAACGATGGTGGCAGTGACATCATTAGCTACATTGTAGAGAAGTGCCCGACCACTGCTGACAGATGGATCCGTGCTGGTCAGACCGCTGACTGCAGTATCACCATTGTCAGTGTATTTGGAAAGACCAAATATCAGTTCCGTGTTATCGCAGAGAACCAGTTTGGCCTCAGCCTTCCATCTGTTCCAACCGAACCCATCACCACCAAGGAAGACAAGTCTGTGATCAGGAACTATGACGAGGAAGTGGATGAAACCAGAGAGATTACCAAGGAAGAAGCTTTGTTCTACAAGGTGAAGGAGCTTTCTTCCAAATACATCATCTCAGAGGAACTTGCCCGGTGCCAGTTCGGAGTGGTCCACCGCTGCGTGGAGATTGCCACAAAGAAGACTTTCATGGCCAAGTTCATAAAAGTCAGAGGAACTGATCGTGAGTTAGTTCTGAGGGAGATAGAGGCCCTTAACATTGCAAGACACAAGAACATTATCTACTTGCATGAATACTTTGAAAGCATGGAAGAGATTATCCTGATCTTTGAATTCCTCTCTGGAGTTGATATCTTTGAGCGGCTTGGCACCAGCAACTTTGAGCTTACAGAACAGGAGATTGTCCGTTACCTGAGGCAGGTTTGCTCCGCTCTCCAGTTCTTACACAGCCATAACGTTGGCCACTTTGATATCCGCCCAGATAACATCATCTACACCACAAGGAGAAGTCCCAATATAAAGATTATTGAGATGGGCCAGGCCAGGCTGTTGATCCCAGGAGAAAACATCAGAATGCTGTTTTCAGCTCCAGAGTATTTTGCGCCAGAGGTTCACCGCCATGATCTGGTCACAACAGCCACTGATATGTGGTCTGTTGGTGTTTTGGCATATGTTTTACTCAGTGGTCTTAATCCATTTGCCGCAGAGTCTACAACAAAAATGATTGAAAACATCTCCAACTGTGAGTACATATTTGATAGGGAAGCATTTAAAGACATAAGCTCGGAGGCCATGGACTTTATAGACAGACTTCTCGTTAAGGACAGGAAGCTCCGTATGACTGCTCATGAAGCTCTAGAGCACCCATGGCTCAAGATGAAGATTGAGCATGTCAGCAACAAGGTCATCAGGACACTGAGACACAGAAGATACTATCAATCACTAGTAAAGAAGACAGATACGATAGTATCATCAGCCCGTGTGGCGTTCGGAGGTGCCTTCAGAAACCAGCGCGGACTGGCTGTTGGTAAAGTTAAGGTTGGAACCGAATACTGTGGCTTGCGTGCTGGACCTGTCATGCATGCCTCAGCTGAGGAAGGTGGCCACGTCAGATTTACTTGTAGCATTGTTAACTATGACAAGAGCACTCAGGTGTCTTGGTACTTTGGTAACCGTCAATTGCATCCGAGCCCCAAGTATGAGATTTCTTACAACAATGGCTTTGCCAGCATTTATGTGAAGGATATTGAAGAGTCTGATGATGGCGTCTATAGATGCAAAGTGGTGAGTGATGATGGAGAGGACAGTGCCTATGGAGAACTCTTCGTCGAGACTGTGAGGAGTCTCAGGGAGCATTACGTTAGCCGTACCATCAAGAAGCTGAGGAGGAGGGTTGACAGAACTAAACTTCTGCAGAGACCACCGGAGTTTACCTTGCCTCTCTACAACCGCACCGCCTACATTGGTGAGGATGTGCGCTTTGGTGTCACTATCACTGTGCATCCAGAGCCTCATGTGACCTGGCTGAAGAATGGAGAGCAAATAAAGGAGGAGGTTGGCAAGTACACATTTACAAGTGATAAGGGCTTATATCAACTCATGATTCATAATCTGGATAGTAGTGATGATGCCGAATACACAGTCATGGCATACAACAAGTTTGGAGAAGACAGCTGCAAGGCTCGTCTGACTGTCATACCTCATCCTGTGCTAGAGGAAACTCTGAGGCCCATGTTTAAGCGTTTGCTGGCTAACATTGAGTGCACAGAAGGAGAGAGTGTCCGCTTCGAACTCAGGGTGTCAGGAGTTCCCACTCCCACTCTTAAATGGGAAAAAGATGGACTTCCACTACAGTTTGGTCCCAAAGTTGTTGTTATTGAACAAGACATTGATTATCATGTCCTTCACATCAGGGAAACTCTGCTTGAGGATGCTGGTGTGTACAAAGTCACTGCAACAAACTCTGCTGGGTCTGCAAGCTGCCAGGCTACTTTGAAAGTGGACCGCATCACATACACCAGAAGAGAGTACAAGAGCGAGGAGGAGAAACACAGACATGTTCAGAAACAGATAGAGAAGACCAACAAAATGGCTCAGCAAATTGCAGCTACTGAGGAGCTTGTACCTCTGAATCCCACTGCACAGGAGGCCCTGAAATTTGCTGCAGAAGTGTACAAACCTGCAGTAAGCACAAAGAACATTGAGGGCGAATTTGACATCACAGAGGAGAAGACAGAGACAAAGAAGCTGGAGGAGGAGAGGCGGCTTTTCATGCCATATGAGATTCCTGATCCTGTGGTTCATGATCGAAAAGCTCTTGATGAGGACAAAGCTATTAAGCAGTTTGTGCCTCTTTCTGACATGAAATGGTATCGCAAACTACGAGATCAGTATGAGGTCTCAGAGAGAACAGAGAGGATTGTTCAAAAGAGGCAGAAACGTATCCGCCTGTCCAGGTGGGAGCAGTTCTACGTGGTGCCCCTCCCCAGGATCACTGACCAATACAGACCCAGATGGCGCATTCCCAAACTGACAATGGATGATTTGGAGACTGTTAGACCTGCCCGCCGATCTCCATCCCCTGAGTCGGAAGCCTCCTTCAGATCCAGGAGGAGGTCTCTGGGAGATCTCAGTGATGAAGAGCTGCTGATGCCTGTGGATGACTACCTAACAAGAAGGAGATCAGAGGAGGAGACGATGATGCTGGAAGATGAGCTTGAGCTCGGCTTCTCAGCCTCTCCTCCTGGAAGTCCTATTCGAGTTCAGCGACGAATTACTGAACGTGAAGAGAGGAGACAGGAAGTCATGCATGAGGCTGCTGAAGTTACAGAGACCAAGAAGAAACGAACCATTTCTCAGTACATGAGAAGGAGAAGGTCTCTATCTCCTACCTACATTGAGCTGATGCGTCCAGTCTCAGAGCTCATCCGACCACCCCGAGCCAGAGCTGTGGATACTCAGGGAGAGATTGTCGAGAGAAGGTCACCAACTCCAGAGAGGACCCGTCCTCGTTCTCCCAGTCCTATCAGATCAGTTGAGAGGTCTTCACGCTCCTCGTCCAGATTTGAGCGGTCCGCACGTTTTGACATCATGTCCCGTTATGAAGCCAGGAAAGCTGCTCTTAAGTCTGAGAGGAAATACCAGGTAGTCAGTCAAACACCTTTTAGCTTGGATCATGCTCCTCGTGTAACTGTCAGGATGCGGTCTCATCGCATACCAATTGGTCAGGATACAAAATTCACCCTAAACATCCAGGCAAAACCAGAAGCTGAAGTAACATGGTTCCACAATGGTGCAGAAATCTCTGAAAGGACGGAGAAATACATCTTCACAAACATGAGTGGTGTTTTGTCCATTACTATTCTGGACTGCCAGGAAGAAGATAGTGGCACATACCGCTGCGTGTGCACAAACTCAAAGGGCGAAGCATCAGACTACGCCATCCTGGAAGTGTCAGGAGGCGGATACACCACATTTTCTTCCCGTCGCAAGGATGAAGAAGCTCCTAAAGCATTTGTGCCTGAAGTCACGCGTATTGATCACTATCACTCCACTCACTTCAAAGCCGGCTACACTTCCCAAACCTACCTGGAAGTCGAAGAAAGCAAGTCAAAGCTAACTGAGACACGTAGTGTTGTAACGCAGGAAAGAATCGGTGCCTCATCTGAGAGATTCTCTTCTACTGAGAGGTATGACTCATCTCTCAAGTATGCCTCCACTGAATACCTCTCCTCAAGTTCCTCATATTCCTCAGAGAAATATTCTTTAACTGGGAAGCATGCAACATCCGAAGAGAAACTAAAATCATCCTCTATTGCTGCTGCTCCTGAACAAGTTTCATTGCCCAAAGAGAAACCATCTCTTCCTGCTAAAATCCTCACCAAGCCACAATCCGTGACAGTTGCAGAGGGAGAGACAGCCCGGTTCTCCTGTGACATCGATGGGGAGCCTGCAGCAACTGTGACATGGATACATGAAAGCCAAACCATTGTATCATCTCACCGTATCCATGTCTCCACAACTCAGTACAAGTCCAGCCTGCAGATCTCATCTGTGAACAGCTCTGATGAGGGCAGTTATACAGTGGTGGTAGAGAACTCAGCAGGTAGACAGGAGGCACATTTTACTCTCACAATCCGCAGGCCACCACCTAAGGAGGAAGTCAAAGCTGTCAAATCCACTGAGCCACCTGTAAAATCCCCTGAGCCCCCAACTATATCACCTGCTCCTTCCATTACTTCGCCAGTTCCTAGTGTGAAGTCACCAGAACCCAGTGTGAAAACCCCTGAACCATCAGTCACATCTCCAACTCCAAGTGTAAAGTCTCCTGAACCAAGTGTAAAATCTCCCACTCCTGGAATCAAATCCCCGGCTCCAAGTGTAAAGTCCCCTGAACCGCCTGTAACATCTCCCACCCCTGGGGTTAAGTCACCAACACCAAGTATAAAGTCCCCTGATCCGGACGAAGCAAAATCTCCAAAGGGCATTAAATCTCCAGAGCCATCCACACCCTCTCCTGCACGAGGTTTAAAATCTCCAACTCCTGGAGTAAAATCTCCTGAACCGGAAGGAATTAAATCTCCACGTGGGATCAAGTCTCCAGAACCCAGACTGAAGTCGCCTCCGCCAGTCAAAGCCCCTGGAGGTGTGAAGTCACCAGAACCTGAGGAAGCAAAATCTCCCCGAGGCGTGAAATCACCAGAGCCTGCAGGTATCAAAACACCAAGGGGTCTGAAGTCCCCAGAACCTGCAGGGATCAAAACACCAAAAGGCATCAAGTCTCCAGAACCTTCGGGTATCAAATCTCCAAGGGGGTTGAAGTCTCCTGAGCCTGAGGGAGTCAAATCACCTCCGAGGGTTAAATCACCTCCCCCCATTTTGTCTCCAAAGAGGGTTGTGTCTCCCCCGACTGTCAAATCCCCAACCCCAAAACCTCCCAAAGTCCTCAGTCAGCTAACAGCTGAGGCCTGTGAGGGTTTGGTCCAGATGTCCTGCATCTGTGAGAGCAGTGTCAGGGAGGTGGCATGGTACGTCAGTGGCAGGAGGCTTTCACAGAGCAGCCGCTTTCAGATGCAATACTCTGAGGGTTCCTGCAGACTCCTTATCCATGAGCTGTCAGAGAGTGACCAGGGAGAGTACACATGTGAGATTACCTCAGATGGAGGAGTATCCAAATCCTCCTTCTCATTTACTGGTCAGGTTTTCCAGTCCATATACAAAAAGGTGTCAGCTTATCGTGAGCAGCAAATTGCGCTTAAAGGTGAGATTTTCCTCCACTCTAGTTTGATGTGATATTGGGTTAATTTAGAAAAGGTTGTCAAGGGTTGTTTACTTTATGTTCCATCTCCAGCAGGATCAGTGATGATGAGTCACCAGGAGTCATCCACAAAGGCCTCATCTCTAATGATGAAGAAAGAAACCCACATGGTAGAGGAGTCCTCTGCCTTTTCCTCCTCTGCCCATCAGGCGATGATGTCGTCCATGATGGAGTCCAGCTCCTTCAGCAGCATGGCAGCGGAAATGAAGTTCGAGACCATGTCAATGTCCAGCATGTCCTCCATGACATCGGAGACGTATGCCAAGAGCTCCAGCAGCTTGACAGAAATGATGTCACATATGGAGGGATCCTCAATCAGAGCAATTGGTAAGAGGGTTAATTAAAACATCTTCATGTTATTATATGGGCTTTTAGCTGCTAGTTCTACATATTAAGACCCAACAGGTAGCTAAGATGCTAAGCTAAGTTTAGCAAACATGTCTCATATATTAAAACGTACAGTTGAAACCAGAAATTTACAGACACTGTATGAAGAGACATTAGCAGTAAATATTTTAAGGATAAAATGATTTTAGCAACACTAATTAAACAGGAAATAGTGGACTGTCTATTTAAACTTCAGATCTTTACTAGTTTTGACTCCTTCAAACTGTTCTGCTGCTTTCAGGTTCTGCTCCTCGGATCGAAGCTCTGCCAGAAGACATCAGCATAGAGCCAGGCAAAGTCCTGACGGTCGCCTGCGCCTTCTCTGGCGACGCCAAACGCATAGAGTGGTCACGCAGCGGTAAAACAATCGACGTGTCCACAGGTGGACGATTCCACATTGAGACCACGGAGGACCTGACCACCCTCATCATCACTGGGGTGAAGCCGGAGGATGCCGGAGCCTACACCCTTAGGCTGTCCAACGAGCTCGGGTCGGACTCCGCAACCGTTCACATCAGCATTCGATCGTAAAAGAAAAACCAAAACAACCTGATATTTCAAAACTTCCCCTTTTCCCTTCTTCCTTGACTTTTTATTTATTGATGAAACACAGTAGTCTTCTTGATAAGGATCTGAAATATTCTTGTAAATAGGAACTATTTTTGTACCAAACCTGACGTTAATTTATGCCAAACTAGACTAAAGTCTAAAGTTGTAAAATGTGCCATATTGGATAACTCTGACTTCATTTTTCTGTGACATGTACATAATGTATATAGCCGAGTTTACCGGTTATGGGAAATGTATGCATTGTTATTTATGACAATAATATTAACTGAAACTAAAAGGAACTAAATATAGTTTAACAGGAGAAAGTTTCAGCTGGAACGAATACCCTGTTAAACTGGGAAACTAAACTCTGTGCCTCAACGATAAGTTGAAGTCTAAGTTTGCCTCAACAGGTAGAGAGGCTCCCTGTTGATGTTATGAACCAGAGACAAAACTATCAGCGCGCCACCGCTAAGAGGGCGGTGCTTTAATGATGTAACAGGAGCATGAGATCCTGAGTGCTGTTTGCATCTACCCTCATGTAAGCAGGACGACTGGACCTCGCGCTCCGACGGATTATGTCATATCGCCACTTCTATGACAAGCTCACAGTGCGAGCGGCCTGCACTCCCTGAGCTCAAAGCATTTCATTTGTTTGTTTTGTGCTCTGCTTCTGGAAAACGACTTCCAGCTCAGACTCTGACGTCGTTCCATCAACCTGGCCAATCACACGAGTCCTGCTGGTGCTTGTTTTCAGAGGCAGAGCTGCCTCTCGGAGGTCTGCAGCGTGCTTTGTGTGTTAGTTTGTAGAGATTCAGCCAACAGTTGTACAGCGTGGCACCAAGAACACGAGCATCTGTGTCCATCGACGCCTGCGGCACAGCGCCATGATGAAACAAAAGGTGTTCGTCGGGTGTCACCCTGACCCTTGTTGGATTGAAGTTAGCTATAGCTTTGAGTATTTTCGCAGCCTCCTTGAGTTTTTTTCTGCAATTCTTGATTTAATAAAGCATGATCATCAGCACTACAGAATGTCTCTGTCTGATTATTTTGTTCTTGACATTTAACTTAATTCCTTTATCGTCCTCTGTTGAAGCAATGATAACATGTCAGAGACCAGAACTTGTTTGTACACACCTGAGTAAAAAGATGCTGATCTGGGATCCACCGTCATGAAATCAGTAGTGGAGACCTCAGGACGTCCTGTAATTTGTCTGGTTGATGCTGCCTCCATGTGGTCTTATAATCAGTGTTGCCAGGTAGAGTCGAGGTTTTCCAGCCCAAACATCTGTTAAAAACCGCCACATCACACAAAAACCCGCCCAATTAATATAGTTTTATATTTACTGTGTGAACATGAACTCACTTCAGTACAACTTAATTCAATACTACATGTCCAAAGGCTACAATCCAATAAAATCTGCCCAGAGTTTTTCATAAACAACTGACCCAGCCACCAAAGCGATGTCGGATCCAGTGAGAGTCGGGTGACACGTCACATACCGGTACTAACATGTTTGCAGATGGATTCATAACCATGAAGAGTAGTGGTTAGTGCGCACGACCCATGTATGGAGACCTTAGTCCTTGAGGCGGCTGACCCGGGTTTGAATCTGACCTGTGGTCCTTGGCTGCTTGTCTCTCACCCTCTCTCATTCCCCCTTTCCTTTCAGCCTACTGTTAGAAAAACAAGCCTCTAGTGGTGTAAAAACACAAAAAACAATCCACTGGACTTTGTTTCCAAGTTTGAAGACAATTCGCTGCCCATCCAGGAAGCTTTTTCAATCAAAATGTCAGGAGCAGCATTGAGTTTGAGGTTTTATACAGTAGCCCAACAAAGCCTTGTTTTTTTGCAAGTCTCTCCCCCTCTCTCATACCCCTTTTCTACGGTCCATAAAAACGTGCCTCTAGTGCAATAAAAACTCAAACAAAAAACAAGCAAATTGAAAGGAACGAACAGGACCATCCCTTTAAAATGGGGGTTGTTTAGCTTCTTTTGTTAGCCTGCAATGCCCCATACCCAAGTCTCTGAAAGGGGAGTCTGTTGGCCTGGCTGAATAGGCGCTTCCTGGATGGGAAGCGAAATGTCTTCAAACTTGGAAACAAAGTCCAGTGGATGGTTTTTTTTTTTGTTTACTTTTTTTGGAATGACCAGTACATGGTTGAATGAAATCTCCCCAATAATTGTTGGGGAGGACAGAATGTTGCTGATATCAGACATTCCATGTTCAATTTGCACATCCATCAAACTCGGCAGGCCCATGCGATTTCTGGACTCATCTTTGAAGCAAAATGCTAGGAAACTGGAGAGAAAATATCGCTCCACGGGCCTATTGGAGTCCTACCTAGTCTGGAAAAATAGTTTACTGCTGTATAAGAGGACCCTTTGTAAGGCAAGGGTAGCATATTTCTCCTCATTAATAGTGGAGAATAAGAATAATCTTAGATTTCTTTTTAAAACCGTTGCCAAACTCACCCAGAGCCATAGCTCTGTTGAACCGTCCATTCCACCTGCTCTTAGCAGCAATGATTTTATGGGATTCTTTATAAATAAGATGATCCTATTAATGTATGTTAGATCCAGTTCCAACCAGGTTATTTAAGGAGGTATTCCCTTTGATCTCGTCCTCCATTTTAGATGTGATTAATCTATCTCTGTTACAGGGATATGTACCTAAAGCTTTTAAGGTTGCTGTAATTAAACCTTCTGCTTAAGAAACCGTCTCTTGACCCAGATGACTTGGTCAATTATAGACCTATATCCAATCTTCCTTTCTTATCTAAAATTCTTGAGAAAGTAGTTGCCAAACAAGTTTGCGATCACTTACACCATAATGAACTTTTTGAAGAGTTTCATTCTGGCTTTAGAGCTCATCATAGCACTGAAACAGCTCTGGTGACAGTCACTAATGATATTCTCATGGCCTCAGATAATGGACTTGTATCTGTGCTCGTCCTGTTGGATCTTAGTGCTGCATTTGATACAGTTGACCATAATATTCTTTTAGAAAGACTTGAATATTTTGTTGGAATTAAAGGAACAGCACTAGACTGGTTTAAATCTAATCTATCTGATCGAATTCAGTTTGTTCATGTTAATGATAGATCTTCAACACGCTCAAAGGTTACCTGTGGAGTACCACAGGGATCAGTGCTAGGACCAATTCTCTTTACTTTATACATGCTCCCAATTGGTAGAGTTATTAGACAGCATGGGATTAATTTCCACTGTTATGCTGATGATACCCAGCTATATCTGTCTATAATCCAGATGAAGCTAACCCATTACATAGATTACAGGCATGTCTGAAGACATAAAAACCTGGATGACTCTTAACTTTCTCCTTCTGAATGCAGACAAAACAGAAGTTATAGTCTTTGGACCAGAGTCTTTGAAAAATAAGCTGATTAGTCGGTCACTTTATTTGAACTGGATTAAACTGATTTCAGATAATAAAGTAAAAAATCTTGGTGTTGTTTTTGATCAGGACCTGTCCTTTAAATCCCATATCAAAGAGGTTTCTAGAATTTCCTTCTTTCATCTGAGGAACATTGCAAAAATGAGAAATCTCCTGTCCAGGGGTGATGCTGAGAAACTAGTCTACGCTACAAGCATGCTTAGTGTGAGGGATTGCATTTGAGTCAATGCAATCAGCTGGTTTTCCTTAGATAGAAAACTTTGAATCAATTTGACTGCATGATCTGGTTGAACTGTAAAGTGCCTTGAGATGACTTGTGTTGTGAATTGGCACTATAGAAATAAACTAAACTGAATCTTTAAGCAGAGCAACTTGTAAAAAAAAAAGCTCTTTCAACTGACGTATTTGATATAGCGAGGATGAGGAGTTTAATTGCACCAAGCACTAAATCCTGAAAGCAGCGGTTTCCTCCAGCATCTTTAAAAGATTCCTCTTCCAACCAGAAGTCATCGACCATCAGCACTTGGTTCATCACACCAGATCCACCTGCTGCTAAAACTAGCATCATTGGTGGCGCCACTACACTTGATGACAGATGACATTAGCTAATGAGTGATGGAGAAAGGTCAGGGAGGCTTTGCTGTGAACCAGTAATAGTGAATGATTGGTGCACATTAGTGTTTTAATGGGTCAAATCAAAAACCGCTGATCTGAATCTCAACCAGCCCAGATTATCTCCAACCCCCCAAAGTTGCCAGAATAAGAGGTAAACCGCTCATTCTGGCAACACTGCTGGTAATCATGGTGAATACCAGTACATGATCACCCATTCATGTTGTAATCTCTACTGGAAAACTAGAAAGATGTTATGATAGCCTACCTGACTTGTAAAGATGAGGTAAACTTTGACCTGTCCACATGGAGGAGAGCGGCGGAATGATTCTATATGTTGATCATCGTTAAACGTACTTCCTTCAGCTGCTGTTCCAGCATGTTCTAATCTGCTGAGGCGGGAGAGCTCACTGTGTTTCATACGCCCCCTTGTGGCAAACTGCGGCTACTACATGCTTCCGCCCATCCACAACCCACACACACATAAGGTAGGGGTGTAATCACGTATAAAGTCCATTATGTCACATATACCACGCAAACTGTTTGATGGAAGACAGAGCTGAAAGCGTCTAAAGCACGTTGCTAATGGTTTGGAGGCCATATTCACCGCGTGACTGCAGCCGTAGGAAGAAGGGGTAGTTTAGGGGCACGTGCTGTGGAGATTATGGCTCTGTTCGAAATCCTGGGCTGGATCCTCCAAGGACCCGGTCTACCTGGAGTGGGTCCTTCGAAGTCCTTGAAAATAAGGAGACCGGAAGAGTTTTGGCCGTGGATTTAAACGGTTCTATCCTTCGGTGGGTTTTACCGCCGCACGCTCCGTCGCCTAGCAACCGTGATAGTTGACACAGGAAGCAGGAAAATAATAAATGCTGAAATTTTCAAAACTATTTTTATTTTTACGATAATCCAGATTGGAATAAAGGTTCCAACCAGCGGGAGCAGGAACAAATGAAATCAAATGTAATGATAGAAACCTTAGTCAGTT